TGTTTTTAATAAAATTGCTTTTAACTCGCAAATTAAAACCTCTGGAAATTAGAATCGGCTTCTATTGAAAATTCAAAAATTTAGACTAATTGGTTCTAATTTCCGAGAGGATTTCCTTTTGTTAATAACGACATGCAAATTTTTCATTGTAAATCTTTTTTCGTTAGATTAGTAGTCTTTGATATCCGTGTAAAAATTTCGTATCAACATTTTTATTTTTAGTTTTTTTAGTTGAAATTTTTAAATTAACATCTTTGGAAGAAATCGATTTACACTCGTTTATTGTACTACAAGTCAGAAAAAGCATACTCTTTACTTTCTCCTATCAGCGTATTCAAGGAATAAGGGCATACTACAGGAAGGAAAAAATAATGTACGCATAACTGAAAATAAACTTAAAATTTATTTTGTTTAAATTTTTGATCCAATTAAAATAGTTATTAAAAGGGTTTAGCTTCTTTTTTTAATTTTATTAACTTGTCAACCCATGTCAAAAGGTGCAATGGAACGGAAAAACTTTTGCTGAATGGTGGTTGTTATCGGGGACTAAAATGTTTTAAAATAAACTAGTTATGAAACCATGGACCCGAGCTGACGTCTCGAATTAAATCTTCAACATTTTCGAAACTTAAATTTCGTTTTGGCTTCTGTTCATTAGTATTTAATAGGTTCATCACACCCTGCTTTGCACTTTTTTCCTCCACAACATCGGTGGATTGAACCAAATCAATTGTTGTCTCTTCTTGACGAATTATCATTTCATTTGCTATTTCTGACACTGAACCTTTTTGAATGCTTATTAAATTATTTTCATTTATTCCTAACGGAGCAATATCTGTGGGTTCCTGTGTGTGATTTAAGACTTGTTCAATTAGAATTTCGCTACTTTCATCTGTGGCTTCGCTTATCACAATAAACGGATTATTTGTATTGTCTTGTTGCACAGTAACATCATCATCATGCGACATACAATCAAGTATGGTAATTTCTAGGTCTTCGCTATTTTCCATTTCATGTGATGTAATAACATCGGTAATTTCATTTCTACCGTTAAAAATAATATTTATCGGTTTATCTATTGAAGCTTCTGTACATAAGGCAATTTTTTTTATATTGTTGTGTTTATCGTCCGTAATATGACTGTTTCCAAAAAATTGCTTCCCATAATTGTCAATATTTATGTTGTCGTTTTGTGTTTCTATCTCTTGCACAGTTGACTTGGTATGCAAGTAATTTCGGAATAAATTGTGATGGTACTCATCACTATCGATTTCATCTTGGATTACATACTCGGATTCATTTATTTCGAAAATTTGCGGTAAACTATTTCTTAGCGCATCTTCACGGCCCACAATATATTCCAATGTATCGGCCGCTTCACTGTGACGCCTCAAATGATGATAGTTATCACTATCGATTTCTTCGCTAATATCATACCGTAAATAACTGTCCTTCCAATCATCTCTTCCTTTAATGTATTCAAGTTCAGAAAATCGAGATTGTGAACGTTCATACAGAATATTTGATTTTTTCGACGAACAACTATCCTCCCGATTATCAAAGAAACTTGGAATTGTTGATTCTTTGCATTCAAAATTAATTGGATCGGAGCTTGTTTCCGATAAAAGACTATCACGACCGTTGGCATTCAACGAAGACGGACTTTGAGGTCGTGAATTTGATTCAAATGAATTCAAATCACCCATGCTGTCATCGGTGCCGCAATAAAACATTGTTGTCTTTGATTTAATCAGGGTTTCGGCACAATTACACGTTGAGTCATCGTTTTGTACACAATTTTCATATAAAAATTTTTCAATGCGCTCATCTTCCGTTGGTGTAATTCGAATAACCGGTTTGTACGTATTTTGATTTTTATTTTTGTCATCATCTAAGTGCTTTGGCGATGCCAAAGCAAACATGTTGGGCTTTCTATTATTTATAGATTGTTCCGTTCTAGAATGATTTAATTTGAAATCATTTGCCAAATCCTTCAAATCATATTCATTGTGTTCAACCAATGAAAATTCTTTTAATTCGTCATCATCATCGTCATCATAATTACGACTTGGATAACGTAAACGCGTTGACTGTTCCAAATACTCGTCGTAATATCGTTCATTCGCAGCAATACAATCATTTATCTCGTCATCATTAATCATTACATGAGCTTCGTCTTCGATAAATATTTGGGGAAGGTTCGGTATTGTTTCAATGGTTTTACTTACATCTGACTTGTTTAATCCATGTACAATCATTGTTTCCTGTGAGAATGAATTATTTCATGTGAAACATAAATAAAAATAAAATAAAAATGTGCAAAATAATAGGAAAATCCACTTACGATTATATTTTTAGAGTTAGACGAAATGTTGTTGCATGTTTCCGGAGCATGTTTAAAGTTTTCATTCGATTTTCCATTAACAAAACCCACAGATTCCTCATTTTCGTCTATTGACATAGTACGCTCCCGCCTCCATAAGCTATCGTCATGAAAACTTTTTGGATTAAGCTCCCCCCAGGGATTTTGCGTTTCACCATCAACATCCTCTGAACGGCGTCTCTGTAAAATATCAGCACCCGAATGACCAACCGTGAACATTTTATAACTTTTTCGTCTTCGTGCGTCTTCATTTTTTCGTTGGCCCTTTTTTGTAATCTCATCCGATGGGTATGAGTAATCTTGTGAATATTCGTCAAAGTGGATGTTTAACATTTCATTTTTATCGCTGTTATCAGATAGATGATTATTTTCGATTTGAAATGAATTTTTTTGATTTTCTATGATGGTGTCTAGACTAAGACTACTACTGCGCAAGGAATCGTCTTGGCTAACCAACTCTTCATACTGATTACAACTATTTGTCACCGCTTCAGCACCATAGTTGTCTTTAATATTTAATTTTATTGAATGTAATGGCTCAATTGTTACATTGGCTCTTGCCTCCAGCCAATTTTTCGCAATATTTTGCTCATCGTCACTCAAAATGCGATAGCCCTGATCGTATAGGACGCCATCAGCCATAGAATGAATCGAATCCGTTTCACATAGATGCTCTTGTGCAGACTTAATTGATTTACGTAAATCGTTTTGTAAGTCCAGCAATGATGTGGCTTTTGATGGGCTTCGATTTATTTTCATTCGTTCATGATGTAAGCCCACTTGATGAACAATGTCACGTACAATAAACATTAACTCAACGGCTCCAACATAACTGAACAAAATTGACAATAATAATCCCATTATTGTGGCGATGTAGATTAATTTCAAAAATCAGCACATAATCAAAATCGTAAGTTTTCTTCAGTTGTCACACAATTTTAAAGCACACACTTTTTCTTCTAATTTAACTTTTAATCGATCAAAATATCGTTGTTTTTTTTTCGTTTTAAACTTAAGTAATTGTAAGTTCAGTGCATTAATTAATTTTGTAAATGAACTTCGTTTAAAATATCGTTCGTATTTTCTAAATGATTGTACTGATTGAAAAATAATTTTAACGAACACCGCCAATTAAATTTGATCACAAACAACGTTTCAATTTGGTTATTGTAGTGTTTTTTTTTCTCTGTTTAAGGACAGTGCATACATACACGTGACTTTACTGCGCACTGTCGCCAAAAGTTTTCCTCGTACTATATGTGCGTCTAATTTTAATTGTTTTCATTTCGTCGCGACTCCTTAGTTTTTCGCTATGGCATTTATATTGTCTCCTTTTTCGTTGCGCAGTAAAGAATTGTGTAATTCGGTTCAAATTATGTAGAAGCTCGGACTTACTCATAGCGAATATTTATATGAGACATAAATTAAAATGATCTAAAGGCATACTCTTCTTCTATTTCATTTTCGCTTGGAACGTTTGCCTATGGGCCGAAAACAGTTTGCACATATCGATAAATAGAGGATCAAGTAAGCCATTATTAAACTAACAGAAATAGAATACTTAAATTTAAGTTAAATATACACAATATTGATGTAACCATACCAAAAATTAAAGGTAAAGTATTCGAGAAATTATCGGAATTTTCAGATGATAATTTTAATGGAAAAAATCACACTTTTTACTAAAGAAAGATAAGAATATATGAAACACAAACATGCGAAAAATCATTTTGTTTTGGTGTTATCATATTATAATGCTGACACGTTTATATTTACCTCTGTGTGATTTTATTGGATATTTTAGTGGAATGAAAAAACTAAATACACCACATTGAATAAAAAAAATGTTTGACTGCTGAACCTTCCAAGAATTCAATAACTACTGGAAAATTGAATAAACGTTCGATTGAAGCAAAGGTGATTGCTGTTCCGCGAATCATCTTCATTTTTGTATACAGCGTAGAGCTGAGTGTCCATTTCATCAATGCCAAACTGAACATTCACATATTAAAGTTTGTTGCTTTGAACTATTCACACGAACAACATTTCACTATAGGTTTTACGTGACATTCGTTAACATTTCTTTATCAAAACCTCAAGCCAATATTCTCAAGATGCACACTATTTAGTATATAAGGATCAATTTACGAAACAGTACCGTTTCAATCAACATCGGGTCGACTGCCTTTTTTTGTCAAGCAAACCATTTCAAATTTGTTCATCACATAATATATATATATTATTAGAGTAGTGATATTGATAACATATAGATGGAGTTATGAACCGTGTCCAATAACATCATAACCCGTAATGACATGAGGTCAACCATGTATACATTTTGCGTGCATTCTAACTTGAAGCAGTAATGATGTCATTGTTGTGATAGGAAGGTGTGTCGCCCATGACTTTAAAGACTTGATATAAATGACAAATGCAAACGCATACTAAAGGTGAGAAGAATGACTTGCTTCACTAACTCAAAGTATTTCAATCAGTTGCATTTGCACCAGCATGTTAGTAATGACAAATTATACGAAATTTTGATAAAAAAAGAATGTATGTATTTTTAAAAAATCTTTTTTTATCAACAATTACTGAATAATGTAAAGGTACTCACCTCATCACATGCATTGCAGCGTGGTTTTAGCACTTCAGCATAATGTCGCTCGCAATAAATTTTGTCATCATGAACACAGTAGGTCAAATCAACGAGCAGTTCGTTACAGGTCGAGCAAGTAAAACACTTTGGATGCCATAAGACCTAGAAAAAAATCGAAATCTATAATAGTTTTCCATTTATTTTGTATCAACAGAATCTGTACACAAATTCGTCTTTTTTTAATGCAAAATTGATTTTTGAAATTGAAAAATTGTTCTAAGGAAATTTGACTAACTTCTTCTCCGAATTTCGGTGCAATCACAGCCAAGTCTCCCTGTTCGACGTCATTATCACAATTGATACAAGGCGACGATATGCCATTGAAATCCTTTACATACGCAATATCTAAAGCAATCTCGTTACGTGCGACATTGAAATCCTCATATGATGCATTATTTTGAGGTTCGATGTGATTACAATATTGTAGTGCTAGGTCCTGCTTTGGCCATTGATATGATAACTGTTGCTCGCGGTAACGTACTCCCGGTGTATTTATTTTTGGTACCTTATTTTCAGGTAATAAATCGAAATATTGACGAATCTGGAAGAAAAAATTCAATACACATGTGTGCTGAGATTATACAAATGATAAAAAAAATGTTTTTTACCTTGTTCGCAGTTGATATTCCTGGCGGTATCCATGTATAACCAAAATGTTTTGCATTTAGTGTAGATGCACTTGCAGTTGGTTTGAATCCTAGTCTTTCTTTGACTGATGTTAGTTGTTCCTGGTATATAGCATGCGATTCTCGTGGGCATTTACACACCAAACATGTTTTTCTATAGTAAATTGAATATGAAACATAGACATTTTATTAAAATTATCTAAAGAAATTCGAATTCTTATTAATAGCTGCAATCAATTATTAAAGAACGAAAAATAAATAAAAAAATGATTAAATAAAACAAAGGTATTGTTCTGTGTTCTACCCAAAAAATCACCAAAAATACGATAAAATCATTAACTTAACCAATGTAAAGTAGTTCTTTGCCAATCAAGTAGCATCAATTGAACTTTCAAATATCAATATTTTCGTATTAATTACTAATACGGGTATTTACGAGAGTGAAAATTATTTTGTTTAGTGGTAAAACTTTCTCTTACTTGTACGTTTTCTATCAGTCAATAATGTATAAGCTCAGTTTTGGAACAATTTTTGATTTATGAATTTTACTTATTAACTTGAATTCCAAAATATCTGCACAGTATAAACCTCCCTTGATCGACTACCTTCACCGGGTAAAGTTCATCCTTCACTGGATTCTATTTTGTAATACTGTACGATTGTTGCAGAATAATTATAATAAAATATAAAAATCCAATGAAGTTGAAATTTTTTCGAAAATTCATACGAGAAACCAAAAAAGTAATTGAAATGGACGAGTGCCCCATTATGAATATCATAGAGATGTAAACCTAATTTAGATATTCACCGAATAAAAAAAATCAGAAAATCCACTTTGTTGAAAGTTTGCAACAACTTAACGACTCATTTTCACTATGGTTTTTATTCTTGAAATTGAAACCATTGCCTCCATGAAGGTCAGATCAAATAATTTACGGAACATTTATTTATATAATATTCTTGTTAGCAGACAATTTTGTATCCATGTGAAGACATGATACAAGGCTATTTTTTCCATCATTTTTCCGTCGACTGTGGTTTTTGAACATTTTGCGTGTTAGTCGTTTGTCCATTTTATTTCCCCTATGCTTTTGATTCGCACATTCAACCTATAAAATAAGTGAAAATGCTACGCGGATGATTGTACGTCATTTATATTTATATCCTTTTTTATGGTTCGCTAGCAATCGGGGTTGTAACAATAATCGCCGGATGTATATGCCGACGAATATACACAAAATAGAGTTAGGAAGTGTTTCAATATGTAGTTTTATGTACAAAATTCTATCTAACTTCGAATGAATTTTGGCTTTGTTCCTTTCGGCAATAAGAATACATAGTTTTTACGACGGCTATCAATGAGATTGGATATCACGGATAATTCAGTTTCAATCGTTGCACTCATAATAAAGAAATGTTTCGCCATGAACGATTACAACGATACGATGAAAGAGTATTCAATGACATTAATCTTAAACGTGATTATTGTAGCTATTGTGACGTTACCAATGTTCCTAATGCTAAATCGATGTAACATCTTTGTTCTCGTCAACAAATTAAAGCTATTGGTACTTTTTAAATTGTGTCAAAAAAATGTCATACAATAAATATAGAATGAATTGCAGAAAAGTGAAATTAAATAGAAAAGAAACGACGATAAAACGATATGTTATAGCTACACGCAATGTGTTTATAAAAAGATAAAAACCTCACCAGCATTGGAAATAAGATTATTTGCCATTATGTGAAATATGTGAGGCGTGACAACACAAAAGTAATATGCGTTTTGGGTATTTCTTTAGTTTTAGTAAAACAACCATAATTGAAACATTTTATTTAATATTCTCTTTTGAATTGACACGTTTGAGCAACTTCATTTGAAATGGAATATGGTGATTTATAAAATGTTGGGAAAACCACAAAGTCCAAAGAAGAATTTTATGAATAGAAAGAGTACAATAGTATCCGAAAAGATTTCAGAACGAATGCGGCCAGTTCAGGTTCGATGTGCGGTTCTATAGGTGCGCCACTTGTTAACGCACAATGATTTGTTGAAAAAAAAAAACAAGCATTACAAGCAAATTTCGTTTCCAGACATCATGAAATATTGATTTTCTGAAACTGAAATTATAATATACTCTAAGTTGACGCTGAATCAGGCTTCTAAAGCCTTGATTCGTATTTATCAAGTACTTTGACTAACTTGTTGTTGACAGGTTCCATGAGAAATGAGAAAACTATTGTCGTCCTTAGTTTAGGTCCAGTCATTGGAAAATGATTTTTCAGATATTTGAAAAGTTGGGCACATTTCTCGCAATTCTTATGAAAATTGGACTCAATGTTATAATGGTTACTTGGCTAGACTTTGATTTAGTTGAGAGTGCAGTATGTTTATCATAAATTTTAGCTCATTATAATCTCTGAACTTCAGAATTCAACATTTTTCGTCGTATATTTTTCTGTGTCTCTCAATAAACCCGGTCAATTTTTCTATCATACTAATTAAATTTGTTATCTTTTTTTCTTCCATTGAACTTTCAAAATCACTGAAGCTACACAAAAATTCCGGTAACAATTATTCACACACACACACATACGATAACAGATAACTAGAAATTCAAACTAATTTGTTTTCAACAAAAGTTATGTTTTGTGTCGTATACCTAATGATTAAGTCGAAAAGCTCCTGCTGATCGAACACTTTGCAGTATGTTTCAATTACTTTTTGACATGCATATTTTAGGCCAATCCATTGCAGAGACGCATCATACGGTTGTGTTTGTTGATCGGCATTTGTCCAAATCGGACAGTATATGTGACGTTGTAAGTCAAGCATTTCAATCTATATTTTTTGCTCTTTATCTCTTTACTTTATTTCACTTTTAAACCACTTTTTTTAAGATTATTTCTGATTGCAACATTCAATTTGTTTGGGTCGTTTTCTGTTTCATGCACAAATATTTGGTTGAGATGACAACTATTCACAAAATACTATGAATTTAAATTGGAAGCCCACGCACACATTTATTTAAATTGGATAATTCTATCCCAAATCTCGTAACAAGAATTCAAAGTTTAATAGTGTACAATTAAAGCGTAAAATTGACGAAACGAAAAGAAACTAAAACATGTTGCACATGCTATTTGAAGAGCTCTGATTTTTGGTCATTATGATTATAAATGGATTTTTTTTTTTTTAATTACAGTTTGAATATATCAACTTTGAATCCTTCGATTTTCTTCACATTTCACCGTATATTTTCAACTGTTGCAGTTCAATTCTATAACCTAAGCCTAGAACGTGTTTCTGGACGTATTTCAAGTTCATTAAATTAACAGTTAACACATAACACCGATCTCATGCACACTAATGAATTAGATATGCGAATTTTTGTTTAAATGGTGTCTGAGAATTACAGTTCATGTAATTGTGCAGTTTAATATTGCATATGTCGAAAATGCCACCGTCACTCGAAACTGGTGATGAGCTCAGCATTTTTATATATATATATATTTTATTCTACGTTTGACCAGATTTTTCGCCGTATAGATTTGTTAAAACGGTACCTTACAATATTTTATTAATATCGGTGCTTGATTTTTACATGAAAGACATGTGACCATGCAAAATACAAGTCCAATTAAATGACTATGTTCACCGTACTCATTTGGTTAACGTTTTTGAACGCTGTTTGATTTATTTTTGTATGATGCCATTTATGTGTTCACACGTTTTACTACATATGCAAAACGGTCTAGAACACACATTGGAAAATTGATTGTAAGAAATGAGCAACATTATAATTTTCCACTTGTTGAAAATGTATAGATTATACGATATTATGAAATATCATGCATAAGAGTAACTCTATCCGGTTAAACATTCAGTTTAGTTTGATGAAAAAAGGCATATGTTATGTGTGTAACAAATGGATAATTTGAAAGTAATAAATGTTAGAGGAAATCACTGAACAGTTACTTTTCATTTAATATTCGATTTTTATTACAACACTAAAATTGATCTATGTATTCTGTAATATGAATATTTTCCCTAAACAAGGTCTAACAATCAGAGTTGGAATCATTTCCAATATTTAAAGATTTATTCTCTTTCAAATAGAATACAAACATGCGCGAAAATAAACTGTTTATTTTTATATATATAAAAAAATGCTGTCCCCACAATCAGATCTAATCAATACCATTGAGAAGATAAAGTTTTTTTATACGTAAAAAAAACAATGCTTTTGTTATTGTTCTTGCAATTCCAAACTGATTGTCGCATCAGCTTCCGATATCATAGAAGCTACACGTCCACTTATTGTTCTATGGTCCTTGCTAGTTATATTTCATTTTTATTGACTTGCTTTGTTGTGATAATCGATATATATACATTCTAGGTTTATCAATAGATATGTACCGATTAATTATATATGTATACACATTTTGCATTCATAATGTCAAATTTACTGATTCACTGATTCAACGTTACACTTAGTAAGTATATATTATCGACTCTGTTATCTATTATATACACATTGTTAATCACATCAGCCAGCTCCCAGTTCTAGTGTATGTTTTTAACAAGCTGAATTTGTGACTTTATTATTATTTTTTTTATTTATATATTTTTTTTGTTCCGTTCAGGTTGACGTTTATCTCTTCTTTTTTTTAAATATTATTGTTTTGTCTTCTTTCGCTCAGAGGAAGTGTGAAAAGAGCACCTCTGTTTTTCCACTGAATTCGAATCTTTAACGTACTTCAACTGCTTTGCTTCATACTTAGTATGCTACTGAATTGTATATGTGCAAACGCTTGTTATAATATCACGACATACAACACATATGTGAATAGTCCAAATCACAACTGGTCGAGTCTTAAACCACTAAATTTGACTTCATGACATTAGGTTCTCAGGGCCACTGTTGAAAAGAATCAATGAATTCTATGAATCATTTCACAAAATTTCTTTCATATTTGTCTCATTCACGCTCATTGCATGAAAGCAAAATGCGACACAAAACGCTGCGGGTTCAAATTAAAGTTAGATAATGTATACTGAGCTATGCATTACAGGCGCGCGCGAGTTTGTAATTGAAACGCCGTAAACGAGTTGTATAGTATGTATGTATATGTGTATATTGCCTTCCACAATTTTCGTTGGCTGACACGTGCATTTGAGTCGTAAACAAAAAAAAAATGTATCAATTTTGCTGAAAAATGTGACTTGATTTATTCTTTTTGAATTTGTTAGAAAAGTTGACTTTCACTCATTGACTCAAACAAAATATATTTCTTTAACATTGATTCCATCTGGCCAATATCCGTATATCGGTGCTGGCAAAAAAACAAATTAATTAATTCACCGTTTGTAAAATTAGCCAGACTATATGACAGAGCCATGTGCGTTCAAATGCGTATTTCGATACATGTAATGTTGTTTTTATCTTTTATTGTGTTTGAAAGACGAATGTTACTTAAAAGAAAAACGATGTATCAAACCGTTTCAACATTCTGCTGGCAAAAAGCTATAAAAATCTTTTCTCTGATGTTCTAAATTTAAGAAAAAAAATTAATGTGTGTAAAATTTTATTAAAATTGGTGGAGTATATGTATTTATTGATTGAAAATAAATAAATAGCGTTCTTCTTGATTGATGTGTAATCAATTCAATCGTGAAATGTTTCATTTAAAATGCATCACATTTTCAAAACAAACACGAAATGGATCGTGAAATATCATTGGTTTATTTTCCGAATTCGATCTCATTCAACGCTAAGTTGTCAACGCAGAACAACAAAATGCATTCAATAAATCGAAGAGACAATCGTCAACGTAAGCACTGAAGCGGATTTAACAAAACAACAAGGTGATGCGACTATCAGGAGTGAACAATTTTGCAACTGTCCCATTATATAAATTTCAGTTGAAAAGTGTTTCGTTTTCTATTGGATCATATAGATATAGACAATTTGGCGAATATTTTTGGACTGTCAATCTGATAACGAACCGACTGTACCGTTATCAGTGCGGTAAAAGAATGAGTAGCAGTTGATAGAATTGCGATGCAATGAAGACATTTTTAATTAGTATATATCGATCCAAATGATAACACTTGCTAAATGGATTCATCGATTCAAAGTGTGCCGAGAGCGTTTGTTGGATTGCCTCTATCGTGATGACGCGTAACAAACGTGAACTACTAACACCCCGAGAAGGCGTACGACTGTTTCCAAGATAAAAATTATCTATCAAAATTGGTCATTGAATGTTTATCATGAATTGTGGAAGGCTGGTGCAAAAGAAATAATCGAGTTTCGCACCATAGTCGTAGAAAACAATATTTCATTAAGTTATTTGGTGTATTTTTGTAAGGTCAATAGATAATAGACTTTTTTTCATTCTCAACTAGTTTTCTTTTTGATAACTCAACACTTTGTTGTCGTCTTGGTAGCAAGTTTGCCAAAAATTGCCTGATTCGTTACAGAAGTGATAATAATAAGCACAACTTTTTTACTCCGCTATCATAAAGCTAGTGGTGCTAAGTGTGTACTTGTATCGTACCCTTCCTTGTAGGTGAGTAAAATTTTTAATTTGAAAAAAATATTTGATACTAATAATAGTCGTTTTTTCCATGTATTCACACCGAATGTTAAGCTACGGCAACCGTAAAAGTTACTCAAGTAATTATAAATAACTCAAACTACACACAAATGCTGCCATTAATTTAAACGTAAGCAATGTTTAGTAGGGTGCATCGTTTTTATAAAAATTTCTTGGGCACCCCTAAAACATAAATGAGAGGGTTCCAATGCTTTTTCCTCCAAAAAAATGTTTTCAGAGATCCCTTTCGGTACATTTTTCATAAAAGACAAATTTTCATTCATTTTACCAACTTTGCTGTACAATAAATTTGAATCATTTTTGATGCACTTTTCATACAAATATTTGCAAAATTATGATTGAAAATGAATCGAATTTTTTTTTACTTAGATTTTTTTTTTTTTTTTTTGAAAAAAGTACCGAAACTAAATGTCAAATGACGGATTGCTAAAAACAAACATTTTGAAAAAAGGCATTACATATTTTCTTGCCCATACTTGAATTCATCAATCTTCAAACCAAAAACGATGCACCCTAATGTCTAGTAATGGATTGTTAATAGCGAAGCGAACTGACAGAAACTAATATGAAATAATTAGCGAAATCGTGCAAATTTCCAATCAACATGTTAAAGAGATAGAGATTTACAGTTGATGTAAAGACTTTTATGGATTGCATTTGCGTAATTCACTTGGTTTCCTCTACTATATACCTCTCTTTTCCCTATTATGTCATTTAAATAAAGTCAAGACTAACTGGATTTCTTTTTTTTTCTCTATTTGTTATCAACCAATGTACTCACTGCTATAATATGTCATTGCAGACTTCAAGTAATTATAAATAAAGTTCTGAGTTTTCCATAACACACGTCTGCGAAATTGTTACACAAAGCTCCAATAATAATATATTTCAAACATAATCGAAGGTTAATATAAGTATGCATATGCATGATTGTTCTAGCATTACTAAACACAACAAGAGCAGCACATTTCTTGATAATTTTGAACTATAAACGAACATTCTATAGATTTATGAATTATTGAGGTCATTATGATGTCACCATACAAATCTTTCCATTTTTTGATGAAATGAAAAATTTGTTCCGGATGAAACCAAATTACCGCCATATTGCGGGTCACCTTCTTATAGATAGATTAATATATATAGACACTTTTTTCAGGTACCGTATATAGGCATAATCTATTGACTGCGAATTGTAGCAGAAAAAAGTAAAGCTTTATAGATATACTCTGACATACACAGGGCAATTCAAAATCTGTTTTTTTACATATTTCGACCTCGTTTAAAGAAAAATACATATTTTGTTTTTCTTAAATATTTCAGCGGTAAAATGAGTTACGAGCAAAGAAATTGTCTCTTTGCAGTTGTTATACGTATCGTGGGTGGAATTTATGCCACATTGGGTCTTTGATTAGCATCCCCCGTAGCTCGCTGCGAGCACATAGGTCATTGGTAGGTCTGGTACCGACATTTGTATACCGAGTTTTCAAAAAATCTTATTCTAAAAAATTGTGTGAAATTTTCGGATCGAACATTATTTTTTCAGAGTTCGGCGTTAGTTAGAAAAAAAAAGACTTTTTAATGATCAAAATATAAATTTCAATTAAAAAACACCTCTTATATAAATAAATATCATAATTTAATACAAAGTAAAAAAAATAATATTGAAAACAATAATTAAGGGTCGCAGTCATAAAGTCCCGGACGGACGAATACTGGAAGATTTCCTGAAAACACTTTTTTCCTGAACGATTTTTTTAATGTACCAAAAATCAAACTTTCCGAATGAAAAATTTCTCTTTTTTTGCTCACAACCTCAAATAAATGTTACTTTTTTCAAGAAGAAAAAAGAAAGCTGCAGAATGTTATATAATAAGGTCGCCACTATTCACATTTAAATAAGACAGACAACTCTCTGCACTCCTTCGAGAAATTGTTCATTCGAATATTTATTTCATTTTTGACATTCAGTAAAAAGTGTTTCTGGATATAATTTTTTTCATATTTTCTGCCGTTAATATTTAGGCCGTCCGGAACCCTATGTATTCCATACAAAATTACATACCTCCATAAATGTGGTTTAAATCCTGGGCATAATTGTTTACACACCATACATTTCGTGCCGTCTACAATTTCTTTTATATCGATATTCTGTTTAAAAAAAGTAAACAATTGTATTACGGAAAAATTTAAATTGTTCAACATATAATAAAAAAAATTGCTTTGATTCCATATAAATTGTAGAAAAATAAGATGAGAAAACAATTGGAGAAAAGAAATTATGCGTAAATTTGTTTTACTATTTGAGCGCTTTATACGCAATCGATAACATATTGAAGTGGAAATTTTCAAAAGGCATTTACCATGTTCGGTTGTATTTTTTTATTCGCCATTTTGGTTTTTATGGCCAAAAAAATTTTTACGTTCTTTAATCAAAGATATATAAATTTTATTCGCTCTCTGTGTGTGTTGTTTGGAAATGCCATTTCATTTTTTTATGTAGGTAGCGAATAATGCAAAGTTTTTGTGCGTCTTCCAGAATAGTACGCTTGCAAATATTATTGGCATATCTGAGTGAAAGTGGGGCACCCAACGCACAAACTTCACACAAAAGAAAAGGAGTGTGAAAACCTGCCGCAATGAAAGTTTGCATAAACACATTGCGAGAATACCAAATTACTTTAATTTAGTTTGCACTAATTAAGAACTTAGAAGACAAATGAATATAAAACGAAGTTGAAATTAGTTATCATTAAAATTTAATGACGAGAAAATTTTAAAATAAAATTAAGTTTACTTAATATTAATAAAGGTGTTATTACGATAATTTAAACAATAAAGCAACATTTGGAACCTGGCCTTTAGAATTATACAATTCAACAGCAATCTTAGTAAAAATAAATGTTAAGATTTGTAAATATGTGAAAATATTCAAAAATTCAATCAATTGGTATCAACAAGGAAAAAAGAAAAGAAAAAAGACAAACCTTCGTATTTCACAATTAGTAATTGAATTGCCTATTTATTCTTTTATATGCATTTTTTCAAGAGAAATTCAACTTAAAGCAAATGGTTTAACAATAACAATAGATAAACTAAAGCAAAACAATGTTTATTTTTCAATAAATGTACATCATTTTCAGTTAAGTTAATCATGTATTAATGAACATTATTTCCAAGATGTGAGATAAATATTTTGAGTAGACTTTATTCAACGTATTCAATAAATCCTCTAAACCATTGGGTTATCAAAAGCAGATATCTCTACAAATGTACCTTATTAAAGGTCCAATCATTCGCCGGTTTCACTTTACGTCTGGGCTTGTGGTCATAGTTTGGTGATATTAACCGTACTTCACATTCAACGCTTGGAAAATTAACGGAACGATTTTTATTTTGACTTGACTTAAGCATAGATGGCAACTTATTATTCGCTGTTAATGGAATGATTATTTTATTGATTGATTGATCATAATTTTGCTTTGGACTTTCGCCATTGATATTGATTGTGGTGCGATTATTGGTTTTTGGTTTTGCTGCGAAATCGTCAGTGTCATTGTAGTCGCTGCGATATGGGACAAATGATCGATTTTCACCATTTGAAAATTGTCTACTTGATATACTTCGCCATGGTTCAATTGGTGTATCAATATCATCATATGTGTTGTTGGGATTTGTAATTTTTCGATTATTTTGCTTTTTCTGATCCAATTTTGTGAGTGAAGTATATGAACGACTTCCTCGATTTTCATCAAATGGCACATTGAAATTATTGAAAGAATGTCTTCCGGAACGAATTCCAAACGGATTATTTCTTTCTGGCGATTCAATTTCAGTGTAAGTTTTCGTACTTCTAGAGCTGGTCGGTTCATTACCATCATTATCATCAATACGATTGTAATAATTATTTTTAATTCCTTTATTATTTTTGCGATATGTGTTCGAATTGGAATATATGTCTGTGTCGTTGGATGCACTGTATGGAGCCGTAACAGCGATAGGAACCAATTTTCCACTCAGTGGCGTCCGGAATGTAATACTACTATCTGGCGAAGAAACTTGTTCCACAGACGACCGAACAGGTGATTGATCTCTGTTAATTCGAAATGTCTCACGTCGTCCAATTGCATTGTTCTTCGTTTCTTCTTTGACATTGTTGGTATCGACACGAAAAGTTTCATTTCGCATGACCCGTCGATTCGCTCCCACGTATTTGTCATTGTCATCGATTGTCTGCCAAGAGTTTTTTGTATTTTTGTTTGCACGCTCTTCGTTATCTGGTGATTCTTCTCGTTTTCCATTCACATTTATAAACCATAGTTGCTGGTGTTCACGTCCTTTGGCCGGTTTGACCGTATCCAAGAATGTATCACGAAAAGAACGTCGTAAATTATTAATTGTTATTGTTTTAAAGCGATCCGAGTGGTTTTTGTTATTGGTCGAATTATTGTTAATATAAGTTTTATGGACATTTTCATTTTCTGGTTTGTCTTTTCTTCCGAAAGTCGATCCAAATAAATATTCTCGTGGTTTTAACGTTTCGGATCGAAAACTAGACGCATTTCTATTAAAACTTGAACCACCTTTGTTAATCGTTGGTGGACTGGTAAATGATGCCATTTCATCCATGCCGTGAATACTTTCATTTGATGATTTCGATGAGTGGGATGATTTCAAGGAACGTTTTGCATAAAACGTTTCGAATACATCTTTGTTCACAGTATTGGCTAAAAAAAAACCGACAAAAGAAAGAACAACATAGATTAACTCACACTTAAATAATCAATCTTTAGTTTCACCTTATATAGACTTGAAACGACAAAAAATGTGCTATTAAAAACGCGTTTTACGTACCATATGGTTCATTACTTTCACAATTCGGAAATTTTCCTTTCTTGTGCGGATAGGTGCCATTTTGTAAGTTAGCCTCATCCTTAGCATCATCAAGTGTGAATGTATCGCTCCGCGATAAGCTTCCGCTTAACAAATCATTTGAGTTAGTTTTTGTTAACTTGTTTGTTGAATGCGTTGACGATTTAAATAGTTTGTTGTTGTCGTTGTTTCTTGTTGATTTTTCTTTCGCATCATTGTAGTGGATGCCATGATTTGAACCTGTGTAGAATTGGGACTTTTTCGGTTTGACACTTTTTTCATTAAAACTTTTCGTTGATTTCCGATAATTGTGTTGATGGCCATCATTCTCAGCAGAAGTTGGTAACTTTTTGCTTCGTGAACTCGATGGCAGAACGGTTCGACGAAAACGACCAAGCAATGACATTTGTTCAATATTTTAATTTGAAAATCAAAACTATTTGGTTAATTTTATTTCACACTAATAGTTTCGTTTCGTTCTTTTCGTTTGACACTTTTTTCAAATATCGATTTTGTATATTTTTGTTGATCGAAATGTTACTATTATTATTTTTTGAATTCGATTCAGCGTGACAGAAACTAATCTTGTACTACGCACCGATGTAATGAAATAAAATATTATTACTTTGTATACGGCACACAAAAATTCTTGTAACTTTTCTATTTGCGCGAATGCACTCAATCGAATGAAAATATTTTTTGTTTTTCAAAAAATACTCATGTTGTTGCAAGTAAGTTCCATCACGTTCGATTTGAATCAAACATTATAACAGACTGGAATGAAACACACACGATGTTCATTAATTTTAAAATCAACCTCGATCTCTATCCGCTTGACACTGACAAACGATCTTCTCGCAATAAAAACACGAATCGGTTTGCCATTGCGAAATTTTTTTTTGTTTCGTACAAGCCACTTCTGTAAACTGAAGAAACAACTATTTTTAATCTCTTATTCATTTTATTCACGTCGATTTTGTGTGGACTGCGTTTTGAACGACAATATATTTACAGATGAAATAAAGCGAAGAAGAAGAACCAAAACATGTAAAAAAACGCAGTTATACCAAATTCGTTTGCAGAAAAAAAGCGTTGCTTAACGTTAATGTACGTGTATTTAAATGCTATTACACTCAAAGCCTAATAAGTACATCGACTTACTATCAGGACGTTTAAAGCGAGTCTTCAGATAAAATTCAATATATCTTGTTTGTGCCAACTCATGTCGTTTGTCCGACAGCTGCCAAAAATATTTGCATTTTTTCTTCTCTTCGCTCTTCAATTGAAAGTAAAAAAAAAAAACAAATTTGTGCCGGAGAAATACCAATTCGTTTTACTGAGTATTGTTATTAGATTTCATGTGTACTGCCGGCTGTGCTTTTTCGTTTCTACCATATAAGGAAAATGCGGAGGTAGTTTTGAATATATATAGTTAAAATCCGATCTTTTTTATTAATTGGCAAAGTTATTGCGTAGGCCTCCTCACTGCTGCTGCTGCTGCTTCAAATGAATTTAAGTATATGAACAAATATGCTGTTTTCATAAAATCGAAATTGACTTCATTTCTGTCGAAGTTTGTTATGGATATATTTTGTACGTGTATTTTTTTTATTTACATATCTATGTTTAGTACAAATATTTTTTTGAAAATTGGATTGCTCGTGTTGCCGCATGCACTTATTCTTCTTGGAATGCCAACAGCTTTTCAGTCTGAGTATCTGATCCCAAATAGTCTTTCTACCAAACTTTATACATATACTTTCGTGTTTCTGTGCTGTGTTTCTTTGGTTAGTCACGATACTTATTATTCAAGTTCACCGAAAATTCATTAAAAAAAAGGTTTCAGTAACTTTTTTTCCATTTCTGGTGGACGGGTTTTTGTAAATAATTATATAACGGTATAGATATAAATATATTACCGTATATTCATATCGTGAAATACCAGTGATTGGTCGGAGTAGTGCCATCTATTGAATTGAATATATATTATTATGATGAGCATTGGCGCGAATTTAAAATATCCACTGCGATGAAGTGTTTGAAGTTAAATTTGTTAAAAGTCTTTGATATATAATCATTATTCATCACTTTAATCACTTTATTTTCACCATAACAAACTATTTGCAATAAAAATGCCATTGTGGATATGATGTTTTCAAACAATAGCAAGGAACAAACTTTGCCATGTTGAAATACGCTTGAGTTCTTTCCAAATGTAATTTCAAATGGAAGGCAAAGATAATAATCATATGCAAAGATAATATGCCAAATTCCATTTGTTTTATTTACAAAAGTGATTTGAGTTATTCGATTTTAGTTTTCACAACAGATTTCTTTTTAAACGTTCATCGCATTGCATTTATCTCTTCGAATTAGGAACACACTTGAACCTGTATGACATTTAGAAGTTGTTGTGTGTATCAAAATGAAGCCTGTCAGTATTTGTGTACATGACTCCAAAATGCAAAAAAAAAAATTGCATCATGACAGTCGTTTTAGATCAGAAAATTGATTTCTTTCTTTTGATTTTAGTAAACATATAGGTTTGTTTGCGAATAATGGATGCTTGTTTTTGTTTTGGTTTTAAAATAACAGAACAATCACAACGTAAGCAATCAGAATCTCTTCATCAACTGTACGATCGAATTATATATGCTCAATTTATGTATCATGATGATGATTTTGCGAAGAAGCGCGTTGAGTGTGACAATTTATTTGCATGTCTCAGCATGAAACGACATTAAATTTGATGTGTTGTTAATCAAATCAATAATTCTTTTGTCAAAAATATTAAAATTAGGTATTCAGGAAGTGTTTTCATCATTTGGTCATTGTATTTATTCTTTGGAATTTCGTTTTGAGTCTGATTTGGTTTAGATAGTCAAGCATTGAAAAAAAGAAGAACATTGCGATTTTCTTATTTGCACTTATCTGAAGAGAATAAGTCGATTTTCTACTGGACAGATGGATATATTTTGAAAATGTTGCCCAAGTTGGCCCGATTCAAATTTTTTCCGATGGAAATTAACGGATTCGAGAGCCAAAAGATATTCAAAAAAGTAATATACAATGGACACAGTCGATATCTGCTGCTCCGAAGTCGAAAAGACTGGCGGCTGGTATTCGATCGGGTAGTGTTTCATTGCAAATGATATTGTAAATAATTGTGATAAAATCAGTCTGTGATCAGACGTTGAATAAATAAATAGTAATAATGTTGTGAAAAGAATCCCACTCGCAAATTAAAATCTCCGGAAATTGGAATTCTCCAGAAATTATAACCGGCTTCTCCAATGCAGATTCTAAAATTTGAACCAATTGGCTCTAATTTCTGAAAGGATTTCTTTCTGTTTAAATTTGAACAACGAAACGAAAACAAAAAAACATGAAATTATCGAGCGTTCATGCTTTGTCATTTCAATGGAAAGTAAGAATGTAATCCAAACTAAGCCCCTGAAACCAAACATTCGTATCAAATGTCGTAACTCTTTATGCATTCACACAGTTTATCTCGTTCGTTTTTTTTTTCGATACGCGTAACGCTAATTATGATTTAAATTTATTGATTTGTTATTTCTCGCTCGACATGTGCAAAAAGCACCAAAAGAAAACATTTTGGGTGCGGTTTCTAAAAATGAAAAATCAACCGTACATTATAGAAAATCATCGGTCCGACATTGAATACAAGAGAAAAAATACAAATTTCATTCTTAAAATGTTTAAAAACAAAAGAAAAACTACAAAATTCATTCAGAAATTCGAACTTTTCGGAAGTGAACAATCAAACAGGTTCTAATTTGCAAGTGTCTACTGTATGGCGACATTGAATAGCTTATCAAATCAATTTTTTGTCATTAATTGAATTTTGGATATGAACATTGTGACGTCGAATAACACTGAAAACAATAATACAACCGGTCCAAAATTCGACCGTGAACTTGTGCCTTCTGATAATGATGATATTTCGTTACCAATTGTTTCTTGGGATAGCAATATAAACATGCTCTGAGCTATTTATGATCGATGATCTCATTGGAATATGCACAGAATACAAGCAAAAATACTTCCTCTTCAATAAAGAAAGTGATGATATGAGCAATTTTACAAATTCCAGATTCAATGTACAAATATTCTTTTTATAGATTAAAAATACACTTACCGTGTCAGAAATATGCATTTTTGACAGCAACTTTATGTTGCATGTTATTCCCTCATTATTGATTGATTCCATCTCTAACATTTCTATACGAATGTGCTCGTGGAAAAGTGGTGGTTTTAAGTTGAAAACAGAGTAAATGAGTCACCAAAACAACTATTCCATAACCACTGCGTTTATTAAGTGGTCAATTTTAATTTTATTTATTCGCGTTACTTTCGTTATAATAACAAAGAAGCTATTTATACGGGGTTTAAACTTGAATAAAAAAAAAACACATGTATTATTTTGTACTTATATAGGTCAAGAAATTGTTAACGTCTTGGTCCGTAATTTGAATACGCAACGTTTTACTTTCAAAACTATTTCATGTAATCGCACCGAATAATATTAGAATCTATAATATGTTCACATTGAAATCTTATAAGATTTTATTTAACTCATCATTAAATTCAGAAATTGGTGGTTATTTGCTTTCGTTGTTTGAAACACATGAAGATTCAAGTTTGAATTTCGTGCACATGTGTTCATCAAAATTTTGATTGAGATTCACATAACATATGCCATATTTGGTCTTATGTGTTTTGTATTATACAGCATTAGTAGGTTAATTAGCTTGTGTTTCATTAGCTTCTCTTTTTTTTCTATTAATGCACAACTTCTTCATCAATGCACAGTGCACTTCACCATTTCAAAGATAGAACTTTTCTGAACCAATTTTCATTGTTGTATGTTCAAGAGAAACTCCGAATTACGTTTTATTCCGAAACTTATACTTATTACTTTGATATGTACATAAATCACGACATCAGCGAATTGTCAAATATAATTTTTTTTTTGTATATAAGTAAGTCTCTTCACTGTATTCTTAATGATTTGATGTTAAAAAGATAATTAATGATATCGAATGTCGAAGAGAATGGTGAATATTATGATTGTTATGGCCGGTTTTTTTTCTTTCGTTGACCGCTGTCGTTGATCACATACATACGTATTACACACATTAAAACCATGCAATCAAACCACGATCATAGAAAGGAATGACGGAATCATTTCAGTTGACTACAAAAACACAGAAAGCAATCAAAATCAAAAGTATGTAAATAAAACCACTGACACAAATAATATCAATACAATAAATTTGACAGTGTGTGTTAGTCCGATTGTGGCACACACGATATTTGATGAACACACAACTTTATAAATGAATGTCAAACGTTTTGGCTTGAAAAACTTCCTATCACATTCTTACAGCAAAATTCCAAATTTGTGTGTTTCGCGTTGGCTATTTAGTACTGGAAAATCATATATACCATATATAAAAAAAAATCAAACAGCTCCAGTGTAAACATTAGTTCAGCATTGAAAATATCAAATTCACACAGAACACGTTTCACATACATAGAACACATGTGAATGTGTTTGTCATACGGCGGCGAATCATTGTGGAAAGCATAATAACAAACACAACGTCAACAATTATCAGAATATTTACAAGTGTGCGATGAACGTTAAAAAAACGAAATAAATAAAAAAAAAACAAGATCATCAACATACATACATGTGTATATGTATAGTATAAGAAAACAACAAGTGAGCTCCAGAACGACAGAAGAAAAACTTGATTAGTTTTGAAGCAACTGGAACAAAGAACGATACTATGAAAATACACATGAACTTTTTTATTGTGTACGATTTTTATTTGCGTTCTTTTTTTTTGTTGAAATTAAAAATATAAAATTATCAAAATAATCGCATTTTTAACGAATGACCTTTTCATATAACAAATTATAGAACATTTTATTTTTGGAAATGACGAATAAGTAACTGTATTTTGTGCTGGAGAAATATTTTGTTGTGAAGACAAGCGACATCTCCACGTAGAAAAGAGAATGAATCAAATTAAAGTGCTTAAAAATTCAAAGTATTTTGTATTATTTTAATTATATATTTTGTTTTAATTGAACTAAAAAAAATAACATTTAGAAAAACATAAAAATAAAAATTCGGCACAAATGCAGGATGTTTACACAATCATTTCACGTCACTAACAAATTTCGAAAAACACTTGTTTGACAGTCGCTAATAGCAACTGTCGAATAGATTTGGTTTATGCTTCAAAAGCGGTCGTTTTTTTTTTCAATTTCCCACTAAAGCTCACCTCAAAAGTATCCTAATTTTCTATTATAAAAGAAAACATAGTAATTAATTATATTAGTGTCTACCAACCGTGATGAATTTTAATCAAACAATTTAAGCCAAAAACGGTTTTTTGGTTTGAATCAATATTTTATTCGAAAAATAATAAAATATTAATGTAAAATATAATGTTTTTCGAATAAAATATTGATTTAAACCTAAAAACAGTTTTTTGGCTTAAATTGTTTGATAATAATTAATTGTTTACTTAGAATAACTAATTAGAATTTTACAATAATTTTACACAATATATAATATTCTCGCATATTTAGAAAAAAATCAGAAAGATAAAACATATTTAGAAGTTTAACCATGCGGGAAAAACTTAGAAGTGTTGTTGTTAACAAATTTTACGAAAAAACGGTGAAGGTTATCGGAATCCGCTATTTTGCTCCTCACTTAGGAGGAACTCTGCTCCTCAGTGCTCCTTAGGCTTTTGAATAATTTATTTGCGAAATAATTTTGACGGTGGCGGGACTGTGCGGAGTTTGGCGGAGATGACATACAAACTCTGTGTGTACGAGGGTAACAGCACTTCTATGTGTATCTTTCTTACGCAGATGATTAGTAACTTAGCTGTGAGTACGGCTACTAAGATGTTCGTTTGGACAAAATAAATCTATGAACAGCAAAGAATGCTGTTGCACTCGTACAAACAGCATTTGCATGCTATCTCCGCCGAACTCCGCCGAACTCCGCACAGTCCCGGGTTCTGAGAAACATTCTCTGCAAATTGTTCATTTTACGGTATGAATAATCAATGCTCGCCAATAATTGGTAATAATTCAAATCATGCGAGTTCTTCCAATCAAACTTAAACGTCAAATGTTGATGTCAGGTAACTTACTTTATCAGCTATTACAACCACATCGACAATAAGACAAGATGATTTTTGGCACATCTGGCCCGGTATCAAAAAAGGCAAGCGTCTTGCTGAAACTGCATTCGATTGAAGAAGAAATAAATATTTTATAACATATCAGAGTCTCCAGAGTACTTTTCAACTCAGAACATTTAGAATTAAAAATACTTGTCGAAAAGGAAAAAAAATGTTGTTCAAAAGTATTGAAAAAAATAACATGGACTGAGTTCATTCACAAACTATCAGGGATTGTTCCCCTGAGGAGGTGGAATTGTGAGGTGGAAAAGGAAGAGGAGGAGATTACTAAGGAGGACAACCCAGAGCTCTCCTCCTCCTTTTCGTCTTCACTATTCCACCTCCTCAGAGAAACAATCCATGATTTTACCAAAAAACTGTGATGGTTATCGGAATATACTATTCTTCCGAAGGTAAGTTGAATTTTGCATTCGGCATTTTAGTGGCAACTGATGTAGACGGTGCCGAAAAGTTTTTTAGAAATAACAATCAACAACAATTTTTTTAAATTATTATTTCTACTTTCATTCACAATAGACAACATCGAAAAAAATGAAATTAATAAATCAAGAGTATCATTGCCGAATTTTAGTAAATTTTTTTAATAAAATAAGCAATGTCATCGACGACTCATCGTCATATGGCGCCTTCAATCAATCTCAACTCAATTCAACCAGAATACGAAGTGATCCAATACTAGTGCCAAAATTGATGCGAACGATAAAACATCCGCTATTCCAACAACAGCAGTAGCACAAGATCTTCCAAATTGCTTATCTTACAGTATGAATAATTAATGCCAATCGATGGGCATAATTCAACTCATTTGATATCTTCCAATCAAAATCAAACGACAAGTGTTGGTGCACCATATTATTCGGGTAAATTACATTTTCACAACTTTAGATAAAAAAAGTTCATGTTCATCAGCCATTTCAACCACATCGACAATAGCACAAGAATTTTCAAAGATTTTTAGAACATCTTGCTGGTTATCAAAAAAGCAAGCCTTTCGATGCAACTGCATCCGATTTTAGAAGAAAAAAGACTTTTATATCATACATTTTCTTTAAAGCCAAGTGAAGTACTCTCAATTCTTAATTGAATCCCTTAGAATAAATCAACATTACTAGATAAATGTCTTCAAATGCGTTACTGAAAAAAGTCAGTCAGCAAAAGCGTTATAAAATATATGGACGATGTCACGCTTTTGTTGGCGAACTTTTTTATATAACGCATTTGAAGACATTTATCTAGTAATGCTGATTTATTCTAGGCGGTTCAATTTAAGATCAGAGCAGAGACTGTTTCTCAGAGCAATATGTATGAGGAGGAGCGCTCAGAGGAGCCGGAGGATCACTGAGGAGCTGAGCTCCTCCTCAGTCAGGAGCGAAATATTAAAAGTTAAAAAAATTATTCAAATCAATAATACTATTATGAATTTTGATATTTTATCAACTTTCAATATTTTGCTCCTCACTGAGGATCCGCTGGCTCATCTAAGCGCTCCTCCTCTCATATATGGCTCTTAGAAACAATCCTTGCAAACTAATGACTATTTCGATTTTTGCGCAAAAAATAAATAATTTTGTACGAGTATTCTTCCATATCTTTTATTTAAAAAAAAAAAACATTTAATTTGTCGATATTTCAATCAAAACCAAAGGTCAGTATCATCATTGGCATTTTCAGAGTGATTTCTTGCTGTTTCTGCGGGTTGCGGCTCTTCGTCACTGTCTGAAATGGCTAAATCATCGTGAATACCAACATCGTCCATGGGCTGCAGTCTATCGCTTTGAGTCGTGCTTTGCTGTGGCGATGTCATTTCCTGCGAATAAGTCTCTTGGGATGAAAAATCAATTCCCTGTGATTGAACTGTCATCTCCGATGATTCGGACTGTTCCACTTTTGTTGTATGCTTTTCGTACAGCAACATTTCCGACATACTAAACGATTCATTTTCTTGTTCATAGACTTGTGATTGTGATTGTGGCTCTTGCTTGATGTTCGTATAGTCAATTTTAACGGAAGTATCTTTTTTGCTTGACATCTGTAGAAAGTCGGATGGATCATAATTATCCAGATCCATTGATTCGTCTATTTTTATGAAAAAAAAAATTAATTTCATTCATCTTTTTTAAATAGGAATTGGGTTACCTTGTTGATTGTAATAACCAACTCCACTTAATTGTACCATTGCTTCGGCTGCTTGTTTACTGTCTTCTGCATTATGATCAACGAAAAAAGGTTTTATGTTAATGGAAAATGGTCTTAATAAAATCAAAATCGAATCAGAATAGTACCTGGAGCATAGTTGACAGGCTGTGAGCTTCTGGCCAATGCTTCGCCCTGGCCCAAAGTGGCAGCAACGATTTCATTTTCACCAATCACTTCTTCGAATTCACCATCGTCCGACGAAAATTGTAAATCTAACAAAAAAAATATTCATAATATATAAGTCACAATACGAATATATAAGTTTTTTTTCGTTTCAATTTACCTTCTTCCAAATATGAATTTTGTGTGTTGCTTAAATCTGATGTCATACTATTTTTACGTGGTCTTCCTCGTCCACGTTTCTTCCATCCTTTTCCTAAACATACATTTTAAATTAAAATATTGCCGAATGACACACTTGTAAAATAACAAAAAAACTGCATACCATCGGGTGTCTCTTTCAATTTGCGTGGACGACCACGATTACGTTTGGCTTCTGGTGTAACTGGCATCCCAGATGAAGTAGATGGTTTTTGTGAATTTGCGGATGCCGAAGATTGTGGCCGATTATCAGTTGATTCAACATCAACAAAGTCATTTTCTGGTGAACTGGCACGACTCATCTATTTTAGAAGCATAAATGAAAAATGGAAATGAAAAACCAAATCCTCAGAAATTGTACAAAAAAAAAAAAAAAAATATACTGGACAATTCATTACATTTCGATTATCATTATCATCTTCAGGCCATGATTCATCAATTTCAGCTTCCATTTTAGCTCTCTCTTGAACGATGGCGATATTTTTCTCCAATTGTGCGCAATGATCGGCAAACTATAAATCAACGTTTACACATTTAATATTGTTACGAATCGAATGGTGTTGAATGCAAAATTTACCTCGTCCAATGATTTCTTAGTGGCATCAACCAGAACTCGGGCATCTTTTGTGAGCTCCGAATCAGCACCATTATATTGTTCACAATTGTTAGCAATCAAAACAATGTCGGATATGAATTCAGCCCGCGAATGATATTTATGCGCTGTAATCGAATTATTGAAACAATTATAACAACCGATATCAATTCGATAACCAAAAAAAAAAACTAGCCAAATTACCTGCAACTTTCGTCGATATGGTTTCTAAATCCATTGGTTTCTTAATAACCGAATAGTAGTCTTTAAATTGTTTCCGATTGACTGGTTTCTTAAATACGTTACTTTCTCGCATATTTTTTAGTTTTTCGTTTAGTAATTTTTCGAATATGAATGATAATGCCACTTGATCATTATCATCCAATAATGGATTGATCGCTTTCTCCAACCGCATTAGTCGCTCTTCCTTTTCGGCCAAACATTCAACGCATTTCTGTAGCATTCTCTGTGCGGCAGCAGTAAGTGGACTTTTTGGACCATTATACAAGCTACTATTCTCAACAATTTGATTAACATCGGCCAAAAAGTCCTCTCTACTTTGATATTTATTCTTTCGAAGATTTTCACGAATTTGTTGTAAATCCATTGGACGTTGAACAACTTTGAAGTAATCTGGTGCTTCCTGTTGATATATCGAAGCTTTAGTAACGAATAAATTATTTATAAAGACTGAACTGAACATACCTTTGAGGTAACCGGTTTGATAAAAAGCTGAGCGTCTGGTAAATCTCTGAGCTCATTGAGAATTTGCAAGAGGATGGATGCCATCACAATGACCGGATCGGTTCGAATTCGTTTTGCCGTTTTATTATGTCGCAAATAATCACAATGTTGATCGGTTCCGGTGCGTCGTCGTTTACCTTTATTAACCGCTTCTTTTGGTACTTTTAGCAGCAATGCCCGACGCTTAACGTCTTCGTGTCGTTTCAACAATTTTCCACTCAATTTCACTTTTGTTCCATCCACATTGACCAAATCTTCGTCATCATCATTCATAAGTTCACGTTCATAGTCTTCTTCTTGTTCTTCCGTTAAGGCAACCATCAATGATGGTTGTGGAACGGTTCCGGTGTACAATGGACACGCTTTGTTCGTACGCATATGACCCACTTGACCGCATGCGCCACATTTTAATTTGAGATCAGGTTTCAGCTTGATTTTTCGGCGTGATGGGCTTATTTCTTTTCCAGCGGTTGTATCTTTGGACAAAGATGTGCCAAGTTTTGATGGATTTGTCGGCGATTCGCCCAATGGTTGTGATACACCTTGTGTCAAAAGATTTTGGCTTTGTTGTTGCTGTAACATATTCACTTTTTCCTGATTTCTCTTGATGCGTCGCAATTGCTCTTGAATACGACGTTTTTCACGTTTCATTTCCTCCTTTTGAGCTTCATCGAGTGTTGCAAATTGTCTAATGAATGCTTCGTCTTTTGACTGTCGAATTCGCACATATGCATCTATCACTTGTGGCCTAATTCAAATGAAAAAAATGATTTTTGTTTAATGAATGTTTTCAATCAACCAATGCTATAGAACTCACCTTCGAACGATTTCCACTCGTGTAAACTCTTTGCCTTCCGTATTTTTGAATGTTCTTGTAATTTTCAAAATACGACCGGGTTGCAAGTGTGGCGCAATTGGTGATGTTTCTTCTTTTTTCTTTGAATCTTTTGGTGCCGCTTCTCGCTCTTCCATAATTTTCTTCAGCAATTCTTGTCGTTCTTGTTCTTCACGTTCCATTGACAATTGTACCGATGTCTTTTTATTGGCAAGCATATTTTCCAAATTTTTACCCAATTCTTCAATATCCGACTCTTCCGATACGCTCGATTCACCTTCGTCCGTTGACAACACTTCACTGCTGGCCAAAACTTTGTTTTGCAAATCGAAAATACGTTGACACTCTTCTTTATAACGCTCTTGATGTTCGGCAATTGAAAAACGATTTCCACGGGAAAATTTGTCCATTCCTTCTTCGCCGGCTTTTGATTTTTCCGTTGACAATGTACGCACCACATCGATCACCTCCCAACGTGATAATTTTTTAATTTCTTCTTCGGGTACATCGTATTTTCGGAGAATTTCTTTTGCATTATTTAATGAAAGACGTCGCAAATCGGCATCGGTACCGGTGACTGTGCGCTTTGGTTGTGATTCAATTTCTTCTTTTGTTTGCGTTGGCTTATTTGGAATTCGAACATATGAGAAACCTTCACCCATACCAGTCGGATCGGCTGGTCCGGTCAATTGCAACAAACATTTGCCACGCATTGCTTGAATATAGGCTCGTGTTGTATTCCACGGTGCAACTTTTACTTCGTCGTCCATTTTTAATTGTTGCTCTTCATCGTCATCATCTTGTTGTGCGAAAATAAATTTCTCACCGTAACCGGCATCTTTTAGACGCTGTTCGGCAGCAATCATACTAAAGTATGCACAACATTGTTCTGGCGAGACCATAGCTCGAATTTCTTCTTCGGATGGTAAACGAAATTCTGGTTTAATGACCCACCAATTCGAATCCATACCGGTACGCTTGAAATCGGCACACTGTTTCAAACGCTTACGTATACTACTTTCTGAATGACCCGGAAAAGCTCGTTTAATGTCATCCATTCGAATACGACGCGGTTGATCTTTACTTTTCCAAAACAATCGATAGATAAACACTTGCAAGAAATCACGAACAAAATTATTTGCACGCTTCGAATTTGGACCAGGCACTTCGTACAATGGACACTCTTGGGCTACGGTGAATAGTGCATCAATCTCACGAATAAAATATTCGTTTCTAAACAAAAGATAAAATAGAATTGTTAATTAAAAATTGAAAGAAAAAACTTCATCAAAACTATTGATTGAGGTACCTTGTTCGAATGAGTAAGAAATCAGTCGGTGAGACACTGTGTGGATAAATTGGTGCACGATACATATTATTCTCGAGTGTTTGTATACATTTTCCTGGTTGTAAAATACCCAAAAATGGACTTGTGTGCGCGTACGCAATTTCACCATAACGATATTCCGGCGGACATGAATCCTTTTCAGCCTTTCTTTTATAGTAATTCTTTATCTTCGAACACATACCGACCTAAAAAGGCGATTTGGTTTTAATTCACTTCTCGTCTTGTTTGCCACAAATCATAATGGGAATGCATGAACTTACTTGATTCATAAGCGGCGGATGTTCCTCGGTGAATTCCACTAAAATCAATTCACCATCTTTACCCGATAAATCTTCTGGATTTCTCATGAAAAATACGTCACCACCTCCAGACGCAATTCGCTCCAATTCTCTTTGCTGTAATTCAATTGAGAAACAAATTAAAATCGATTTTAATACGAATATGTAATGAATTCCAGTTTACCTTCGCCTTCTTTTTGATATGTTTGAGAAGTGGTTGAACACCATGCGGTGCAGTTCCATGCAATGGTCCGTGTGAATATTTTTTCATTGGCGGCCGATGGAATGCACGCAATTTGATTGGTCCCATGTGCGTTGGAATGAATGGTGCACGTAGTTCAACAACTGGTGTTGAATGTTGAATTAAATTACCTCCACCAACCTTCATTCGCATCGTACTTTCCGACGATTTGGCCATATAGAATCTGAAAACAAGCACATTTTTAATAAAAATTAAAAAAAAAATCACTTAAAAGTCACTTACGTATCATTCGAAATATTGAATGGATCTCGATCGGGTGATTTTGGTGGTGGAGGTGGTGTATCTTCCGCCAAAACGTTGATAACACCAGCTTTGCCGAGTAAAATCTTTGATTTCTTAACGTGTGGATGTGGTATTTTCACTTTTGGTGGTGGTCTTGTATTTTTAACAATTTTCGATGGATCGATATCATCGGGTATGCCCAAAATGATGTTTTCATCGTTTGGATCTAGTGAAAGCATTTTCGGTTTGGGTACTTTTGGCATTGCATCAACATCCCAAATAACTTCATCTTCCCATCGACTGTAAATGAGTTCTTCGTTTTCAACCGGAAATATACTGTACCATGTGTCGTCAGTTTCTTCAAGTTTTTGAAGTAGCGCCTGGCTTTTCGATAATTTCGAGTTGGACGGTGTATTTGTCATTTTTGATGTAGTCGCCGTGCCACTTGTTGCATTCGGTCCTTTGCCATGACCCGGTTGACTAAATGCGCCAGCCGTTCGTGATCCACTCGATGGTAACCAACCTGCAGCATTTGTTTTTGAATGCAATTTTTGTAGCACTTTATGTTTTATATCATTACCATCCCATACAACATCGTCTTCCCAATGCAATTGTGAAACCATTAAATATGCATCGTCCGGAATTGGATCCTCTGTGATCGCTTCCTTTTCCGGTTGTTGTTCAACAACTTTGTTGTCTTTCACTTTGAAACCATAGTTAAATCCCTCTCTAAAATTCGAGAAATTCATTAATATTTTTGATTTGTTGGAATTGCAGGCTTTTCATACATACCCGGATGGAGGAACATCAAGCATGTCGTACCATACTTGCGCCGGCCCATATCGCCAATCGGCAACTTTTGGCTTGGCATCACCGTTTTCGTTATTATCGGGTGTTTTTTCGTGTGATTCGTCGGATATTTCACGCATCAATAGATATTCATCATCGACAGCAATTTGAGCTGGCGTTGGTTCAGGACCATAGCATAATGTTAAAAAGCCCATATTTCTTCTTTCATTTTTCTCATCCGTTTCACTGGTTGAGTCGGAACCATCTTTTTGATTCTAAAATTTAAATTCCATATTACATCTGGGATAATTAAAAAAAAATATGAAAATACACACCCGAACCTCCTTTGATTGTTTTCGTTTTCGTCTCTTTTTGCGAACGCTACGCCAAATTTGTGGTAAACTAGTCGGTTTTCCAGGGCCAAATAGGCGTGAAAATCTCAAAACTTTGTCCGGACGGAAATCGGGAAACAATTCACGAACATCGACATTGGCGTATTTTGATGGTAGCATCGCAGCGAGTGGTGTTTCCAATTTTCGATCAATATTCTTTCCTTCGTCACCTGTTCCACTATTCTCTGATTTTGACGAATCGTGACTAAAAAAAATTCATTCAATTAATTTATTATTAGTTCAAAAACACTACCAAATAAAAAGTTTATTCCCCGAAACTTCTTTCCCATTGAATGAACAATTTAAAAACAAAACAAAACAAAACAAAAAAAAAATTGAGAAAAAATCTTTCGTCATTTGAAATGTACCTGATTTGGCTTTTGATCGGAAGGCTCGGTGGTGGCATTAATTCTTTATCATTATCTTTGGAAATGGTTTCGGGTTCTTTTGACTGTGTAACAACACGATTCGAACTGTCCAGTCTAACCGTCGTCGCCGGAATGGCTGCTTCAATGTCATCGTAATCATCTCCACTTGCAGTTGGCATCACACTTGGCTACACATAGATTCATTTGTATTTCATTCGATTGTGAAATCATCAAAATATTAAACAAACAATCAATATTTCGGACAGTTACCTGCATGGCAGTTTGTAAATCTTCCGCTAATTCAGTTATATCACTAAAATCTTCGGCTGTATCAGACTTTTTGTCTTCGTAATCATCGTTATCTTTTTCGGCATGTCCATCCTCTTCTCTACTATCCAACTCTTCTTCGTGCATAACTTCCAGCAAATTGCCAATGCCCAACCTGATAAAAACACGTACACATTGTATTACATTTGCATAATTTTTCAAAAATAACCGCAACACAAAACAAGTAAACAATACCTTGCCAACGACGATAATTGCTTCTTTGATTCATTGTCAAATAAATCGGCCTCAAGTCTACCCGCTGAATCGATGTTACCAAACAAAAATCCAGTTAAATTCACTTCATTTTCGTTTTCATTCTCATTATCACTATCTGTGTCCATTTTTATTTATTTTGTTGAATTTTTCGTAAACTTATTTTCGAAAAAAATTTATAAAAAAATGTTCTAAATACAAAATTTTGTTTATTTCTATGCCGCAACCTGATGGATCCCTATGCCATGCATTACACATAGCTTATATTTCTAAATAAAACAAATGTCAATGTCATGTCAGTATGTATCACATAGATGGTTGCATAAAAACATCGAAAGATGGCGGTGGCGTGCACATCGCTGGCATCATTCCATATTTTCAATCTATTTTAAATTATTATTTTTAAGACATTTACTAATTAATTATTTTACTAATAATTATTATTTTTTTTGCAAATTTGGAATTTTCACACACCAATTCAATGAGGGAAGCAAAAAGGTGTCATCAAGACTAATGACAAAATACAAATCGCCATTGTTGTATATTTGGCGAATTCAAAAATTGAAGGGTCATTTTGACGTTTGTGATTGCAACGAACATTTGAGCTGTATAAGCGGATGACTATTTGTTTACATTTTCAACAAAAACCTCTTAATTTTAATCAAATCGAATAAAATTGTGTTTTTTTTATCCATCGAAATTCGGTGAATCAATTGACAAAATGAATAATCAAGATATAGAATCACGTTTACAGAGCCTAATCGAATCAGATAAAGTGGTCAGCAAAAGGCTGGCATTGAAAGAGAAGCGTTTATTTAAAAAGTTAAACTTTTTAGGTATGTCGACCGTCGTGAAATTTGTTCATTGAATTTTGATTTCAAAATTTAAATGAATTTTCGTTTTATTGTTAAATCTTGTAGGAAATACAACTGATGCAATCAATCAAATGAAACATGAGAAAAATATCGAACTAATGACGACTGACAAATTGCTGAACGAACACCGAAAAGTGCTATCATCATTGCGAGAAACACAAGTAATTTCATATTAAATTGTATGTTTTGGTTTGATCGAATAAAAAAAAATCTGATTTTTAAATTTACAGACAACACTTCGATGCCAAATTCATCGTTTGCGAAAGAAAGTGACAGATATGAGACATCATACAAATAAAAGTGAATCAATAACACCCGACGACCGATACGTTTACACGAAAAATGCGTAAGTAATTGTGCCCACAATCAAACTGTGAATGATTTTTTTAACATCTTTTTTTTTTTCAATATTCAATAGATTCAAAAAAAGTTTACTCGGCGAATGCACCAAGATTCGATTCAATGAGATTAAAAAGCATAATCGGACTACATTAGTGGGTTATGTAGCGACTGCGGATAAATTGCATCCATTTGAGGAAAAAATTTCAACCGAATCAAAGCCAGCCGACGTATCATCAATACTTTGGAACAATATCAAATTGAGCAGTAGTCATCTGAACGATTGGGACGATTTATTCTTTAATGATGATGGTTTACGTGCAAATACAACGTTTTAGACTATTGACCAACAAAGAGACCAATCAACCAATTTCTGTTTATATGTGTGTCCACCATCCATTTTATGTATTATTATGTCATTTGTGTGAATCGAACAAGCAACGATTTAGTTAAACAACAATCATGAACGTATTTAAGTAAAAATAAAATATTATATAGATATTTTCTGGAAATGTATCTCATTAAATGCAAATCCATTTGTGAAGAAAACACGAAATTCAAAGGAGTTTTTTTTATTTGTTTGATCGTTTATTTGTTTTTAAATTTATGGGAAATTGTCATGTTCGACATTGAGGATGATTCGGGAAAGTGCGAGATGAAGTAATTCACATAGCCGTAAAAAATCCTCATTGAAAAGAAAAAATGTTGAAAAGTTTGCTATCGATGGAATATCGGACGATAGAACAAAAAATGATTGGTACAGACCGTTTGGCTCACCATTCTAAGTACAAAACTTTCAATTCGAGAAGTTTTTAAGTGTCTTCAGCCTAATAACACCTCAAAATACCGCCATCGCCGACTTTTGAATAAAAAAAAATCAAATAAGTTGAAAAAGGTGATGCATGATGCAGAAGTGAACAGTCAACCATCGCTACAAAAAGAACACCGCATGGAATCGACATTAAAAAATGAAACAGAATCAACTTATCATTGACTAGAAGAGGTTTTTATTCATCAGATCAATCGTATGTTCGAAAAATACAAAGATTTTACTCATCGGCGTTTTCGAATTCGATCGGTTTATTAAAAACATTATTTGAGACTATAGTCAGATCTCTAGATTTAAACTACTTTTTTAACTTTGACGCGAACAATTTCATACAGGTGATTCTGTTAATTCAGTTTCATGTAAATGTTCAGCATTTTCAAAATAAGAGAACGCGGCAGTTTTCAAATGTCATGTCTGAAAAGCATGACGAGAGCCACTACCTTGTGGAGGTAAAGATAAAGACTGAATACTAATTGTGTTATTAAAAAAAAAAGAGAATTGTTTTTCCGCTATTCTGCATATTCGAATGTCTAATGAATTCAGTGAACAATCAACCGACATGAGCAACTGTTATGCTGATTATACGTGCATCTCTCGACAATGTATTCAATTTAAATGAGTGAACAAGAAAATAATGTATGAGAAAACTCGTCTCGCGTACAACTTCAACACCAACACCAACAAGTAATAAGGTGAAGGCGTATAATGATACACCAGAGATTCTACATAGTATAGCAATGTTGTTGCTTTCTCACAATGTAACACGCAACATTTCGATTGTATGCCGACTTAAGCGCGACGACACAAAACGGTGTGTATGGGTGTGGTCGTGTGTGAAAAATCATCAGTTCAATAAACCAAAAACATGTACAAACTTAATGCTTGCGGCTAAAGTATGAACATATTTTGCATCAAAAATTCATAGAAGTGTTATTAACTTTTCGACATTTAAAAATTGACTGTGTCCATCCATGAATTACACATGCATTTGTATGTGTATGTGTGTATTATTAACCACTAGCGCAAGTGCATATCCAGCATATATTGTATGGCATTCACAACTATTTTTGTAGTTTTTGGATATATTGCATTCCAGCCGATATCAAGCCGACTGAGCTAATGGTTACTCATTCTCAACGTGAGCGCGCGTGTGTGTCTGTGTGTGTATGTTTATTAAATCTATTGCCTTTTTTATTCTCTTTTGATCAGTGATCACGCAAGCGTCGTAGACATTTGTTTACTTATTTTGCGTTCGTCAAAGTTTTCCGTTTTCGCGTTGGCATTTTTTTCTCTCGTTCATTTAGTATTTTGACTGCTTCGCATTACATACTATTTACCTAAAAATAAAGTTTTCGTAACAGCCGATTCCAGATAACAAGTAAGTAAATCGATCGAAAAATCTGTTGACCATTCTGGAAATATTCTAGAACTTTATGGGTGCCAATCAAACGAAACAAAAAAAGAGCAAAAGTTCATAATAATTGATTAAATAATGTCTTCATTATGATGATATATTTATTTCATCGAAAATGGTATGGAATTTTGGATTTAGAAGAAATTATTTATCTATTTGTTGTATATATTGCGCATTTAAAATAACAAATGTTTTGCTGTATTGGCAATTAAATAAACAACTTTTAAATTAAGAACTTTTAATTTGCGGTGACGTCAAACAAAAAAGGAATTAACTCAAGTGAAATAATTTGTGTCTAATTCTATTAGTATCAAATAAAATTCATTTTACTGTTTATTCATCGTACACCAATTTTTATACATCTATCAATTTGATACCACATTCTGAGCTAACAAACAAAATGATGAAGAATAACAAACTAAAGAAAAAAACTTCCATATTACAAAGATAACAGCACTGATAATTCAATTTTACACGTAAGAACCTTTGAAAAATAACTCATATTCAAACCCAAAAAAAAAGAAACAAACATCTCAGATTAGACACATGAAATTGAGCAACGTTTACTAGATTTTTCAATGGATTTGAAATTATTTAAATTATTTTTTTTCGGTGCATTCAACAACGAATTATTTAAATATTCAAATGACGTTATGTTCAATGGAAAATCGAACACACCATTGCCGCGATGAATGAATAAATGAAATTTAACGAAATTCATTTCAATGCTCACGAAATTCTTTTGATCGTAAATGGAAACGTGCAAATGCATTACGGTTGCTGACTGTTGTTTTTTTTTCTTCTCTGAATACAAACATTTGAATGTTCATTAGAATACATGATATGGCGGCCGAACAAGTTGTGCGTTGTGCACCAAATATAGTTTGAAAACCCGTATTGAATCGCTTCATTAGCACAATTTATTTTAAAAAAACAAGCCATTGCGTCCCTTTTTTAGATAGCCAACAATCATACAAATAATTGGCATATTGAAACTAGTCACTGCATGGGGATGTTATGAATAGATTTGGTTCAGTAGTTCGCCGTATTTCTAATGAAAACTCAACGTTTTGATAGTGGACAAAAAAAACTTCGTAGGAAAAAAATTAATGTCGACATTTTTCATTACAGAATGAAGAATCCATTGTGGTTTATTATTTGGCTGATCCTTTTGGTCATCTCATTGTTCATTGCCTCGTTCTGTGCTGGATTTTACATCATTGTTCATCCGCTTACTGTTTGCGTGCCAGCTCTTAGTGTAAGTATCGTATACTTTTATGTAAATCGAACAAAAAATAAAGTAAATTAACCAAATTGTTTTTCCTTTCTCCGAATAGGGTTTGAGCGATGTACTTCTCCAAGGCGTACAATTGCCACATTACTGTGCACAATCCATGGTTGAATGTCGTTCTTTAGTTTAAGAATTCATTCAAAAATTATTAACTCTTAAGTTGTTTGTTTTTCTTTTTTTAATATGAACAAATAAAAAGTTCGAAGCATTATTTCCAAAAATAAAAAAAATTAAAATTCCACATAATCTAATTGTTTGCGATGAAATTTTAACACTGATAAGTGAAATAAAAAAAATCAAAAAAATAACGAACATTTGGTTATTCAATTTAAATTTGGATTTTTATTTATCAAACTATTTAGCTAACAACTAATATCGGTCGTATCACAAAAAGAATGAAAGAATTAATTAAATTACGATAATCGATTGTGAATTGAGAATTGAGTTTTTCAGTTTTTGTTGTTTTTTGTACTTAATTGTGTGTATGTGTGAGTGTATGTGTGTCCAGCACTTATTATTGCCGCAATTTTGAGATGTCAAAAAAGGTTTTTAAGTGATTTGATGTGCATTTAAGGGCATTTTAAACATATAAACCGTTAAACAATTCCTTTTTGTTAACGATAGTCGATATCTAATTTTGAATTTTTATTTATCAATCGATCTAATTGACAGAATGCATTGTGCTTTTTCTAAATTCTACTTTGGTTTTCATTTTCTGTCGTTTAAGTTTTTGTTTTTTTCGTCTACAAAAAAATTTCATCAATTTAAAATTTCCTGTTGCTTTTTACATGTGGCGCTTATTAATTCCCTTTTTTTTCGCAATTATTCATATTCTCAACGGTTTAACATGTTTGATTCAATAACGCTGTCATCCAACAGAAAACGGTGTTTGAGTTCAATTTGACCAATGAATTCAAAATGTTTCACACATAATCGGCGCCTCTATTTGTTTAACTACATAGGGTGTATAGAATGACGCTAGTGATATATCGTGATACTATTGGTAGTATGATATGAATATCGTGCTATTGGCACATTTCAATTTTGTGACAACAAATTTGGATCACCAACGTTTTCCCCTCAAACGTAGACATCTAAAATATCAAAATAGAACTCTATTTTTGAGTTCACACGATGAAGAACCAAATTTTTGTTGTCACAAAATTAAAATGTATCAATAGCACGCTATTCATATCGAACTAGCGTCATTCTATTCACTGCTACATACCACCAGTGTACCTTCTTTCATCATGACAATCATTGCGCCACATGTTTCAATTTTTCTAGATATATTGAGAAAATGTTTCGTTGATAATTGTCTAAAAGCGAATTTCGGATGTCTTTTAAATATTGCTTTGGTGCAATTGAATCAATTTTAGAATAACTATGCATAATTTTGCTAATCGATAAATAGAAAGCTCTTAATCACAATTTCACATGCAATTCGAAATATCAGTTATGTGTGTCGGGCCAGGCTCTCCGTCTTCGTTTGTCTCTCTTTCTCTCTCTCTCTCACACACTTTCTATCTCTTCGTGAAAGGAAGTTTCTACATATTACTAATATAGACCTTAATCATACGTTTATCTATAGATAGCAAAAGAAAGGTTCTATTTAGAATTTTTCCACATCAAATTCCAATTGTTTTTTTTTTGCAGGTAAATGTTTTCGATTTGATTTGCTTTCCACTAATTACTAACAGTGTTCGAAATATGAACTTGAGCGAAACAAAAAATACAATGGCATGCCTCTATATGCATACGAAACGAGTGCCAACTAATTTGTGCTTCATCCCTTTTATCTTGCACACGATACGCATTTCGGGTGTTGATTTTGAATGCCAATGGGGATGGGCTAAGTGGTAGGCACTTGGTCCGATATGGAACCGTGTGTCAAAAACTACAAATCGAACGTTTTTTTTTTCAAAAGCCACTACTGATTGAATACAAACACATCAAATGTGCCGAATAATCCGATCCGATCAATTGATTCAAGCCGAGCTAATCAGGCAGGGAAAACTGCTAATTGAAATGCAATCGTCCACGTTATTGTTTTGAATTCATTTTTTTGTTTCTCCGTTCTTTTTTTCTTCTTTCTTTACAAATATTCTACAATATCACACTTAATCGAAATATTTGGACAACTCGCGCCGACTACATTATTTCGACGATATCGTGGTTGTTTTTCGGTCAGTAATTTTCGGAATATCGGCAAAATGGCGGTGTCGCCGTCAAGAAGCTCCGATTCAGAACTAGCACCATAGAGTTCGGCTTTGCTGTTGCGATGTTTTCGCTGTTTTTCCGGCGCCACATTTGGCGATGAATGATGATGTGAATGTTGTATTGATTTGGCAAGTTTACGTTGTGGCGTCGTTGGATTTCGATTTTCACGTTCACGTTCACGTTCGCTATCCGTTTCAGATTGGCCCATCAATGTTTTTGGCTTGTGCCGATGTTTGGTTCGATTCTTTTCGGAAACACTTCGCTGTATCGGTGCCGATATTAAATTATTTTGTTCATGCGGTACACTATGCGCATGTTCTTGACAACGCTGTGGATTTGGATGATTGCGAGGTGATTGTCGTTGTTTTGCATGCGATAATGTGTGTGTGTCCCATAAATCGCTCTGTGACACAACAAAATTTCCTTTCATTGCCGCCCCAACACTGACCCGTCGATGCTGTTCTTGGTTAAGATCTACGAGAAAATGGAACAGACAGAAATACAGTGGATGCCACACAAAAGAAACGAAAATGAATTCTTACTTTTTGTACTCCCTTTGTGCGGGCAAATACTATTCAATTCGGTGTTCGAATGTGTTAATGACGATAAAATCAATTGTGATCGATTTTTTATGGTTTTTTCTTCAAGCTCCTGCAATGAACGGGGTTTTAAATGAATAAATACATTTGATTGAATTGAATTGTTTTTTTCAGCACAAACCTTGTAACGATTAACCGGCGATTGAAGTGTTTTATTTTTTAAGTAGTGCGAATCGTTGGGCGATTTTGCATGATTATCCATTGGTAATGAAGTCTTATCAACTATATTATTTTCCTGAGACCGACTTAAACGCCTTTTTTGTGATGAATCTATTAGCGGTTGATTGTTATTAGTTTCAATGAGTTGTTGCGATTTTTGTGCGGACATCATTTGTACATTCAATTGCTGTAGATCAGTTGGTTGAATTGAACTAAATGAATTCGAAAAAAAGACACAAAATCAATATGGGATCTATCTTTTTTTGTGTTTGAATAAATACTTTTTTCCATCGGCCATGGTGGTAACATGCTCCGAGTCATGAGTTGATGTCAAACTGCCAACTGATGTCATGTCAGTCACATCAGTTGCACTGGGCATATCTCGTCGAACAATTGGAACTGACAGAGTGGGTCGATTAAGAAGCGGCTCTGAATCGGTTGTTCCATCAATCCATGCACGTGCTTCTGGGCCCAATTTACGAATAAGCCCCTAAGAATCGTTTGAAAAAATATATTTATTAATCATTCTTTTTTGCATTTTTTTTTTTTTTTTGCATCGAACCTGTAGTTCTGCTTCTTTTTCCAGTAGCGCCTTTCTAAATCGACAATTATTTGTTTTAACATCGCGTAAGCGTTGTTCAAGCTCACACACCGATGAATCTCGTCGATTCTTCGACATTGGCCGAAGTGTGGCTCGTATTCGTTTGTCAACAACTCCTTGCGGATTACGACGCATTTCATACAGCTAAATAACAAAAGTGACATTAATTTCAAATGTAGCGAGAACGGATGATGTGCAAAATTGCAATAACAATGAATAAATCAAATGAATTTTAGATACCACAATTCTTACTTTCGGTACGAACACAAAGCACAACGTTGCTGTTGTACAAAATATTATAAATACTGAAATCAAAATGAAGACAGCATCACGACGATCAGCTAGCACAAGTGCAATTGCAGCTCCCATGATACACATTATGAGAACATTATAAACACTAAGGCCAATGTGTTTTGAATCGTTAAGCGCTGGTATTGAAACTAATTGCAATAATTAATGAGTAAAAGAAGAAAAAACAACATATTAATCTCGTGGGATTCGACATGAAAGAATCGTTAATATTTACCATGCCGAGTTTCCCAAGCCAAGAATGCACCGAAAATCTGCATGGAAAATTATGGAAAAGTTCAAATTGTATTTTTTGTCATTTTTTTTTTGTTTGTTTCTTTGAAATCATACCAATAATATCCCCTTGTATGCGTAAATAACACCAATGAAAATTGTTATCCTACTTGATTGGCAATATTCGTTTTCTTGTACAATCAAAACGTCCTCCAACGATGGATGATGCTGTAAATTTTGGTAAAGAAATCCATTAAATTCGTTCGTATTTATTTTTTTAATCTTAAATGATTAAACTTCAACTTACAACTGGTTCGATTTGTTTGGTGTCGCGATAAAATGGATCAGCAAATTGCCATGTTAGCATAATAACGATGTCGATAGCTAACAAAATTCCAACCACCATAAATAGTTGATAGTCTTTGATAACTTTTTTATTGAGCTTAACATCGGTGAATATGGAATGGACACGCCATGTTTTTGAAAACATTGCACCAAATGCCAAACTGAATCCAGCCATTAAAAGCCATGCCCTTGCAGTGCAAACTGAAAAGAAATTTTAAATAAATTTAACTTTTTTGTTTTTTTTTTCACATGGATTTTTTATGCCCTTGCACACAGATTTCAAATACACTTGCTCAAGCTTGTAAATCTAATAAAAAAATTTGCTTACCATATGGAAAGGCCGATAAACCACTAAGACCACTGTCCAATCCCAGAAATATGACACTCAAATAAGTGCACATACATCCGAGAATAATAAGATTGTTCAAATGAGGGCTTGACATTTTGATATATCTAAGAAAAGTGTAAAACAATAAAATAAATCATGTTTGACATTTAAATTATTCCTCTCGATTATCAATGTTACCTTTGATTTCGATATTTAACGTTGAAACCAAGAAAAACCGATGCCATGAAGATGCCCAGGACAGAGCAACTGGCCAAAATCGCATAAATCGTGAGATTCACTTGACTACGTTCGATGATTCGAACCGTTTGATCCTTTGGCGGTGATCTACCGATCTGTAAATTTACAATAAATCAGAGACTGTCTTCAATATTTGATGTTCAACATTAACATTATTACCCATTTCAGTGGTTCTCCCGATTCAAACATTAGTTTATTTTCAATTGAATTGAACTCGCCGATTTTGACTTCTTTGTCAAACTGAAATTGTTTCAATAGAATGTTGGCACGTCTTTCATTATTATAAAATCGTACAGGACCCTGAAAACAAAAAAAAACACACGTCTAAAAATCACACCAATAAAAATCGATGGCCAGTTTGTGATAAATACCGTAACGCCTTCGAAACTTGTATTTCGGAGTGCATCCAGAAAGATATTCTCCCAATCTTTGACACGATACTCAAATTTACTCGTAATATGTTCTCTCCGCTTGGCCACATATTGAATGGCCAATGCAGCCGCCCAAATGCCATCATAGGTCTGTGAAAAAAAAAGTTTCACATCAAAACACTAAACTAACTAAATAACACTTTTATATAATATTACATATCCATGAAATCGGGAATATTCTCGTCCCCTTCGGCTATTGTATTCCGTCAAATACTCATTTGCAGTCTGAAAAACAACAAGAAGTGTTGAAAGTCTTAAAAGAACGAATCAATTTAAATAACTTACAATTCCAGCGATTGTGATGTCACCGGTCGTCGATAATGGTAGCAAGTCCGTTAAAATGGTGGCATCCAGTGCTTTTTTCAATTGATCCGACGTGCAATTGATGGTATCGTTTTCTTTCATCCACCAATCAAGCGAATACGTTCCCATGATAAGCCATTGATATGAACGACCGTACATTTGCAGATGATAAGCTTGACAAAATATGCGTCTGGCCCAGTATTCATTGAAATTTCCTAAAATGATGCGAACATCCTTTTCGCGAAGTTTTTGCAATGAATCATTTACATCGGCGACAAAACTTTGCGTTTCCAAAACGGTAATATTTTCGGAATCCATAACGGCCACCAGATGATTGTGCGGCAACGAGAAACGTGGCTCATTTTGATAAATTGTGCCGATTCGGGTCCAATTGAATGCTTTCAATAGAGCCATACGCGGTGCATTGAATGCATTTTCCGATGGTACAACACGAAAGAAATTGGGAAATGCATCGCGTGTGAACATTGGATGCGTATCGGCGTAAGATAATTGAGTTAGGTGCCAATGTTTGCTGGCCTTTGCAATGGGATCGGTGACATGAGTGCAGGCCGCACCAAATAACATCAACTTATGCGGTCCCGAATGCATCATATCGAAAAATGATTTTACACCAACAGCCGCGTTACACTATGGAAACAAAATTTTTTACTTGAGTTTTTTTTTTGCAAAAAACATGAACCTTTTTTCATTATTACTTGTGTATCATTCCACCACATGTGCAGCCGATAGTTGGCCAAAATATCCGAATGTTCGTTAACATGATCCAATGCCAATTTAACACTGGGCATTACACCTCTCCCTTTTTTCCCGGCGGAAATAGAAAAAAAAAACAGACAAACATTTTCAACAAACTCACAAAAAAAAAAAATCGTAACACTCACCAACTTCAGAGTTCTCTTTGCCTTGGCCGTACGGGAAAAATCCCGCTATATAAACATCGGACCGATGACATTGTGATAATTCAATACAATACAACAGACAAACGAGACCGATAATTTTGTAAAATCGATAGAAATCGAACTTTTTCATTATTTGCTGTAATAAAAATTGAGAAAAGACCATCAAATTCAATGACATTTTCGACGACACAGCAAAAATTAAACTATGTATGGTTTAAGTACGGCTATTTTATTCTATATGCGGAATACACATTTCAATTTAATCAAAAGCACACACAACCGAACAATATCATTTAAATGTTTCACCATAAAAAATAACGAGTGTGGCACTTTTTTTTTTTTTTGGTTTCAGGATTCATGGGAATTGGTTAATGTTCTTGAAAGTTATCTTTTCCAAATATTCATTTCAACAAAAAAAACATAAAATCGATTAAACAAATCAACGAATTTTGCAAATGTTGCTATTTTCCAAATGAGAGCACGATATCATTCTTCTTGCGCTTTCAATTGCGCTTCTGGTTGTATAAGCTTTATCACAAAAAAAATGCTATATTTCCACAACATCAAAGACACAGAGAAATTGTTAAATGTTCACACATTGCATCATACCTTATATCTTGAAAATTTTCGATTTTGTCTCGAAACAAGAAATGTTGAATAGTGAAACAAAAGCTATCCGCCCTGTTCGTGTGTTTGGTTTTTATTCCTTCCCGTTTCAGTGATGTAAATCACCTAAATTACTTCAGTTTGCGAAGTAAAACTTAATTCGTGTCCATGAATCATATTACTTTCTGATTTCCGAACAAATCAACACAAACCAAGCACGCGACCAGATCAATTTTTAATTAAATAAATTGGAATATCCACAAATAAAAAAAAACACGAAATATTATTTCTTTCTTTCTTTTTTTTTCGTTCTACAATTTCCAAGTAGCTTTGTCACACAAACTTTTCAAACACCATAATGAGGAACATTCATTCATACAACTATTGTTATCTATTCAATTTCACTTTATCCCGAAGCATGCGCAATATTCAATGGGCACCGTTTCTCAGCCATACAGACGATAAGGAAAAAGCGAACGACACCGAAACCCCAAGCACATAAAAAAGCCCTCGCACAAATGCACACGTACAAATTAGCATATATACGTCAACAGCAGTACCACCACCACTACCACCACAACCAACAACAATGACATATAATTGAATTGAATTTGGTTGCCCCTTTTTTTCCAAGAAATTTTTATTTTATTTGATTTGAAAATTACATCGTATTATAGATTAATTCAGAATTTCGATATCGATTTCAGTACATCGCTGTCATATTGGATGAAATAGTCCAGGTTCAGTGCCTGCAATTGAAATTTTATAGAAAAAAAAGAGAAGAGAAATGAGCATGAATGACACAGGTGGAGATAATATAAATGGATAATCGCAACAATGAGCTCATAAGTCAAAAAGCTTTTTACTGTATTGGTACCTCAGCTGCAGTCAACCGCTTTCGCGGATTATATTGAACCAGACCATCAACAAGTGCAATTTCATTGGCTGTTGTACACGTGGGGAATATATTTTGCCAGCTCTCCCCTTTGCTATGCGAAAAACTGGTACAAACACACAATAAATTTTAATGAGCAAAATGAAGCGACATTAAATCGATTATTTCGATTATATAATATTCACTGAATCTTTTTGAAATCCGGCAACGAATCCATTTCCGGCCAATCTTTTTGATTTGGACTGCCCAAAATTTTTATCACCAATGCCAATTGCTCAATATCCGTGTTTCCCTGATAGAGAGAGTCAAAAAAATTGATTGCCAACGTAGTGTTTTTAATTTAAAAAAAAAATGTATTTACATTGAACAGCGGAACTCTTCTAAGCATTTCGGCAAATACGCATCCAATAGCCCACATATCGACAGCTGGCCCGTATTTTGATGATCCATACAGTAGTTCAGGTGCTCTATACCATCTGCTTGCTACCTTTATTAATAACATTTTCATTTCATTCAATGACGCAAAAAACATTGTTTCCGAAAAAATGCATTGAACAAACAAAAAAGAATATACTTGGGGTGAATATGATTTGTCCTCATTTTGACTGTAAATTCGAGCCAAACCAAAATCGGCTATTTTCAGTACATCATTGTCATCGATGAGTAAATTGGCTGGTTTTATGTCCTAAAATCATTTCGATCATTTCATCAAACACCGACAGACTTAAACCAATCTAATAATATATTTATATACTCACTCTGTGCATGATACCAATGCTATGCATATATTTGACGCCATGCAATAACATGCTTGTGTACGATCGAATAATTGATCGGCTCAATGGTATCGAGTCATTTTTCAAAATCGAATACAATGTATGCGGCATATAGTCAAATACCAGCGACAATCCAGTCATATCGGGGAATACATCTAGCAATGACATTATCTTTGATTGGCATTTATTTGATTTTCACATGCAAAAAAATTTGAATATTGATTGAATTGCGATTAATATCATTAGCTAAACTCACATATTTGCAATCACAATGCTGAAGTGCTTTTATTTCGCGAACAGTGCTCAACGAAATTTCACCATGTTTTGTTCGAAGTGACACCTTTTTGATGGCCACCTCTTTTCCCGTTGTCAAATCATGTGCTTTTAATACCATACCATGCACACCTTCGCCAATTTTTTGCAAATATTTATACCTTGCACTTGCACTATCTGTCATCCTAATTTCATTCGAAATATTTGTGAAATAAAATAACAATCGAATCTAAAATTTCGTTGTCGAAAATAAAATGAGGCGTTGAGTGACACAACCATTGTTCAGTTTTGTTGTTTGTTTAAGGTTACCATAACAACACCAAAAAATTCACGTCATTTCAGCAGTTTTCCTGTTCTGAATTAATTCGACGACATTTAATTCTGATGACGATTTAGGCTATTTATAGAAAAATTGAAATAATAATTGAAATAGAAATGCTTGTTTGTTTTGCTTTGATAATTTTATTCTTGTTTTTTTTTCTGCTTTTTACAGCTTTGAAATTATAAGATAAACTTCAGTTTTCTCCATTTTTTTTTTTTGTTTTTCTTACAGTTGGCATTCACTTTTCGATTGCAATCATAATCTTGTGTATATGATTTTTTTTTTATTTCAAATATTTAATCAAAAATTTTCTTTTTAAATAATAGGAATTTTCATAAATAAAAATAAACACTCTAATTACAAATAAGAGAAGAGAAAAGAAAAATAATTGAGAAAAAAAAGAAAAAGGCTAAATTATGATAGTCAGTTAGTGTATAGTTAAAATAGGAATAATGTGAATAAATATTCACTTCTTGATGTTTCGTTTTTAAATAATAATAAATGATGAAAATCAAATACATCTCTATCTATCTATCTCTCATTCGTTTTTTTTTTTCGTTTTTTTTTTAATATTTTATCGTGAAGCGTTTTTTTCTCTAAAACTTCTAAATCATTTTCCACAGATAATTCGCAAGATTTTATTTGTAATTTTTTGTTTCAATACATTTAAAAAGACGAAAATCGAAAATTTCTTGCAATTTAGAATACTTTAGCGAATGGCTTATTTGGTAAGAAATGTTTACATAAATATTCATATAAAAAAATACAAAATCTTCGAATTGAATTCAAAATGGTTTGAATACCGTTCGTTTGGATGTGTATAATTTATATTTTGTTTTATTGGTGTTGTTGGTCTTTTTTGCTGGATGTATTCAATTCGCTGTACAAATGTCGTTGACAAATTTATTCGCGCAATTCTAGTGTTTGTGATTTGCACTCTCAAACTGCATTGTTAGAATTTATAATAGTGTTTTTGTATATATATTTTTTCTGTTGTTATCTTCTTTTTGCGATGAATAATAGAATATATATTAGCTTTTATTTGATTTAAAATCATATTGTTGCACATTAGCACCAGAGAAAAAAAACACACACACATACACACATTCTACATGTGATATTCATTTAGTCAACACCGTTGAGTCGTTGGGTCGGTGGGATTAAATGTTCGGGCAATGTATTCGGCAATTCATTTCCGTCCAACTTAACATTGATTAAATGCATGGCCAATGCAAACTCTTCAACATCCAAGAAACCTACATTTTCCAAGAGAAAAAAAATGATGAAAATTAATGTAACCGTTTTGCTTTAATGATAATTTCAATTTTACCATCGGCATTGTAGTCGGCCAGCTTCCAAATCTTGCTCAACACTGAATTGGGCAATTTGGATTTAATTAATTCCGTCTTGGCCGCTGCACATGTGGGAGAAAACAGAAAAAACAAATATCGAAAATGCAATTAGATTTGATGTTTTAATTGTGAAAATTGAATGGCTTACCTGCGCCACTGATTTTTCCATCGACCGGACCTAATGATTCAAATATTGGATCAGTACGGTCACGATCACGATTACATATCCATTCATGTTCACCAAATCCAGCATCAATTCCTTCCCCTCGTTTATAACCAAACGGTGACACAACGTCATCGACCACACCCTCAAAAGCACCACCTGTCAATACATCAATGAATAAATTATTAGCTTTAATGTGTTGTTTTTTTTTTGTCTCATGAATTTACAATCATATGATTTAAACGCAGAGAAACCGTATCACATAATCAGAACCGGAAGTGTTCGTTTTTTTAAAAAAATCATAAATCATTCTATATTTGAAATTATCATAACGCGTTGGCAAATTTATTTTGAACGAACAAGCGAAAAAATATATGACAAGGAAAAGTAGCACGGTCGCATGATAGCAAATACGTTCATGAATCTAATTCTCGGCCACTATACTTAAATACCGTGTCCGATCACATTCAACAACAACAAAAACAGAAATAAAACGATCGTAACAAAATACAAACAAAATGATTAAAAAATAAAAAATAAAATACGATCATTGTAAATCTCTCGATTAGTAAGTTCAATACACGCGATGTTAATCAATAAATGCCGCATTCATACATTATCATTATGTAATTACGAATTTTTGTACTCATAAAAAGATTAAATATGAGAATGGCACGCTCTGCTTTGCTTATACAAACTCGATTATTACGTTTATTTCAATTTTTTTTTGTGTTTTTCATCTTCTTCACACAAATTCCAAATGAAATTGTCAAAGAAAAAAACATTTATATACCAATTAATCAAATATTCAAATAGATAAAATGTTATAAAGGCTCACACTATGTGTACTATTGTCACCTCAATCATTCAAAAATATTCCATTGGCAATGTGATTCACATCAATAAAGTATAACCGATTAATATGGTACGGTGTATATCTATTTTGCATATTCTTTCCGCACACATGACACTATGTTCAATAATTTTGTTAAGCAGTCATACGATACATTAAAATATGCGATTTAATCAATTGTCATTCAATAAACCAATTGCCCTTCAATGAACTGTCGATTTTGTTCAAAAGAATCGATGACAACTTGTGAAAATAAAAGTGCCAAAAGTAAAACACACAAAATAATTGTATTTAGCATAAATTCGAAATCATTGGCGAGCGTCATTTTGATTGATGAATGCATGAAACTGGAAGTTATCATTGTCCTTAATATAAATTTACTGAATGCATCGTGACATTATTTAGATAAATGTAGAATAAATGCTTCGAAACAAGCCTTGAATTGTTCCAATTTGTGGGGAAAAAAAGAATACATTCAAATTTTTCTCTTGTTTAAAATTGACTGAATAAATTGTCGAGCACGAAAATACGACTACAACCGACCGGAACAAGATGCATGCGTCGTTGATTTTATTGGCTTAGACAATAATGACCCTTCAATCTATGTGCAGTTCGTGTTACCATTTCCAAACAATCGACATTTTACCAAACACTCTTCAACATTTTTCTATCGTTTTTTCAATTTTTTTTTAAAAGTATTGTTGGAGATGAATTATTCTCATATTATGAGAATCACAGATGTGGGCTGTCATCTTGTAAACTGGTTTTTTAATCATTTTTTTGTGGTCATGCTAAAATGAATGTTTGTAATCGACCTTGACTGAATTATTCGATGAGAGTGACGTTGTTTTTTTTTGTAATACTTAATGAATGCAGAAATTGGCGATTCATTTTCTTTAATCGCTATCTGAAATCAATGGAGGCTATTGTAAACATATCGATTGTTTATTCGGATCGACCCTTTTCGATATGCGACAAAATGTTCTGTTATTAAATTGATTGCGACAGTGCATCAGGAATGATACATCCACAAGACACACTTCACATGTTGATATAATTTTTTTCTTTTTGTAATGAAAATGTGAACGTTTTTGAAAACAAATGTACCATCATCCGAACAGTTATTCTACAGTAAACAAACATCATTTCGCCGAAAACATTTCTATTTATTTGAAAAGAAAAGTCGATTGTTTTTTGCAAAATTTTAAATAAACAATCTTCATTATTGTATTGCTATATGCATAAATGTGCACATTTTCAGAGGACATAAACATTGCAACCGCTCAGACACAAAATGAACAACTTAAATGATTCTTCAAACGCATTCTATCTTAATTGATTTTTAAAGCATTTATATTTTCAGCGTAATTTATTTGAATTGCTTATAATTACTTTCAGTTGGGCGAATTTTTTCGTTGCACTATTGGAGACGTTCAAAGTGCAATCAAATCAATTAGTCATATTAATGTTGACGAGAGAGAGAGAGAGATATAACAATTATGTATGTACTTAGCACAATCGGTATTGAAACGTCGAGATAAGCGAGAAAGTTTATAAAATATTGATCGATTTATTTGTTTTCTATGGGCTTAATAAATGAGCATGAACTCAAAATGGCTCGAAAACAAAAAGGCGGTTCAATGGTCGTAAAACCTGAATAGAGTGAAAATTGTCACCATAACAACGGTCACTGCATTAACAATCCCTGGATCCATGCATTAATTACACAGATGGAACAAATGAAACGAAGGTAAAAGTAACGCCGAAAATAGAAACATACGCAGGGAAGAAAAAATACACGATCTCAAAACATTCTGAATAAATGTTTTAATAGTATTGATTAACAAAATTTAATTATTCATTATTTACAGTCTGATGTTAAGTATAGGAGAGAAAGGGAGAGAGCGAGAGTGCCTGAAGTCAGTAGAGATAGAGAGAAAAATGAAAGGGATATCAAGAGATGAAAAGAGAAATGGTTAAATGAAACAATTATATCAACACTTCATAAAAGCTGAATATATGTATGTGATGAGTAACACGCTGTTAATACCGCATTTCGAGTACGTATAGATAGAATCATACCATCAAAGTGTGTGTGTGTGTGTTCAGCGCAATCAATTAATGTAATATACAATGGTTCCAAAAGCCAAATTTAAAACCGAATTCATGTGTCGAGCCAACTATCTATCAATTGATACAAACATGCCAAATTTCGCAAACAATTTTTGTGAATGTAGCTACATTCGCTGCCGATAAATTTTGTATGTGTCATCTATATTTAACACAGTTTATCCATTTACAGTATATAATATATTTTCTTTTTTTGTTCAAATTATATACGAATTTGTTCGCTAATCGCTCCAATACACATGCACTGAATGTATTTAGTAGACAGTGACGATGAGAGCATAAGTGACAACGAAAACGATTTCGAGAAGAAGAAAAAAAGTATTGTAAATTTCGAATGAGTCATTAAAATATTCCGATCTTCCGGTAAAATTTCGGTTTTAAATGAAATCACATCATCTGACTGATAAAAAAAGGTGACGACGTTTGTTTTAATGAGCAAACACACATGATGTGTAGTATACATTGTTCTTTTTAATTTGTAAATGAATGGGTCATTTTCGGGTTGCTTCAAAGGCAACACGCAACAATGGCCATAAATTAATAAAAAAAAAATGATTTGCACTACATTTCAATTGTAGTGTTATTGTTTGTTATGTGAAATGTAATGATTTCGTTTTGATTGAAGTGTGTGCTGGTTGCCACTGGATTCGTATCATACGTAATCCGTATAAGTACAATTAAAATAGAATCAGAAATAAACTCAATGCACACTGTATATGTAGTAAGTCGCCGGGCAAATAAAACGATTTCTTGATCAGAATGTCGTGCATGAAACTCGAGTGGAAATAGAATCTTGGAATATACAGCACATACTACATATACGGTTTAAATACATGAACTAGTACAAAATGGCATTATCAAGCCCCAATTTCATTTATCACACTTTTTTTTCGTTGGTAATAGCGGTTATTATGAAGCACATAAGTAATAAATAATACATACAATCACGAGCTACTTAAAAAAAAAAAAAAGTTATACAGTTCCTTTTGTGCGCTCAAAGAAAGAAAAAAAACAACTGAATTTTCTTATCACATTATGGCATTTCCAACGTGTACGATGGATTAGACGATTTCTGTTTTAACCACACAAAATGATTTGGTTTTTCTGAATGAAAGCATGAAAGCACTTCAATTATTATTATCATTTTGAATTTCATTCTTCAAAATGAGAGTAACTAACAATTGAACACAAACAATAAATGAAAAAAATGATCATACCTTTAACGGCTGTTTCGGCCACAAGGTTTTGCTCTTCATGTGGAATCATTTCCATTAGTCGTGCAATGTCTTTGGCAAGCATTTGATCGACCACTTCTAATAGATTGGGCTTAAGCGAATGGAACTTTGTGAAGTCTTGATGCTGTAGAAGTTCTTGCATTTTTTTTATATCAGGAAAATCACCGGGCGATATTTGATGTTCACGTTGAATTTTTTCATATATTTGTCCCAAATTCTTGATAAGCTCTTTCTTTTTACCATCTTTACCGAACACCGATGGCATTTGATTGCGCAATTCGGACACAATGTATGCATGTACTTTAGCCAAACGTGCACGTTTTATAAGATCATTTAGCTTACGTAAGGCAGCATTTCTGGGCAATGATTGTAAATCTCTGAATAGATCTTGTTCTTCATCTTCAAATAAACGACGATTTACATCATAGCGAAGTGGTTGATCCCAAAATGAACCAATATATACTCGTGCCACTTCCGGTGTTTGTAACACTTTGCCAAGTGACCACATAAGTGCACCATAAACACGCATCAATTGTTGATGATCAATCATATCGGCTTTGTTTAAAATAATTCGAATTTTATCATCGTGCCCTTTAAGCGCTTCAATTGAACGACGAAATTCATCTGAAATGTCCAATTTATGTGCGTCAAACAATAAAATAATACGATCAACACGTTCGGCAAACCATTCCAATACGCCTGTAAAATCATAACCACGATCAATGCGCTGCTTTTCACCCGACAAAATACCTGGTGTGTCAACAATTGAGATCGCTTGTAACACTGGTGAATTCACTGTCGAACATTGTAATCGATTTAAAAATGCATTTCCATATTTGGATAGTGGGCGAAACTGTCGTTTTGGATCAACGACAAGTGCATTTCCAGGTATTACGCCCTCTTTGTCATCATGCATAACGGCAATAAATCGATCGGTTGTCGGTTCGGGACCAATACGAATACCTGGAAAATCACGTTCCAACAAATATCGAATGAATGTTGTTTTTCCAGTTGAATACTGGCCCACCAGCAATATCATTGGTTTTGCATCGAAATCAGGATCTTCCAATTTTGGTGAATGAAAATCATGAAATTGATAGTGCTCTTCCAGCGGCAATAATTTGCTTCGATAAATTTTCTTCAATTCGTTAACAACATTTTCAACTACCTCCTGTTGCACTTTTTCCCGGCGCAAAAAACTAAACATATTGCCGTTATTTTTTTTTGCTTTTTTTTATTGTTATACACAACGAATGTTCCAATAAATGAAACGAAAATAAAAACCAATTCGTCACCGCGCACTTCACAGCCACACAGCACAACTTTTTCCGTTCCAATCAATTTTTCTTTCACGAAGATTTATTTTCACTTGGTACTCTTTTTCTCTCGCTCACACTCTGGCGTATACGAACCAGTCACTTATTCGGTACAAAAGAAAATAAACGAATACAACGATTCTGTCAAAGTATTAAGCTGTACTATTATTTTTCTCACTGGCGTATGACGTATACATAAAATTGGAATTTTACTACTGTAAACGTTGATCCCATAGTGAAGTGCTTGCGTATTATATACTTTATTTTCGAATTGGATAGAATTTCGAAAAAAATATAGAAGAAATACACAGCTTTGTCATGGCAACATAATCAAATATTTACAAACATTTTCGATTCAATTATTTAGAATTATGAACCGTTTATTGGATCGCAGAAAAAGACAATAAATCACATTAAAAATCGACTGAATTTTTTTTTGGTTTGTAAAATGTAAATAAATTGAAAATGTTTGTATTTCGAAAAAAAAAAATGAATTTCGAAATTGTCGATGACCAAACTAGTGTTGTCGTAGTTTGCTGTTGTCATTGTGGCGCTGCTGTCGATCACGTTTTGCTAATGGCTTCCATACTGCATCCTTACATTTAGTCTGTTTGGTCACACACTCGTTGTTTTCTCGTGCTAGTGTGAGATACAGTTGTCTTTTCCATAAAATTCAATTACCAAGGTGTAAAAAATAGTTTAAATTCAATTTGTTTTTTGCTTGCAAGGCATCAGTTTAATAAAAATATAATAATAAATAAATGTAAGTGTTTTTTTGGTAAATTTCATTTTGTAAATTTCCGACACAAAATTCATTTCAAGGCGATATTTACGCGGTTGATAAGGCAAGCGGCAATTTCTTTGCAGCGGCCATTGTTAATATTACAAACGACGCAAATTGTGTCTGCCATACAGAACATTGAAACTGCTAATGAGACGCCATTTTTAAAAAAACATCATTCTGAATATTTTCATCATAACATCCATCGTTTTTTTTTCTTCGTTAACTATTTTGAGATTGTCTACGGAATATAAATCAAAGTTTTTATTTGGATTTTGAATATTTTACTAATTAAAAAAAAATTCTTTTCATTTTGATTATCGATTGAAAAAAAAAAAAGAAGAAGAACGCTATCCAATTGAAATGGTTGGTTCAAGAGTATATGTTGGTGGATTACCGTATGGCGTCCGAGAACGTGACTTGGAACGATTTTTCAAAGGTTATGGACGAACCCGTGACATTTTAATTAAAAATGGATATGGTTTTGTGGTAAGTAATTTGCATAAATAAACATCGGCTCAATAAATAATTAAAAAAAAATCAAACTCACAATTTATTTCGATTTTCAATAGGAATTCGAAGATTATCGTGACGCAGACGATGCCGTTTATGAATTGAATGGAAAAGAATTACTGGGAGAAAGGTAGGTTGCATTTTGACATTGATTGATTTTTAAACGTTTCCAATGCGTTTGACAAAACTAATTTCTTTTTCGTTGTTCACACACAGGGTGGTTGTTGAGCCGGCTCGTGGCCAAGCCAGGGGAAGTCACAGAGATAGGTACAATGATAGCGATCGTTATAGCAGCCGTCGTGGTGGAGGTCGTTACAATAACGATAAGTGAGTATTATATATCAGAATGACTCAGCAATTGTTTCCGTTGAAAATCGAAAACCAACTGCAAAGGCCCAATGTGTTGATTTATTGCGGTCGAATGGCCTCAGCGGTTATCGTTTCGTTTTTCCATTCCCCTTCAAAATTCGTTTTTCGCCATTTTTTTTTGCTTGATTTTTTTTTTTTTTTTTTTTAAATAATTTTGGTTGAACATTCGGCCCCGCCTAGTTTTAAGTTTTTAGCATTAAGTTGAACAGTACTAGACTTTCGATTACAAATAAGATCAAAAAATTCCAGGAGTTCATCACGTTATGGTCCACCATTGCGCACGGAATACCGTTTAATTGTGGAGAATTTGTCAAGCCGCGTTAGCTGGCAGGTATGTATATAATTCAAAATGAATTTGTTTTTTTTCCAATTTTTTTTTGTTTCGTTATTTTTTTTTGTTCGTTCGTTCCGTTTTCAAAATTGTTTCGTTGGTATTAGATTATTTATTTTCGTTATTTTTCTTGGTAAAATTGCCAATTTTTTTAGGGATATTTAGGAAACCAATCATTCACAAAAAAAAACATTTCAATCTAAGTGTATATTTATCTATTTGATTGCAAACAACAAATTTAGAGATAAGATAGAGCTTTCTGACAGAGAATTTTTGCCGCATAAACTTGAACAAAGTAGGAACATAAGCTGAAATAATAATCATCTAAATCATTTCATGTCCCGTACTTTGGACTTTCTATTTACCATATATATACATATATATTCTTCCAAATGTCCAAAGTCGTTTCACATTCTCTTTTCATATTATTATTATTTTTGTTGTTGATATTATTGTTATGAACAAGCACATTCGTTAGATTGTTGAATACATTGAAATGGTTGAAAATAGCGTTCTGAAAGAAAGAAAAAAATGAAGAAGAATTCTCTCTCATTAAACGTACGTCGGACTCGGTCGTGAGTCGTTGTAAATATGTGTAGGCTGCCAAAATTAACATCGTCATATAGATCTTAGCTTAGTTAGGTGAAGACAAAATGAAAATGAGAAGATAAAAAAATGGAAGTGGTTTAGCACAAAGGATACACAAATGATCAAATGATTTTCAAATCAAACAACCACACGTTATGGAGAGTGCAACGGGTGCATCACGAGAAATCAATTGACAGACGATCAAACAGACGAATGTGCAGGGCTGTTGCACTGCTTTTATATTCATTCATTGAGGCTTTCGATCGGGTGATTAGATATGGACAACAACTGACCTTCAAGTGTAACACCCCCGTTCCCCCGCCCAACAAATCATTTGAATGCTTTTTGATTTTCGTTTCTATGTTTCAAATTCCGCAAAGGTTTCCCCATAGTATTCAGACATGTTTTTTTATGTTTATTTTTTTTTGTTATATAAAAGTATCAGGATTAAAAAAAAAATCAAACTGTTTTTGCATGCCAAATTCAAGTAAATTACATTATTAAATGTAGGTTTGAATGCGCGGCTATTCTTATGGTTTTCGAAATAACAGAAAAGCAAAAAAAAAAACAGTTGAGATTAAATGAAAGCAAAAAAAAAAAGAATGAGATATACAGAGTATACAGATATCGCAGTAAAGCTAATTAATTAAATAAATAAACCACTTAAGCAATAATTATAAAAATCAAATTAGTAAACAAACATATTTGATATTTTTTCGAAGAAAGCCTCCTAAATAAGAGGGTCGATGACGAATACACAATGAGACTGGTGTTCCTATGAGTGATTGAGCGACAAAGTGACGTTCTAATTGGTGATGCTTCACACACAATACATACAGAACAGAACAGAACAGAGTACATATCCAAACGTAGATCGCATATCAGACGTGTGTTATAAATCGTAATCGAAATATAGGGCATTTCTTTCCGCTAACCGAACACAATTACCGGGTGATATCGACCACTATTGAATCTCGATACTGTTGAACTGTGAACATCATCGCGCTCAAAAAATCAAGCTCAAGCCTTACCTACCTTGTATATGCCTCTCGAAGTAGGAAAAAACTGTGAACTGTGTGTGGTGACGACTGGAACCATATCGAAATGCACTCGAATCAAAACCGATATCCGATCGAAACGCTATGCTTAAGAACTTCTATTCTACTGCTACTACTGCTACTACCAATACTACTACTAACTACTGCACGGTCTACGGTATACTGGTTCAAACATTCAAACAAACAAACAAACAATGAAACAAACAAAAACCGCGTGTTAACCAAAACAAACTTGTTAAGCAAACTTACTCAGACCCCGTAAAAGCCAAACCATCCCATTTGCCACACAGAATGCAACGACCCGTGGGCATTGTGTGTGTTTCATTTATGGATGACATTTTATGTGTAGATCATAACACAGGCAGTACAAAGCAAGAATCACAGAGCTGGCCGGCTCTCTCTTTCGTCCTAATGTAATATGTCATGCAAACCAAACCAAACCAAACAAAAAACAAAAAAAAAAACCAAAAGCATAGAACTCGAGGTACTAAGTTGTATAGTTGAAGTTGATGTAATATGATCCATCTCGGACCAGTTTTCAAACATGTATCAACCCCCTTTTCGTACGTGTGGTATGGCCAGCAAATGTGCAAAATTACATATAACAAAATATTTCAAAATGGTTATGCGAATAGCGGCCCACAAGGTAATGGTCGAAATTACAATTACAAGCTGAACATTTTTTTCTGTATAAAAAAAAACATTTTACTCAATACAGTGTACATAATATGTAAGGAGCTTTTTTTCATATATATATATTTATTCTATATAAAAAACACACACTTAGATCATTCATTTCATGTGATTTTTATATTAATTTGACCAACCGCAATTATTGGAACATATCGATATCTGCGCATAGTTACATGTTTAAATTGGTTTGTGTGTGCGACCAATTTAAAAGGCGGTTCGAATGCTTATGATCTTGGTTCTGGGGAACAATGAATGAGGCTATAAATGAGGCAAAAGAAACAGACAGAAACAGAATGAGGGAGAGAGACAGAACAGAGACAGAGAATGAGAGAGAGAGAGAGAGAGTGAGAGAGAGATACAAACAGAGAAATTTTCGCTAAGCACTTGATAAATGATGAGAAGGATGTTCATCCGTAGAAGGTCTTCCATTTGTTGTGACGGCATGCGGCGTCTAGGAAAAACGTAGGGTCGGCCACTTTTAACCAAATTTAACGCGCTAACGGTGAAATCATCGTCAGAGCTTGCTAGGAACTCTTCAGAACCATCTATAAGTATTTTCTGCTTGAAACACGTACTACGCAGCCATATATCAAAATTTAATGGCTTTCATTTCAATTCGATGAAAGAGAAAATAGTATTTCCAATTAAAATGTTGTTGTATATTCGTCACACTTCGATATATTCCAATAAATGCGTTCAAATTTTGTTATTTTGTTTCTTCTAAATTTTGAACCATTGACCACATTGATTAATGACTATTTTTCCGCTCTATTCAGGATCTTAAAGATTACATGCGTCAAGCTGGTGAAGTTACGTATGCTGATGCACACAAACAACGTCGTAACGAAGGGTAAGTCACAAAAAAAAACATAAATTAAAAATTTTCGTACAGTTTTTCATGGTTTTTCTTGAACATTTGCAGTGTCGTTGAATTCGCATCTTTGTCAGATATGAAAACCGCCATCGAGAAACTCGATGACACTGAATTAAATGGTCGTCGAGTTCGTTTGGTTGAAGATCGTCGTGGAGGACGTGGTAAGTTGAATTTACAATTTGTTTGTATCTCTCCATCATCATTTTTATTGCAATTATTTTAATTTCGATACTTTATTGGACAAATTTCAGGCGGTCGTGGAGGAAGATCTCGTTCATCAAGCCGATCAAGCCGCAGCCGTAGCCGTTCACGATCTCGTCGTCGCCGATCATCAAGCCGCTCACGTAGTCCTCGCAGCCGAAGCAAGTCTCGTGGTGGACGCTCCAAATCAAAATCACCAAAGAGTCGCAGCCGCTCAAAGTCAAAGTAATTTTTATTTTACAACTATTGTTATTTCTTGAGATATGATTTCGGTATTTATAATTTCACTTGATTTTCTTTGCAGCAACCGTGATTTGTCCAAATCGAAATCAAAGAGCCGCAGCCGTAGCCGTAGCCGTGACTCACGCTCCCGTTCCAAGTCACACAAGCGTGGTGATTCCCGCGACTCGCGCGATCGTTCATTGTCGAAGGGTTCTAAAGACAGACACCATTCCAGATCAAGCTCGCCGAAAAACAACGGAGGTTCAGGTGGATCACCAGACAGAAACGAAAGCATGGATGATTAATCTGACGCTGCTACGTTATGTAACAACAATAACACATTTTTTTAGATATAAGAATTAAGTATGTGTAAACCATATAATAACATCCATCAAATAACAATAACCCACATTATGATATGAATAACAAGAAGAAAAAAAAAACAATTTATAAAAACAATACAACAAACTAATAGGGACACAGAAACGGGTTAAATGAAGCGAATATTTGTTGCATCGAAATACATTTCGATGTCCATGTATTTTTTTTTCTTTCATCAAAAACTTCATTTGAATGAAAACAATTTAAAATCTGTTCTGTGAATAATGAATTGATTTAGCTGACGGATATGAGATACAGAGCATTTTGATTTGTAATCAGGACATTAAAATATGTTAAACCAAATTCTGTAGTATAATTAAGCAATTTTCTGGGCTTTTTGATAGTTTCAATTATTCTCTATGGTAATGATTTCGTAACAAAAAAAAGAAAATACACACACACAAATGCATAATTTCAATAAAGATTAATTTGAAGACCAAAACATTTTGATGATTTTTATGATTTTTATGCAATTCAGTGACATACAAAAAATTATTTCTTTTATTCTTTTTTACATTTGAATTTTGTAAATTATATCAATTTGTGCTTCGAGAGTGCGAAACAAAATACAATCAACAATAATACTTATTTGATGTAAGGGACAAAGTGGCGCAGCTAATTGATTCGCCCATTTTTGCCTGTAGGTGAACATTTATTTTTTTGTATGAGAACAGACATTTACATATCACTATTATTCTGATTTTGCAGCTCTGCGTTTAAATTTGGTGTCGCAGAATACGACCGAGGCTCAATATTTATCTCATGCTTTGTTTGGAATATTAATGTTGCTGCCACAAACCGAAGCATTTACTTTGCTAAAAAATCGACTACAATGTATTCCACATTCGCAGGCATTCCAACATAATCCGTGAGAATTGACATGTCACGTGTGTTGAATATAACAGGCGCATAATTTCTATGCCATCATCTTTGCTGGCCTATTTTGCCGAGCTACTAAAACATTTCAAAAGTATTCTCTACCTTCGAACGTCATAACTTAAATAATTAAAGCAAAGAAAAGAAAATGTATTTTACAAATTTTGGGTCTTCAAATTAACAGTTCATATCGAATAGACCTCCATTCGCCGTGGAATGGCCAGAAACTTCAATGTTCAAAGTGCCAATGAATGATGATCTATTTTTCCCATGCTTCATTTCGTTGCTCAATAATTGCTTGAGCACGTGCCTTATTATTAAAAGAATAAACACATCCATTTCCATTAAGTTCGTATTTTGGTTAAAAGTATCAAACAATCGTTTCAAGGATTTTCTCTGCCCTTTTCTAGCTGTAATGTTGTGTCCTCAATCACAAAAAGGAATTACCAGAGAATGAATAAAGAAAAGAAAAACAACAAAAAATGGATTATTTTCCATATAAACATTCATTTTAATTCAAATCAATTGACGTATTGAACCATGAAATATCAAAAGTTATTCAACAAGGATATAAATGTTCGAACTTAATTGAGAAAGATAGAAGAATTCTGTTTGTTACTTTGCTATTTTGTTCATATTACTCAAGGTTTGATAGATTAAAGGCCACTGATCTCAATATTACTTTGGTTTGGCTGATGAAGATGTTGGATTTGAAGGTGAATTAAAATTGCCCAGAAAATTGAACGGATCCATGTTTTTCGGCGCCAACATTTTTTCGATTTTCCCCCTTGAAAAGGAAAAAAGGTGATAAAAGTATATGTACGAGTAATTGATTGAAATCAAGAGAGAATCAAACAAACATTTCTGCAACACAAAAAAATGACACTTACATTGCTGCCGTCAACAAAAATACGTGTGCGTCATATGTACTTTTCACATCCTTCAATCTCTGAATATGGTAAGTTGATGGTTCGGACTGACTGAAGAAAAAAATCAATGAAACTAATTATTTTTGGAACTCTATAATTTCATCATTTACCAATGTGCAAAAATTCACCCACCTTACAATATTCGCAGTCCGTTGTATTATGTTAAGACAAGCACGCTTGAATGCTTCAATGATTTCTTCGGTTGATACATTGTTCTGAGGTACACTTTTATCGATTGGCGACCGTTTCCTTTTTTTTGGAGATTGGTAATTTGGGTTTGGAAATTGTTTTTCAATATCCTTTAGTTTCTCAATCAATGACTCGCTTTTTTGGAAGAAAAAAAAATATGATAGAGAATTTCAAACAAATTTAATGACTAACATGATTGAAAACCTACCGAGATGCTTTTAGCGATTCTATTATAGTGTCCAAACTACCCAATTTTTGAATGGCTTGTTTGTTATCTTTAACATTATATCTGAAAAAAAGGTATTTATTTATAATATTTTCTATTTCACTTTTTCTTTTATGTAAATGTTGATATACTCACGTAATTTGGTGATAGTGCGACATGAGTTGCGAAGAAGCGGCATGAAAATCATAAATTTTTTGTCCTGTTGGTGAAACTGTGTTTGAAATACTTGTTTTCCTTTTTTTATTTTGTGATGAGTGGACGGATGCATCGGATGCAGAACCCGAACCAGACGCTTTAGAAAGGTTTCCGCTATCAACAGAATTTCCACTCATTTTTAGAAAATAAATCACAAACTAAACTAATGAGCGACAGAAGTAAAGTTTCGTGTTGCCGCTGTTTGACAACTTAAGGTATTGTCGCTGCTCACTTTCTCACTCAACACGAAACCTCACCACTTGCAATACTTTCATTTTTTCTCGTTTGTTTTCATTTTTTTTAAATTTTATCTCAAAATTGAAGTTCTTTTAAAAATACAGAAAAAAACGGATTTTGCATTCACCGGTATCGGTGTAAAAAGCCATTTATTCGATTAGATATAATCATTTATTGCAACTGCAAACTACAAACTAATTTATGTAGATTTTTCATTTATTGGGTGTCTTTGTTTGATCGGATGACACATTGGGGTCTGCTTCGGTTTCATTCGTATTCATTCTAATGTCTAATGGTTTATCATATCCCATAAAACGAGCATAATGATGTGTATCGTTAAAACTTGCCGCATCAACAAATACTGGAACTTTCTTTGGTCCAATTTTCATCGATGTAAACATCGTTTCGACCTCTGGCAAATGAATATCTTCCACTTTAAATGTTATCTATTGATATTAAAATACGAATTTGAATAAGTAATTGAACGGTGATAAGCAATGATTTTCAATTGAATTTACCTCATTTCTGAATAAGAAAAATGAAACGGTGACACAAGTATATTCGTCTGTTTTCACATTGTATTTTACATCAACCACATATTTTTTGGTGACAAAATGCAACAGTAACGGTGTTACAAATGTAAAGATACCAACAACCGAACAGAGAAGAAGACCAAGTCCAGTGCCACTGGCTTCCACACCTCGGTGCCATAATACGGGCTGAGCAAATAATCCCATTACGCTGGTTGCTAGCGAGAACATTTTGACGCGAATTATTTGTCGTGTATATTTGCCTTGATAAATAGACACCGCATCAGGATTGCTGTCGTCTGTGAAATGTTTTGGCTTTTGGCTATCAATGTTCTCATTGGATTTTATGGTGGACATAAATCTTAGGCCATTTCGTTCGATCGCCAATTGTGGAATTGCAAATTGTCGCAAGGCGCTCACTTGAATATTTGAGCCGGCAATATTGGTCGGCGCTGGATTATACCATAAAATATTGCGACTAGATGTTAAAACATTTGATTTATTGCATAACAATAATTTATTTAAATTTCTTGTGAATATCATTTTAAATGTTTGCCGATAAATTAACAACCAAATCACAATTTCAACTATTATTTTGATTATTTCGTCAACTATGGATTGAAACAGAGAAACAAAACCTCACATGAATGTCATAAACACTGTCAAACCACAGTGATTCGATTTTCGAATTTCGAATTTTCAACTTCGAATTTAGGTTATGACTGATTCAATGCGATTCATCAGTATTTAAATTTAAAAAATAAATAATTTTTCAAAGAATTTCAATTTTAAAATAATTTTCAATATTTATTGTAAAAAAATGATGGAAATTATTTGGAATTTTTAAGGAAAGTCGTTAATAAAAAAAATAAAAAAAAAGAATTATTTTTACAAACCAATTGGTTTCAATGATGAATGCTGGTTGCAAGAATCTGTCTGCATCTAAATGGAAAAAGGGGTCTATTTACGCCCCTGTAGAATGGATTTGAGAAATGATCCCTTTACAAATTGAGAAAAATAATCTAAATATTCTTTCGATTTGCTAGGGATTTTTGCGAAAAATGTGAAGACCTTTTTTTGCTCAACAAGTTTTTAGAATGGTAGAAAAATCTTCCGTTTTGCTGTGGATTTTCGCCGAAAATGTGAAGAGCAAAAAAAAAAAACGAAAAAGCCCGCCCTGGAACGCGAACGTCAGAAGCTATAAAAAAGGGTAAATAAACACAAGCCCAAAAGGCCATTTGATCAATTATTTTGTACAATTTATTAAGGAAAGGAAAACTATTATCAATATTTTATGATTAAAGGTTTGAGAATAAGCATTTTTTTTTGTTTACATTCTTTTTGTTTTGAATTATTTAGTTTGTTGCTGTTTCGTCGATTGCATGGAATCAAACATTTTCTTTTTAATTTAAATTATTCAAAATTGTGTATGTTTTTCTTTGAAGAACAAATAATTCAACATTTTACAGAAATGAGCGAATTGACACGCATTTTGAACAACAAATCTTCAAGCAATCGATAATTTCTGAAGAAATCCTATAATAATGAACGTTTTAACATTTTTTTTTGGATTTATTTGAAATTAACAAACATTCTTCTTACTATAATTACTCAGATTATTATTTTCCGCAGCCGAGACATAACCGACGCGAATGACAAAAGAAAAGAAAAAAGTTATCATTTATTAGACGAAAAAAAAACGAACATGAACAAACTGTTATGCAAATTATGATGAACATTCCATCCAACATGCGTTTGTAACAAGAACATGAATTTGCTTTCGCAGGGTATTGACGGAAGTGTGCACAGGTTAAACAATGTCTCAGTGTCAAGTCAATCTTCTGTACGTATTTGCTTTCGAAGTTCATACATTTGTTTCATTTAATTATTATTTATTTATTTTTTGTCTTATTGAATCTTTTCTCATTTGTAAGTTGATTTTTAAAAAGGTAAAAATGTTATGTAAATGTTATGTTGACCACACAGTCGCAACAGCAAACACATTGCTGACAAATATTTGAGATTTGGTAAGTAGTAGAGAGATGAGCCGTTGTACACACAACAGCATCGGAGCATCGTCACAGCGAAATTACATTGAAAGTGAAATATACTACTATCGGTTTTCCAAAAAAAGTGTTCGGTAAGTATTTTTTTTAAATACAATATTAAACAGAATTTTCGATTTTTTTTTTTTTAATTTGAGTGCATGGTAGAATGAGATTGAGATAGAATACAATACAACATCATGTTGAATTTCATCATTGCGCACGAAATCGTTAGCCAATAGTGCGACGCAGTTTCTTATGACTTTTTCAAAGCCTACTTTGATTACGATATGCAATTGAATGGTTTTTTTAAAAGGTTTTTTTTCATATTTTTTTTTTGTTTTCAACATTCATTCATTGTCAGGAACAACAAATCGGACATAGATGAAGAAGATGGTCACATTTTTAGTTATTACACTGGGAATCGTTCACAAACCGACCAAGTGATGTCAGAATCCGGAAAATAAGAATACAAAGGATTGGTAAGTTTTTTTTGTATTGCATTTTCTTCATTGTGAAATAAATTTTGATTCTGTCGTTTCGAATTTGTATCGTTCAGTTTCTAGTTTGCCCCAACTACGAACCGGTCCGCAATCGTTTTCTTCCCCGGCACAAAATAAATGAATTTTCTCGTCGGCCGTCTTCGAGTAATTTACGCTGTGTGAGTAAGTATCGTTTGCAATTACATCAATTATTATTTTGGTTTCATTCATTGTAGACTGATATTAATTAATGGTGATTTATTTTGTGTTTCTTTTCTTTCTTTTCTTCTGATTGATAGGTAGTGGGCTTGGCACCCAGTACTATTCCATAGTAAGTTTTTTCCTCTTTTCACAGTGATCAACGATCTCAACGCTACTACTACTACCACCAAATTTCAAATTTAAGCAATGTTGTTGTGGTCATTGATTTTGCGCTTAAACTATATACTTTCTCTTATAATTTCATTTTTCATTCTGTTCCATTACTTATTGATTAATTTCCATTTTTTTTTTCATTCTTTTCTTGATCAACCCTAGGTAAAAATGTTATAAAGAATATTTTATGTACATTCCATTATAATTATTAAACAGCCAGAGAAACTCTAAAAAATGTTAACTTATTTGAAGTGTATTTTTAATTCTTTTCCCATTTAGTTTTTTTTTGTGTTTCAACGAATTATAGCGTTTTGATTTCCTCTGATTTTTTGTTTGTTTGTTTGTTTGTTTGTAACTCTCTTTCATTTGCATTATTTATTGTTATAACAGAGCAGAAGAAAAACTAGAAATGATTCTTCTCTTAAACATCGGTCGAGATATGCACTTTTGTGACAACTTTTTTTATTTGTTGTTGGTTGACAAATCGAACGTTTTACTCAACACCCGTTTTTTTTTTGTCATGTTGATACTGTTGATTGGCTGCCGTTGAAAGAAAGATTTGAACATGAGGGTTCAAAATGTGTATTGAAGAAAAATATTGGTCTATTTTATGCATACATCGATTTGAAATGTTAATATTCTAGTTTTTTTTTTAATATATCATTGTGCATATGCGAATCTGTTCTAATTGTTACTTCGATTTATTCGCACAAAAATATCATGCTCTCAATATCTTGATTTTTTTTTTTTTTTTTTCAAAAAATGTTTCACTGATTGCAAAAGAGAGCATTTTGAAAAAAAAAGAGTAAAACATCCACCCTTTTTTTTACATGGTGTCTGCATGTATTTTGTTTTGTTATGTTTGCTATCATTTCATACAATCAACATTTACGGTTTTTAAGCTTTATTATAGTTTTGTAATTTTATTATTCACTTCAATTATTTATGTGGTGTGAGATGCTCCATGAAACTGGAGATCCGTGTTAACTCTAAATTTCGCATCACATGTTTAAAATAATAAATGTTTTTTTAAACGATACAATTGAGAAGAATAAGAGGAGAGAACATGAATTTAAAGGTAAAACATGTCGAACCGTAAAACGAATTTTATTATTGGATAAATTCAATTTACAAATAAAAGAAAAAAGTCGAAATTTTCTTTTAAAACCATGAAAATTCGCGGCAATTTTTCATGCAACTTAAAACTCTTTGAAACAATTTTTTGTTGTCGATCAAAATTTGCAATTTCGATCTCGACACACGAAAATACAGAAAGAAAAAGGTTTCAGCAACGAAACGAGGCGCGAAACGAATGTTAAATGAATCATCAATATGTATATATAGTATTTAATGGCATTCATATAACGAAGCGATCGATAGAGGCACTTCTCGAAGCGAAAAAGAAATATGAAAAAGTAGTTGATTACAGTTTGAAGTTTTTTTTCTTTGTCGCTTGCACATATATAGACTCTATTCGATTGCTTTGATAACTCATTGTTGCGATTCCTTTGAATTCGATAAATAAACAAAAGAAAGTATTTATGTTAAACGCATTTTCAGAATCGAACAACACAACTCTGTGTATAATTTGAATCAATATTAACACACAAGCAGTCCATACAACACATACAGATTTGAGTATATCCATCGCGACAGGCTAATAATAATGCCGTTTCGTTTGTTCGTTAGTGTTTACACATACACAAACTGTGAGTCCATTCATTAGTTCAGCAGATACAACTTCCTTATTCAAACGGTTTATAAACAAAAACTTTGTGTGTTTACAGTATAGGAATATTTCTTACATCGCAATGCAGTGTGAGTTGTGGGTTAGTCGAATGATCTGTCACATTTTGAACGTGGTGAAACTTGTAAGAATCATTTTTTTTTTTATTTGAATTTGCATTCCTTGCATAATTTCTATGCATTCGATTGTTAAAGTGCTAAAACATATAATTTGAATGTGTCGGCAATCGATAACTTGCAAGAGAGATATTTTCAGTGAAACTTGTGTTCGATTTTGTTTTGTTTTGATATCAACAAAACGTTCTCAAGCTGAAACTGCAAATGTTTCGATGTTAGTGTGATGTGCATTCGAGAGAGTTCTTTTTCGATTTTGAATATTATTTCAGTCGTGACCATCAATCAGGTAGGATCAAGTGTCAATTCTATCTCCATTTCATGTGCTTTCTATTGATTCAATTCATTTGCAAATTACACAGTGCAAAATACATATTTGTGATTTTATCAGTGTGATGTTGTCATACCATGGATAGAAAAGAAAAGTGTCATGTCAACAAAGATCAGCGTTTTGGCATCGTTGCTGTTCCTTGACAAAGTGAAGTCCGCGCAAAGCAATCGCCAATGGGACCTTTTCACGAATAAAATGTATGTTGTGAAAGGAAAATTGGTTGAAAAAAATCGTGCCGAAGATGTGATTGAGCGCTGCTTTTATGCAGTTTTGCATAAGAACAAAGAAAACGAGGACATGGAACCACATTTTCGTCGTTTTGTTGAGCAAGGATTGAGCCGAGACAATCAATTTGTTTGGCCAAACAACAATTATTTCGGCAAATACGAATCAAACGTCGCATGCAAAGAAGCGGCTGTGAAATTATTTGCAAATGAGAGTTTGGCAGTTTAATTCATTGTCAACCGGTTTGAAGTTCGATAAAAAGGATGTTCACAATGCACTTGATTGGTCGATTCGACGCTATGATGCCATTCGAGACACACATCAGAATGCACCTCTAAAACGATACATTATTCGATACAAAAGAAAGTTGCTGCTTGACATGGTTCGTGCAATTGTGGAAGAGGTTGTTGGACTAGCGAATTATGACAACATCAAGCAGTTCTCAAAAGGATTCAAAGCGGAATCGCATGCAAAGCGAAATCGATGAGTTTCACAATTGGGCGCAAGACAACAACGTCACAATATCGAAGATCAAAAATCTGTCTGTTGTTCCATTACCAGATTATCAGCGAAAGGCAGTGTTCATGTGCAATGATGTTTTCTACGGAATGTTGGCTGAAAGCAGTTCAAAATAAACAGCAGCCTTAAGCATAACCAATCACCATTTTAACTCGAAAATTAATTAAAAATTAATATTGTAATTTTGTTACACTAACTGAGACTTGACTGTCTCAGCATTTCGAGGAAGTATTACCAAGGCTCTGTTTTTCTGTGAGTATTTTTCATTATTCGATTGCATTTATAGATTCAGACGTGACAATTGTTTGCCGCTTCGGAAGTGCTAACATCAATCGCTTCGTTGTATAAATGCCATAGAATTACCAGAGAATTTTGCCTACTTTGAATTAATAAATACCATTTTTCTATTTACAGATATGGGAAACACCCTAATTGTATATAGTATTTAAAATTGTAAAATTGTAAGTCGTATTTCTTTCAAATGAAATAATTTGTAATAAATAAGACATCCGTAGAATGGCTGCTTCACATCAATCGCATTTTAAATGTTTTGTATCAATCGTGGTAACCATTCCTCCATATATATATTTACATCTTGCGTTATCAGATGTGTAAAAAGCTTTTGCCATGGCGCCTTTTCTTCAAATTCACCGTTTATTTTTGTTACTTATTCATTGACTTTTTGTTTTTTTTTTTAGTTTCATTTTTCTTCGTTAACCCTAAAAGGTGTGTTGCCATCATTTGAATGTGTGTTACATATATATTTTTTTAATTCAATGTTTGTTTTATGCTAATTGCTGGTTTTGTCGTTTCGATAATTTGGTGGAATTGGGTTTAGTTATAACAAGTGATTTTATTTTAGTTTTTTTTTTGTCTCTATTTGAATTTAGCACATATATATGAATATATATATATTTCTTTTGCATCTTTATAGAATAACTGATTGCTTTAGCGTTTGTTCATGTTGATGTTGTGGTTCTTGTTCTGTATAATTTCTAAATGCTTCTTACACATTTTCTGTCTCTAGTTTCATATATTATCTATAAAGATTATTCAATATTTACTTAAAAAAACGCGAGCGCACACACATATGTTCTTTGCAAAAGATGTCTACATGTGTATAGTAATTTATGGCTTTACAAGAAAACACATAAAAACAAAAATACGGTTTCGCCCATTTTGAGCGATAAAATCATTGTTGGTTTTTCACTTAATCATTGTTGGTTCATGAGTCTTTATATTTCTATCAAGTCGAATGTGGATCGATGCGTTTTATGATGGGGATATATAAATCGGGGGTTAATATTGTTCTTGGGCAGCAGAGCAAAGGCGTTACATATTCTTTCGCTTTTAAAATAATCGCTCTCTGTCACCATCCTCATTCTCTTTTTCTCACTTCTTTAGTTTTACAGTTTCAATACCTGTGCTCTCCGATTTCATTTCAGCATCCAGCACATTTTCACAATTTGGTAGACTGAGACCCGATCAAAGAACGATCGTTCACTGAGAAAACGCTTCACTTATATTACTTATATTTCACAGCATTATTGTTTCAGTTTTACTAGCAAATACGAACACGAAGACGAAGATGAATATACCAGGGATTTCAACTATATAAAAGTGAAGAAGAAGAAGAAGAAGAAGAAGAAGAAGAAGAAGAAGAAGAAGAAGAAGAAAAACATTGAAAATGTTTGCAAGGACAAAGAGGGGATGAGTGTGGAAAAACGTTGAAATATTTTAGTTGAATTTTGGAAGATTATTGAAATAGAATTAATTTACATTATCGTTTGGAATAATTCTTGTTTCTTTACAATTTTTCATAAGGAGTGGTTTTTTGTTTAACTTTTTACTGCAATCTATTTGTCTTGTTGCGCATTTATTTTATATTCAAAATGTATTATCTGGATTTCGATGTTCTAGGTTTTTTATTCATGTAGAAATTGGATCATAAATCGAAAACAGACGATCTACTGGAATCATTTTCGTCAACTAAAAAATCAATTCCATTTTGGCCCATCTGTAATTTTGGCGAGAGTGAAAGAGGATGCTTTAAAAGACTTTTCCCTTTCATCCAAATAGTACAGCTGAACTTGGTCCAAATGATAGATTTTTCAACTGGCTGAAAATATTTCGGTCCAATCGCCGAAATTGAAGGGGACAAAAATGGTGATTGAGTAGTTACTTTATCAAAAATATTTCACTAAATGAAAAAAAAAACCTGCTTTTATAAAACATTTTGCAATAATTACATTCGGTTTTACTGTACAGAGGATATCGAACTGGAAGGAGGATAAATTTGCCACACATTTTCCATTGAAAAAACTTTCTCACAAATACTAGTCATTACAACCACCTTATCTCTCTTGGTTATTATTATTATTATTTGATAGGTGAATTGGCAAATGGCCATTTATCGGGCATAAATTCGTGGTGTCGATGGATGCGTATGTGAGTGTATCGTTTGGTGTTGAATCGCAAAGAAGCGGCAACCAATCACATGTATCACGTAAAGGAAAAAGTGTACGCTTTTTTGTGGTCTCTTGCTTATTTCACATTTTGTTTCTTTACTCTGGTAAATATTTTTTTTCTTTTTTTTTTACTTCACATCATCTTTCATATACTTAAATAGTTTGACAGCCAATATAAAATATTATTATAACAATAATATCATTTGTATTGTTTTCTTTGTATTTTGATGTTTTTTTTTTCTTCTTTTGTATATAATAAGATCAAAATGATAAAACTGATACAAGACATTTTATTGTGTATTGATCGAGAGAATAAATATGGAATCATTTTTTTTAGAATCTCAAATGAAAAATTTCATCGAAATATCTTAAAAGATAATAAATTAGAACGTGATCTTTCTTTTTTTTTCGTCAATTCATAATAAATCGATAGAAAAATCTTTAGTCTTCTTGGTTATTCGTCACTTATTCTTTTTCTTCTTTTCGAAAAAAAAAAATGTGAACTTTTGGATATTTGCCAGATCCAATAAAAAAGTGATTGAATAGCAGCAAAAAAAAAGAGAGTCAAATAAAAAATTTATTGATTTCAATGTTAAAACCACAAATTCTTTATCTAAATAGTCGAAATAATGTGTTTACTCAGAACCGTCAATATTTTGTATGATTTGAATCAAAAATCGCTTAATAATAACAGCATTCATTCAGCCGTTCACTGAGGAAAACACATTGATATATAAGGTTTGCTATTTACGACTGACTGAGTATGGTTATTCATTTTGAAACCATAGTGTGTGTGCCGCGGTCTGTTGTTGGATCGATTAAAATCCACCGCGGAAATCATACACACGGAGCACTCGATTTTCATGCATTATGGTGCACACGATACGTGCGGTCTACATTTATCCAACTGCATCATTAATGTTAACTGTTAAGATTCATTCGTGTGATTTTTATCAATTTGATTCAAAGTAATAATAAAATGTTTTATCTTCTTTTTTTATTTCTTGCCGTCTCACAAATACGTTCATAGTGTGTAGAGTGTTTAGTGTATAAAACATCAATAATAAATTGGTAATTTTTTTTTATTTTTTTTTTGTAGCTTTTGTTTTAGTTGTTTTATAAGCAGACATTGCCAAGTACCCTCAGATCATGCTCTGAAGATCATCATGTTCATTTCGGTTTTCATGTATTTTTTATCATTTCTATAAATATATTTTTTTTTTTTTGTTTTTATATCAACATTATAATAATAATTATTTTTTTTCCAACCCATTGGGTTTATTAAAATAAAACTAAGTTTTTACAATGATTTTATTCCATTTCGTTTTCACCATGTACAAAGTGCTGCAACTATTTCAACGTTCATTTTATTTTTAATTTCAGTTGTTGTTGGTTTCATGTCAAATTGGCACCGAAATAAAAAAATAATAATTTGAAAGTTGAACGATGGGTACATTTGTTGAAGTTTAGTTTTGTTTTCCTTTAGATATATTATATGAGTGTGTTGTTTTGCCATTTCTTAAAAATTAATAATCAACTTTCACAAATGCCATCGTTCTATTCATGATCAACCTAGCATCTCATCCTCATACGAATGACACTCTTCATTTCATATAGATAAATTAGTAGCACTCTGTTTTACTATTTATTTATAAAAAAATTACCGATTTTTTTGTTTAATTTTATTTTTTGGCTGATCGAATAGAGATGTATCTCTACAACAATGGTGATTTGTTGTTCTTCTCTAAATCTCTCTCTCTCTCTCTCTCTCTCTCTCATACACACACACACACTCTTTCTTTTAGTCATTTAAATATAAAGCCAAAAACATTTTCTTTACATCATAAAGATACTTCTGTGTGATAAAGTGTATTTTTTTTTTAAATTTACGAAAACGTAAAAAAATAAAATGAATCTTATCTTCATTCTTTTTAATGTTCAAATTAAAATGCTCATTCTTGAATAGCATCGGCTTTTGTTTGTTGAATTTTATTTATGAAATATTTATATAAAACACAAAATGATATCCTTGATATCAAAGAATCATGTGTTCAATGGTTTCAAGGCGAAACAGCTCAAAACAGCGCTCAACATTTTGGGTCGCAGAGAATAGAAATTATATAATAAAATGGACAGAAATTAGAATAATAATTTGTTTTTTTTACATAAATAAATGTGTCTATATCGTTTCGATTTGGATGTTGTGTTTTTCTGAATCTTATCTTGTAAAAGATCATCGGGACCAAAGAGAAAAAATAACCCATTTTGTTTCGTTGACATAGACCTTTTTCGTCTACGATAAATAGAAAACTTGTATCGAAATGAATTGTATCGAACATGTAAGTTAAAGTAATATTTTTCGACACGTCAAAATTGTACGAAGACAAATAGTATATGTAAGTCATTGTGGCCGAAAAAAGAAACGCTCTTATTTTGCTCCAAATAATTATTATGTTGCTTTGGAGCGAAATAGAAGTAATTTTTTCGGCGCAAAGATTCAAGTTCAATTCGAATCAATTGCTTTCTCTTTGTCCATTCGAATAACGGAAGCTTAAGAAGGATCTGAATGTAGTTCAAGTGTCAAAGACTCTATCATGGCATTACTGTTGATTATCGAAAAAATGAATCGACATCGATTTAAAAAAAAAAAGTTCAATATGCCCAGTTTGTCGTCTCTAATTTTCAATAGCATACAACGTTTTTTTTCTGTGTAATAATTTCTCTAATTTGATTTGTTTTAATGAATTGTTTAAAAAATAAGTATTCAGTTTTATTTTATTCATATGTATGTATATGTATGTTATGCGGGTCGCCATATACTTCTTATTCAATGTGAATAAAACAGTTCTTATGCAAGTGTCTTTATTACAATATGTTTTCTTGTTTAAACGTTATGTTAATTAATAAATATATTCTTTTATAGACATTCGATATAATAATATAATCTAAATTGTTGCAATTTTTTATTCATGTTTTTTTTTTGTCTCTTTTTTTGTTTACTTTTTATGAATAGACACGTTAAAACAAATGAAATGAACAAGAAGAGAGGAAAGAGAAAATTAATAAAGGTATTTAGGCAATTCGTTTAGTTGATTCATACTTTTTCATCTCTTCGGTTTTCTCTCCATTCGGGTGACGATTGTTTATAACAATTTATCTTTCTTCCTTAAAATTGATTTTTTTTTTCGTCTCTCAAAAGTTTACAATTTAAAAAAAGTGTTGTTGATTTTATTTTTTTTAAGAAATGAAACTTTAAAAATTTTGCGAAGCAAATTATATATATAAAAATATTTTTTGATTTCAAACGTTCTCTATTGCCCAGCATATATCATCAGTCAATTGAAAGAACAAATTAATGGGACTAAATTACACAACATAATATTGTAATTTGAAAAAAAAAATATGCGAAAAATAAACAAAATTAAAAACATCTAGCTGTGGCTTTGATTATAATTTTGTTTTTTTTTAAAAAGCATTCAACAAAACTAATTAATGAATTAAATGGTCTTTAAATACAAATAGTCGATTCCTGTAAATGGATTTGTATTTACCACAGCAATAATGTTTTGTACAGATATTTACACATATCTTTCGCCCCACACCGGGGCTAAACAGTAAATAATATACATACTATCGTATCGACGATAAAATCAAAAGCAAAAAAAGAAGAAGAAGATAAGAACAAAATAATTTCGATCAATCTGAGTAAGGTTTTCATATACCTCTGATGTGATTGTGCTTTTTTTCCTGATAAACTCACACGATAAATTGACTAAAAAAAATACTGGATTCAGTTAAGGGGGAAAAATCAGTTGATAATTCGGTCTCATGTCACCTCACTTTTTTTTTTCATTTGTTCGATAATCCTATTTATCTTGTTTTTTTTTCTCTTGATAATTCCACTGTTTTCATTATCGAACACATCCCCGTTCGTTATATAATTAAAATGTTATAATATATTTAGATTGGTGATTTGTGGTAAAAAAATATCTTATCACTGATTTTCATCAATCGAAATTATATAAAAAAAACTATAATATACATGTAACGTATAGTTTACTAGTGGCGAAAATTATGATGAAAAAATGTTAAAAAAATTTCTTTTTTTTCTGTTTGCTAGCTTCTTCCTCATTCTTCTGTTTTTTTTCTTTCAATTTGCTTGAAATGTTTGTTTTTTTTTTAGAATTATCTGAATAGTTTGAAATAATTTTTTTTTTCATTAAATGTCCGCATATTTCAGCGGTGGAGTAATTTTATGCTCGAAAAATCGAACAACAACAACAAAAAACGTACTCGGATTTTTATATATTCACAATCACATCAATTTTCATCCATACAATACACCATTTGAATATTAGAAATCGTGTATCTCGTCACATCGTCTAAACACTGATTTAAACTAGATTTCATGTTAAATTGTCGAAATATTTGTGTGTTTTTTTTTGTCTTCAAATAATTATGATATCTCGGAAATATTGAGCTGTTTGAGAGAGAGTACATGTTTCATATTGCCCAATAATTTCCATAATTTAGAATTTCTCGTGCTTTTTTTTACGTGTATCTTTTGAGTAGCTTGATTTAGTATATAAATTGCTGATAGTTTTTCATTTTTTTTGTTTGTTTGTTATTGTTGGTTGCATGTATTTTTGTCTATCTCTCCGTCAAATCACTACGTAAACGTTTCGATTCAAAACGTTTCATTAATGTGTGTCATTATTTTGGGATCAATGACAAATTGATAACGAAACACACAAAAATAAAGAAAAAAAAATAATTTGTATTTATGTTTGTGATATTGGCGTTTCTTCTTCCGGTGACCAAAGCTTTTCATGCTCTTCTAATTCGGATTCTAAGCGCCGTTCCAAGTCCCGCATATCTTTATCGATTCCATCTTCGTATGTATCATCACAGCCAAAGTCTTTTGGCGCTGTTGAATGCACAATAGTCAAATTGTTTGTGTTATTACTACTGTTAGCCTGTTTATAGTCGCGATTTGGCGAATGGACTTCATTTAATTTAGCATCTAATTCGTTCGGTTCGTTTGTTGTTTCGTCACATGGATTTTGATTATAGCCAACGATGGGCTGACCGCTCATTTTTGCATTTCGACCAACTGATGGCATTGATGTCACGGTTTTATGGCAACCGGTTTGCTGTTGTTGTTGCTGCTGCTGCTGTTGGGCTTGTTGTTGCTGTTGCTGCTGTTGTTGATGATGATGTTTTGGATTGTTCCAGAATTTCATAAGCAGTTGATTTGACTGGTTTCCAGGCGATACCACAACATTTGACGGACTCCATAGAAATTGTTCAATTGAACTTTGCGATGATGTGGACGATGTAAACTGAATTTAAGATTCAGATTTGTTAATTTCAAATCGATTTATGATTTTTTTGACATTTTTTTTTTCATGGCATTCATTTAATGGAGAAAAAAAAATCGAATATATTATATGTTACCTTGTTCATGTCGGTGGATGCGATATTCGAGCTTCCCATCAATTTCTGTTCAATCAATTTCAATTCCATTGTCAGTATGTTTTGTTCGTCATCATTGGTGCATGTGTTGATTGGTCCGAATCCTGTTAGAATTAGATACCAACAAAAATAAAATCGCTTAGCTCACGCGTGAAATGATATTTTGGAATTTTTGTTTGTTTTTTTTTTGTTTCAAATTGACCAAAAAATACCATCTCTTGTGATGTTTTCGTTCATCATTGGATTTATATCATTCGATTGGTAGCCGTACTGATTTGGTGATTTTTGCAAATTATTATAGAGCCATACTGATGGATCGGTTAAGGTTGACGATGCGGTTGTCGTATTCGGTACAGTTAAATTATCACTTGATAATCCTAAGTAAGCAAAAAAGAAAACATTCAAATCAAAATCAAAATCTCTAATAAAAATAAAATGTCTACCAACCTGTCGAATACGGTGACGTTTTGGCCGACATTCGTGAAATAGGTCCGTATTTACTTTGTGCCGGTGCATCAAATGGCACATAATCATCGTCGGTTAGTATTGAATCCGATCGCACAAACATATCACGACTCATGTCAGAGTTTGAGTTTTGGTTTTGGTTATCACATAGAATCGGATTGGCGTAGGCCAATTCAACCGGCGAACGATTGCTACTATTATTTTGTGGCTGTTGTAGTGTATTTTGATAACCAAATTCATTGCCAGCAATTGTATTATTCCAATAATTGTTGATTAAATCACTTTTCACATGTGAATGACTCGGATTCGTCGCACTGATGGTCGCATCATTATTATTGATGCTATTGGAACTATTATTATTTTTGCTTTGATCGTTCGTTGTCGGTGCTACTTGATTTGATACATGGTATGCATTATTGTTTCCGTTCACAGCTTGTTGCGTTGTTTGTTTCAAGTTATTATCATATTGTTTTAGTTTAGCTGCAAAAATGAAGAAAAAAAAAATTGATGCAATTAATTCGAATTCAAATTGCAATAAAAACCAAAATTATCAAATTAAGGAGTTTACGTAAGACAAAAAAAAAAGAGGTAATTGCCTATTATTTCTTGGCGTCTCATTTCCAAGCTTTGAAGCATTCGAATATCATTCATCGATGAATCACCATATTGGTAATTGTTATTTGTTGATGAAAATTGCAATTTCTGTTGATATTTCGGTTTAAGATCAATCTTATTGTTAACACTGTTACTATTGTCCATATGATATTTAGTTGGTTGTTGTTGGCTTGGATGTTGCGGTGATCTCATATGCGGTGACATTGTTGCTTTGATGTATGGCTTATTATAAGCCTCGTTCATAGTAAATTTGCCAGATGCATGCGGTTGTTGCGGGTAGTTCGTTGGTGAGGAGTAAATGATCGGAATCTTCGGTTGATACTTTTGCTGCGTATAATGTCTTGAATTCATAGAATCCAAATGAGATCGATTATCCTGATTGCTGCCGGCATACATATGTGACTGAATTGAAGGCAGTGGAGGTGGTGGCGGTGGTATACTCATAGGCGAAATTGAATAATTTTGGTTTTGTTGCGCATTGAAGGAACGACGTTGGGATTTTGGATCGAAAGATGTCTGAAATCGTGTCGATTATTTATATTTACAAATTAATTAATTATTATTTTGATGTCGCATACAATAATATTGCCAACCATATTCCATAGTTGAAGCAAAAACAAAAACTTACCGAAGGATGCAAAGAGTTGATCGATGATTTGCCAATTTGAATTGTGGAACCTTTTAAATTCGGGCTCTGCTGTGCCAATGGAACTGGTGACTTTTTATACATTCCATGCTCGAATTGAGATTGTTGTACCAGCGCACCTGATATCATAGCCGGACGAGGTAGTTTTTCATTGTTATTATGTCTTTGCGGGGATATGTCCTCATTTGATGATGACATATAGGTATAGTTGCTGTTGTGACTGTGATCGGTTAAATAATCGGTTGATTCTACATTCAGATGATTAGTGCTAGCGATGATTGGTGTCTTAGCATGCAGTTTACGATTTTTGGCTCTATACTTTTCCAGCTCTTCTTCCGAATGTGCAAATGTACAACTGGCACCGCGTGGGCAAATGGCCCGCATAGATAGATCACGGCACATGCTAATTTTATATTTGCCATTGTGTGCCACATAGCTATTATCTTGTAATTTTCGATTGCCATGATGTTGAACAAACTCCACCAAACCAATAACAACTTGTTTGACGGCATCCAATGAGGCGGCCAATTCTTGCCACGAATCATTTTCAGCCGTTGGATCAATGTTTGTTAGTTGCTTCAAATGTGCTCGCAAACCGGCCAAATTTGCCGGATCGTTGGTGCGTTGCAATGCAATAACTAACTCTTGAACGGATTGAGCAAATGACTGTGGTGTTTGTAATTTGTCAATGATGCTTTGCATATGGGATTTATGGCCGGTGTCACCGTATAACAGAGCCGACCATTGATCGGGTGCAATTCGAAGACCAGCTTCGGTAGCAATTTGAACAATCTGTGCATCATGTTCACGCCGTAATGCTTCGTATGTTCGAAATTCTTCTTTCAATTGCATAAGTGACGAATCACCGTCGCGTTTTGATACCTTAAAGCAGCTGGCACGATATAACAATTGCACGACATGGCCGATACTTGTTTTTGATGCTTGCGGAAAATGTGGTTCGAGACGTTGAACAACAAACATAACTAACACTTTACGAGATAGAGCCGAACCGTCTTCTAATGCCAACAGCACCAGTTTAAGTACTTCTTCCTGCATTGCAGGTCCTAAAAATTGACATCCGCGAGCACGTACGGCGGCCCATAGATTGGCACTCAGCTGTTGTGGATTTTGATGTTGTAAAATGAGCTCAGTAACGGTTCGTTCGCCTGCATTTTCCGAAAATATTACAAATAAAATCGAATTTATTTAGAGAATAAAAAATAAAAATACTTTTTCAGCTCCTATATTTCAAATTAAAAAAAAAATGAAAAAAATCATCACTTACCAAGCGAACGAGCGGCACGCAATGCACGACTCCGACCTTCAGCTTCAACCAATTGGCAATTGATTAGCGTTACCAATTTTCGTTGCATTGGCCGTGACAATAGGCTTGTGATGTTGCCATTGTTGAACGGTTTTAAATACAATGCCAAATCTTCGATGCATTTTTTCGAAATATTATAGCATTCCAATTGTTCGGCAGTTAGTTTTCGAACACTGCCCCACAATGGTTCTGTATCGCAAACAGTCGAACCAGCCGCGGACGATGAACAATTCTCCGTCTCTTGCGATGATGTGTGGATTGTTGAGGACAAACAAGTTTCGGTTGCATTCGAGGAAGTCGGCTCTTTTTGTGTTAAATTGTTATTACTTACTAATTGTAAAAGTGCATTATTTATTGGTAAATTATCTAAATCTGTGATTATTGCAGCCTATTTGGAACGTAGTTGAGGGAGAAAGAAAAAAAAGAAAAAAAAATCGCACAATGTGAGAATACACTTTCGAAACGGAAAAAATAGAATGGTGAATTGAAATAAATCAACATAAAATTGGAATGAATAAATACTTGGTCAAATGGGCATTGTTTTCTATGTAAATTCGCTAAACATGTTTTACATATGGTGTGACCACATCCTAAACTAATTGGAGGACGAAGTTTCACTGCAAACTGATGGCAGCATACCGGACAAGACAAAAATTCTGTCCACTGTGGCGCCTGAATCGGCATTCTTCTGCAAATGGAAAATACCAAAATTGACAAACAAAGATTGATTAAACACAAAATATAATTGTTTAAATTGACATGTATACAACTAAGTTGATATGATACATTATATCGTCGTGCATCGATTTTGTATCAAAATAAATTTGATTAACATTTCATTTGAAATGGTAATATGTTATGCCAACCACGTTTCGTCCATTCATTAAATTTATCCATGATATTAAATTAACCAGGAATTGAGTTTATAATGAATGCAGTTGGATGGGATTGGTTTGCATTGAGTGTTGCTACTCTTTCACTTAATACAATTTATTATATAAGTAATTATATTTCATGTTATAAATTTTATATCAGATTTTATTTTTTTATTTTTTATTTTTTATTTTTCATTTTTTTTTTTGCCTAAGGATTTCATCACACAAAAATTTGCGGAGGATAAAAACACTCACACGAAACAGATGGCCTTTGATGGCAAAATAAATTGGCTGGCCTCTCGGCGCATGACCATTGAACTTTGCTTCCATGTAGTTCACTTTTTTTCTCTCTTAATAAATTTATGTTACGATAACATGGTCATAATTATATGACCATTAGCCATCCACTTACTTTTTATTTTTCAATTCGTTTCCATTTCTTTCTTTTTTTTTGCTTTGATTAAATTTTCAATTTGTACACCATTTTGATAGGTATTTCGTTATGCATCGCAATTTCATAAGTAAAATATGGTTTGGATCAAATTAATCATTGAATAGGCTTCTATAGTTTTTTTTTAACATTATCTTCCGCGCGTTCGTTCTTTGTCTTTCACGCAATTACATTGGAAAACATATGTAAGAGATAGATATGCAAACATTATAGGAAATAACACCAAATATATACATTATATTTAGATATTCACTTTTGGCAGCATTTCAAAGCTATTATTTCATATTACAATTGAACAAAAAAAAAATTTCTGTTCGAACGTTGAAAGGAATTTCAAAAAGAAAAAAATCTCTCAAAGTAGTCACGTCATTCGTTCGAGCATTCAATCTTCTTTTTTTTTTTCATTCATTCATACATTTCTTTCGTTCGTTCACGTATTAGTCTCTATTAGGCTAAGGAAATCAAATTGAAAATGACAATCGTATGTTTAATTGAATAACATGAATTTGTTCTTTATCGATTATACGCAAGCTTTTCAAACACAAAAAAAAATCGAACGAAAACAAAAAGTCAATTTCAATAAAAAAAAAATTCAATAAAAATTCATTATCACCATAAAAATGCCAACTAGACAAAAATTTGTCACATTTTCCTTTTTTCACTCCACTTATTTCTTACACTTTTCTTCTTTCTCTCTCACTGGCACTGACATCACACGGTTGAACATTTTGCATCTCTTGACTTTTTCCATTAAAATTCTTTCCCGTACAATTTTTCAATCGCACACAATCAGCTCTCATTCAACACAAAAAATTTATATATTCATCATCTGCCATTATTATAATAAATTCGCTTGAAATGGATGGACCGAATGAAATCAATTCAATTACCACAAAATATTCCAATAAATTAACTTTTCAATCAGTTTTTGTTTCATTTACCTTGACTATTAATGGAAAAAATCATCACATATTATAAATACAAAATAACGTCAAAACTATTTGCTGCGACATCCCATCGACTTTTGCAATTTAATGGTGAAAAATGGCATGTTGTCGTAGATTCGTCATAGCTTTGAAACGACTACACCAACCAATGAGCCAAATATATATTTTTCCTCTTCTATTTTCGTTCGCACTACGCGATGAATGCGTTTAATGACATTCTGAATTTCGTCACACTTCTGCGCTCTGCACTTCAAAATCGAAATACCATTCGAAATTTATTTTCGGGTTTCGTATGATTGCGATTTTTTTTTTTAAATTATTTGTTATTATGACCATTAATAAGAAAATTTTATTAAATAAATATTTTCAATTTTTTTCCCTTCATTATTCCATCGGACAACTCTACTTGTGTACGATATAACGATTATAAACGTCAATTGAACAAATGTTTGAAAAAAATCGAATTTTTTTTTTTGCTTTACAGGAACATTTAAAGCATGCAATTGATGATGTATTTTTTTATCAAATATTGCCTTAAAAAAATGATTGATTATTTTCAATGTAATTCATGAATTACAACTGCAGTCTCTGAATTTGAGTGTTGTAATCGCTCATTGCATCAACTTTCAATATTTGCAAAAAAAAAAAAAAATTAATTAGACGTTAATTCTCTTTCTTTTTTTATTTTTATATTTAAAAAAACCAGAATGAGAAGAAAAATATATACATATGAACTTCAAATGAGACAACTATGTATTTGGAATGTAATTTTTTGTAATAATCGAATTTATTGTCAGAAGTGTTAAAATACAATTATCTATAATGCACACGTTTCATCGTAATCACGAATAATGATTGGTTCAATTGCCTCAGTAAATTTCTCTAAGGAGCAAGGTGAATCACAATTTGGTATATCAATTGCTTTTAAATCACTCTCATGATTGAAGCCGAAGAAAATCTATGGAAAAAAAATTTGAAAATACGTTTATTTTGATTATTTTTTTATCTTTTATTCCACAATAATTACCTTGACTTCAAGATCATTGTCAAGAGTTGGATTTTGATGTAATTCAAAGTGCAAACTGGATGTATAGTCGGGTTTTTTTGTTGTTTGCGAAATAACATCCAATGCCCGCATTGTATTCACAAGTGTTACATCGTGACCAGAGTAAATGAAAATGTTTCGCTGATTTTGATTATTTTTTAATTGAAGCATGTGATCAAGAATATCGGTAACAAGTGATCCTATGGAATTAATTTCAAATAATTAGTGAATTGAAAGTAATTATTTGGTAAATGTTTACCTCCTTTCACTCGTTTCATGTAATCGTTTTCAGTGAGAACGGCTAGATTACGTTCAGCGAGTGCCAAAAGTTTGTCTGGAAACACAGATTCCGTCCATTTCGGCAACTCCAGCCCATTGTCCCGTTCAATCGACAATATATTATACAGTTGTTCGCCTTGATGAACATTAGTGATGTTCTATAGTAATTGAAAATTGTACCTTAGTATTGAATGGCTTGAAAAGTGATTGTTGAAGAGTAATAGCTTGAAAAGTCATACCCCTCCCGTTTTTTCGCTGATATAAGTAAATAATTCAGCGTTTTCTTCCACGAATTTCTTCAGCTCCGCAGGTGGATCTGTATACATTTTTTTCAGCATTTCATCATACTTAGGACAAATCCCTTTCTGCGATATTAACTGCAATTGAATTTATGTTGAATGGAAAACGTTCATTAAGAAAAAAAAAAGAAGAAAATTCATTGATTTATAAAGGTATACCCTATCTCGGTCTCGAGATACAGAATTAACGGCAACAGGTTGCCATTTTATAGGTAATTGATGGCCATTGGGCGGAGGTAAGAATCCGGCGAGAAAAGTCTGTGCCGTCATTAAACATCTTTCGGCAGCACTGCTTAATACATACATCTCTTTTGTTGTATAAAATCCATTGGATGGTAACAATTTTATGTATCTATTAACAAAATCAGAAAAAGTTCAGCAAGTTCAAAGCCATTCATGATTACATTTAATGAAATTAAATTACCGATTTCGGAGCTTCGTTCCAAGAGTATACCCTTGAAATGCTCCTTTCAACGTTAAAGCGCCAAATCCACCCAGCCAAGAATAATTGAGGTGTGGATCATTTGGATAAAGTCCCGAAGGTGATCTTTTTTTAAAAAAATGGAAAAAATCTTTACAAAATCGAAATTTAACAAAAAAAGGTTAATAAATTGATAACCTTTCGCCATGTCGAAAAACCTGAAAAAAAATTGAACATTGAATGTTACATAAATCAAATGAATTCAAACATTTGAAAAAAAAAAAAAACACTGCATTTGGTAAACTTACAATTGCTGCAAATTTCACGGTTGATTGATTTGAATCGTTGTTATTTTCGCTGAATGCATGGTATGCTAAAAATACAACGGCAAGAGTGATACCTAAAACTGTTACCGAAATGGTCATGCTACGACGATCATTGCCACATTGTTTGTCAGCCATGAAATTCGCGAAAAAAAAACACTAGAAATTTAGATAGTACACTTAAATTTTGCGCTCTACATAGAGAAACACAACAAAAAAAGCTAATAAAATATTGGAGTGTCTTTATCATGCATTACACTAGTGTTGACTCAATCGAACACAGACAGTGACAGTTCATTTCGAACACAGCTGTTTTGTATTATGACCACCAAAATTCATTTGACAACTGACTGCCGAATGTGTAAATTTCACACTGAAAACTATCCAATGCTACTTGAAACATTTTGCTGCACCAGACAAATTCAGAAAATTCAAAGATGCAAGACATTATATTGAGCATTGATAATAAGGAAATTTTAAATGAGGTAAGCATTAAATGGATTATTTCAAGTGTATCAATTTGAAAATTATTTATTGTATGTGTGTGTGTGTGTTTTCGATTTGTTTACAGATTCTATATTATTCAATTGATTATTTGATTGAATCAACGAAACAAAAAAATGTGCCAATCAAAAAATTAAGCCATAAATTTGGCTTTTCAAATCCCGACGAATTTGAAAATTCCATCAAATTTATATCGAATCTATATCGTCAATACATTTTGGAAATGATTTCGGAGGCGGAATTATTATCGCATTTTGCACATTTTAATAGTGATTTTCAACAGTCTGTATTGGATGTATTCACCGTTCGTCGCAACGAAATAGAAGCATTTTTAATCGATGAACATAATGCACGAAAAAATGATTTACTCATTTCATTTGATTGGGACATTCGATGGATACTTGGCAGCAGCAATATGGCATCGTTACGAACCCAAATCGCAAATCTTATACTCAATTGCAAAACATCAAAATCATCCGATTTAAAAACCATTCAGATGGAATTGTCCAGAGAACAAATTGATAAATTGATAAATGTGTTGGAAAAATGCGACGAACAATTATCATCGCGTGAAAGTTAAATTGGACCAACAAAAAAAAAAGACAAAGTCGAATTTCCATTCAATTGCATTCCATAATTTCAATTTTTAATTTAGTTTTTAATTATCAATAAATATTACACTATGGTATTAACAGAAAAATTCCGTTTCTTTTCTCTCTAATAATGTGATCCTTGGTCTTCTTTGAGTAAAAAGTAAATGGGCACTTTTTCTTTATGTCCCGGCATATCGACGTATTCGACATGTGAGATGAGGATTATCGCTGCCAGGCCATACATTAATTGGGGTAGTCCTAAATTTATGACCTTAATAAACTTCATGAAGTTATCATCAAGTGATAAATCTTGATGCGGACGTTTTGTGCAATGGTATTTCCTTAAATAAAAAGGTGGAATTTCCTTATTCGTTATTATTTAATGGTATTTCCTTCCTTCTTACATATAAGGATAGCAACCAGTTCGCAAAATATGATAATTTGTTCCAGTGTCCAGCGTCCAATTAAAGTGTGACTTGCCCCATTGATCATTGTATACATCGCGATACTATACAGAATGGCAAATAGGTTTTTTTGTTGGCAAAAATTAGAAAATGAAAGAAAATTGCGTTCAATACCCGTATGAAGTATGAAGTCCATGGTGGTTCATTGCATTGCTTTAAATATTGAGTTAACACGGCCGATACTTTTGGACGCATCTTTTATTGAACACAATTCACACACAAAAAAAAAACAACAAACAAACTGAAACATAACCTATGCCATATGTTTTGACATTTTCATGTGCACTGTGTCAATACAAATTCATCTATTTGCGCCGAATAAATGGTTCATTGAGTCAAACACTCTTTTAAATTTGCATGTGCACAATAGTAAATTTATTATGAAAGTACTCACCTGAAGTATGCAGAATGAAGCTCAAAAATGAATTGAAATCGGAGTGATTTGACTTCGATTCACAATATTGATGATATCAATATCACTATGCCTTTTGATAAACTTGTTTATTATTTGATTACATATGCATCAGAAATATGATAATCTAAACAATCACATGACGTTGGTGAAAGACTACAATAAACTTTCACACATGCAGTCGTACGCCCCCCACAACTATACAATTATTGCAAAATCGCATTTCGTGCCAAATGTATGATAAAACCTGTATTATGAAGGTGCATAAAATATTCATAATTTCAATTGAGTAATCAAATCTAAAATTGAAAATATACAAGCTGAATTTTTTTTTTTATATGTAAAATAAAAATGCAAAATATTTAATGTTAATGTAACAAAAGTACATTTATTGGATTTAATCAGTCACAATACGTCCTCAAAACCCGATAAATGCATTAAAAATTTAGATTCAATAAATCTAATCGGTTGTATTAACAAGGTTTTTAATGTTTTGAACAATGTGACGGTATTGTTTAACATCGGCATCGAGTTTGGCGCGCTGTTGCAAGTAAATACGTTTTGGCATTTGAATGTATTCTTCGCCTTTGTAAATAAATGTGGTTATATCCGGATTGTCGACAGTGTTGTCAAATGCATTGGTTTTATCCTCGTCGTTGGTATCATCATTGTCGACCGTTGTCTTTTTAATTTCGTTCATGTGATTGGACACAATTATGTTGTCGGCCGATGTGTACAGCTTTTGTCTTTTGGTGACATGATTCACAAGTTCACCCGTACTAATACGTCGCTTGTCCGTGATTTCATCAATTTTCTTGTTTCGAACTGCCGGAAAATGATCGTATGTTTTCTGTGTCACTTTTACCGATTTGATTTTTTCCTTTTCATTTTGTAATTCTTCGTCACTCAATCCTTCTTCGATGGCATCATCATTTTCGTCTACCGGTTGTGTTAACATTTCAATTGTATTTGTGTAAATTTGCTCCTCCAATGGATCCATTAGTATATCATCGTGTGACATATTCTTTTCCGAATTGTAATCTTCTTCCACGTAATTTTCTTGGTCTTTGGTTGATTTTTCGTTGTAACGAAATGGCACAGCATTTGGTAGTAAAACTGTGCGTCTTGCCGATTTGCTTATATATTTTTGATCGAAATGATTTTGACAAAGATACTTGTTCTTCAAATTCACTTCGTCACAACCGGACAGTTCGACCCATAGGTTACATTTTTGAACGTCTTTCACGGGAAAACCAAAAAAGGTGAGATCCGGTGTATAGAGATTTGTATTGTCACAATCTCTGTAAATACATTGCTTTGTATTCATTTTTCACTTAATTTTCTTTTGAATTTGAATTTTTTTACACTTTTTGTGACGGAATAATGCTGATTTCAATAAACAACCAGTGAATATCTAGCAAGCTTTGTTGTTTAAATCCGTTGACAAGCCGTTTTTGTTGATTGAAATAAAAAACCAACGACAATCTGCATTATCGATATTTGACAACTAAAGATGGTTTTGAAATATTTACATTCAGGGAAATGTTTGCTTTTATTTGATTGTTCTTTTTTTTCATTGAGAAAATAATGATTCATAGCATTTGATTGTTGAAAAATTTATTAAAAAAAAAAAAAACTAAAAAAACGAAGCGAATTCAGTTTTGACAGTCCATCGGCAAATCGAGAATTAAATGTCATTAATAGACGATGTTTCGTTTTACGTATGCTATTTTGACGTATTGTTTTTCTTCCAGCTAAACAATCATTGTATTTTGGATACAATCAGGTTTTAAGATAAACTAGAAAGTAATTTTTAAAATTCAAACAAATTTTAAAAAGCCAAATTAAACAAACAAAAAAAACAGGATGGAATCATCATTTGCACCTTTGAGTGAGGCATGTGCCCGAACATTGTGGGACAAAACCTACGAAAAACGCAAAGTAGCGGCCGCAGAAATTGAAAAGTATGCAAATTTGAGTTAAATGTTATCACTGAAAATGATTTATATTTTTATCCATGCCACCCCTCCCACAGAATGGTTATGGAATTCAATTCAACAAAAAACTATAATCAAATCCGTAAATTGATCAATGTACTTGGACAAGAATTTGCCACATCAAAAGATAATAATAAACGAAAAGGCGGTTTACTCGGTTTAGCTGCCACTAGCATTGGTTTGGGAAAGGTGATTGATTTCTTCATATAAAATATCCCAACATACATATGAAACGATTTTCTTTGGTTCCTACTTTTAAGGATACCGAAAGATTTGTCGAAGAACTGGTGTCACCGGTGCTAAATTGTTTGCTTGATCCAGAGGTGCGAGTACGTCTCTTTGCCAGTGAATCTCTCTATAATATTGTTAAAGTAGCCCGTGGATCAATCATTCCATTGTTTCCGCGCATTTTTTCAGCGCTTTCAAGACTTGTGACCGGTAATTATTATTGGATAATTATTTCAAACAGAAAAATAAATATTGATTGTCTGTTTTAGATTCCGATGAAAATTGCAAAAACGGAAGCGAACTATTGGATCGTTTGTTAAAAGTAAGAACTAAGCCAAGTTGCCATTGTACGATATTATAATGGATTTTTTCACTTGTCGTAGGATATTGTAACTGAGTCACCACAAACCTTTGATTTAGATGCATTTATTCCATTGTTACGTGAACGAATTTATACGAAAAATTCATTTTCACGACAATTCATTATCTCTTGGATATCTGTATTGAATGCTGTGCCCGAAATCAATATGATTTCTTATCTACCGGAAATTCTTGACGGACTCTTCCAAATGCTAGACGATCAATGTGTGGAAATTCATACGACGTACGTGCTCAATTAAACTATTCATAGTCATTTTCTCGATAAGCGTGTGGATAATTCATGTAATTTTTATTTATAGGTGTGACACACTTCTGTCGGAATTTTTGAAAGCGATCAAAAGTGAACCGAGCGAAACAAAAATGTCGGAAATGTGTAACATTTTAATAAACCATGCCCAGTCAACGAATGCATTGATTCAATTCACCGCTATCGATTGGATTCGAGAGTTTGTTCAGTTGTCCGGTCCAAAAATGTTGAAGTTTGCCAGTGGCATATTCACTGCCATTTTACCATGCTTGGCATATGAAGGAGAATCTAGACGAGGTTATTTCTAACACTTTGCAATGCATTTGCAATGTAAAAATGTCTAACAATTACCCAATATTCAAACAGATATCAAAAAGACAGCCCAGACCGTCAACCTAAACATGTTCGATTTGATTTCGTCCAAAGTAGAAAAGGAGAATGCTTTCAAGTATTTGGATTTGGATTCTGTGATGAAGGTGTTGCAACAGTATTTGATACAAGGTTCTGTTGATACAAAAGTCGCTGTTTTAGAATGGATCAATCATTTATTTGCTCAAGCTGAAAATGAGGTACTTTTCCATTCAAATTCAGACAGTCATTTTATGATATCATATAATTTTTTTCGTTCGTTTTTGTTTAGATGTCAACGCATGCCATTGACTTATATCCAGTATTATTTGAAACTCTTTCGAATAATTCCGATGAAGTGGTCATCCAAGGTTTGACCGTGCTTGCTGAAATTGTGAATTGTACAAACAAATCAAAAGGTGAACAAATGAAAATTTCTTCAAGGTCAACATTTGAATGAACATGTTTTTTTTCGCATAACATTTAGATCCAATCAAAAGCCATATTCACTATAAGAAATTTTTGATTAGCTTGTTAAAGCTATTTGAAGAAAAACGACCACTGCTGGAAAATCGTGGCGCATTCATCATTAGGTAAAACACATTGGCACATTGTATAATGAATAATAAAGCAAGATAACAATTTCTCCAATTGTACAGTCAACTTTGCATCCTATTGAATGCGGAGGTGATTTATCGTATTTTTGCCGAGATAATTTTCGAAGAAACAAGCAATTTAAAATTTGCTTCGACAATGGTGCGCACACTGAACACAATTCTATTGACCACGTCCGAATTATTTGAATTGCGAATGCATTTGAAGGACATCACCAATGAGGTAAATGATTAAGCCACTTCAAAGTTTGCAAAATACTCTACTGCAAACCGTGAACTAGCGTTTTAATGTAAAATGGTCGAATTTATGATTAAATTCAACGTTTCATCAATTTTAGAAATCTGCATCCTTATTCCAGTGCCTTTACAAGTCTTGGGCTCATTGCCCCGTATCAACATTGTCACTATGTTTGCTGGCTCAATGCTATCAGCATGTCTCACAATTGGTCGTTTTATTGTATGTGTTTTAATATTTCATTTAATGATAATATCTAATGAGTATCAAATTTCCAAATTCACAGCGGCGAGATTGAGGTAACCGTTGAGTTCCTTATTGAAATGGACAAATTGGTGCAGCTAATTGAATCGCCGATTTTTGCTTGTAGGTGAACTTTTATTTTTTTGTATGAGAACAGACATTTACATATCACTATTATTCTGATTTTGCAGCTCTACGTTTAAATTTGGTGTCGCAGAATACGACCGAGGCTCAATATTTATCTCATGCTTTGTTTGGAATATTAATGTTGCTGCCACAAACCGAAGCATTTACTTTGCTAAAAAATCGACTACAATGTATTCCACATTCGCAGGCATTCCAACATAATCCGTAAAAATTGACATGTCACGTTTGTTGAATTTATCAGGCGCATAATTTCTATGCAATCATCTCTGCTGGCCTATTAAATTCAATGTAACGTGTCCTTAATTACCATATATGCAGAAAATGTTGAAATACATTTTGTTTAATTTTCAGCGATACCAGTAAATTGGCGGAAAATAGAAGCGGTATCGAGTTTGCCGAGCTACTAAAACATTTCAAAAGTATACAGAAGAGTCACCACGAATACCGTAATAATCAACGAATACGAAATTTCTCTATCTCCGAACGTCATAACTTAAATAATTGAAGCAAAGAAAAGCAAATGTATTTTACATAGTTTTGGTCTCCAAATAAACAGTTTATATCAAGTAAACCTCCATTCGCCGTGGAATGGCCAGAAACTTCAATGTTCAAAGTGCCAATGAATGATGATCTATTGTTCCCATGCTTCATTTCGTTGCTCAATAATTGCTCGAGCACGTGCCTTATTATGAAAAGAATAAACACATCCGATCAATAAAGAAGAGAAAAACAACAAAAAATGGATCATTTTCCATACAAACATTCATTTTAATTCAAATCAATTGACCTATTGAACCATGAAATATCAAAAGTTATTCAACAAGGATATAAATGTTCGAACTTAATTGAGAAAGATAGAAGAATGCCGTTTGTTACTTTGCTATTTTGTTCATTTTACTCAAGGTTTGATAGATTAAAGGCCGTTGATCCATCTTTTTCGGCGCCAACATATTTTTGATTACCCCCCTTGAAAAGGAAAAAAGGTGATAGAAGTATATGTAATTGATTGAAATCAAGAGAGAATCAAACAGACATTTCTGCAATACAAAAAATGACACTCACATTGCTGCCGTCAACAAAAATACGTGTCCATCATATAAACTTTTCACATCTTTCAATCTCTGAATATGGTAAGTTGTTGGTTCGGATTGACTACAGAAAAAAATCAATGAAAGTAATCATTTTTGGAACTCTATAATTTCATCATCTACAAATGTGCAGAACTTCACCCACATTACAATATCCATACACCGATCTATTATGCTTATACAAGCACGCCTGAATGCATCAATGATTTCTTCGGTTGATACATTGTTTTGAGGTACACTTTTATCGATTGGCGACCGTTTTCTTTTTTTTGGAGATTGGTAATTTGGGTTTGGAAATTGTTTTTCAATATCCTTTAGTTTCTCAATCACTGAGTCGCTTTTTTTGGAAGAAAAAAAAAACATGATAGAGAATTTCAAGCAAATTTAATGACTAACATGATTGAAAACCTACCGAGACGCTTTTAGCGATTCTATTATAGTGTCCAAACTACCCAATTTTTGAATGGCTTGTTTGTTATCTTTAACATTATATCTGAAAAAAAGGTATTTATTTATAATATTTTCTATTTCACTTTTTCTTTGATGTAAATATTGATATACTCACGTAATTTGGTGATAGTGCGACATGAGTTGCGAAGAAGCGGCATCAAAATTAAAATTTTTTTGTTGTGTTGGTGAAACTGTGTTTTGTTTACTTGTTTTTCTTTTTTTACTTGTTTTTCTTTTTTTACTTAGTGATGCGTCTATGTCGGAATTATCGGTTGTAGAACCAGAACAAGACGCTTTAGAAAGGTTTCCGCTATCGACAGAGTTTTTTCCACTCATTTTTAGAAAATAAATCACAAACTAAACTAATGAGCGACAGAAGTATTGCAAGTGGTGGAGTTTCGTGTTGCGGCTGTTTGACAACTTAAGGTATTGTCGCTGCTCACTTTCTCACTCAACACGAAACCTCACCACTTGCAATACTTTCATTTTTCTTTTTGTTAGTGTTTGAAATAATGATTACTTTTTACAATGTCGTTTTTTTTCATTTTTTTTTTTTTCAAATTTTATCTCAAAATTAAAGTTCTTTTAAAAATACAGAAAAAAACGGATTTTGAATTCACCGGTATCGGTGTAAAAAGCCATTTATTCGATTAGATAAAATCATTAATTGCAACTGCAAACTACAAACTAATTTATGTAGATTTCTCATTTATTGGGTGTCTTTGTTTGATCGGCTGTCACATTGGATGATTGGTCTGCTTCGGTTTCATTCGTATTCATTCTTATGTCTAATGGTTTGTCATAGCCCATAAAACGAACATAATGATGTGTATCGTTAAAACTTAAATGGGCTTCGAGTTCTAATGGTCATTGTTTACACGAACGAAACAGAAGAGAAATATTGATTGTGTCAGTTTCATTCATGATAACTCAAATCATATTGTTACTTGGATTGCCGTTGATTTGACGTCTAATTGTGTATGTGTATGTATGACAGTCAATGCAAAGCATACGACGATTGTCATTTCAAACTCAAACGAGGTAGTCGACCACACAGCCACAAACAAGCAAAAACTGTCAAAAAGATTACAACATTATCAGATTGAAACCGAAGTGGATTGGACGAAGAACGAGGCGTAAAAAGAAGAAAAGAAAAACAAATACAGTATAAAAGTGGAATACACCGATTGCAAGTGTTGTTTTATTGATACAACTTTTGTGCGGTGCAGAAGCTTTGCTGAACAGACCGGCGATCAGTTTTTTTCACTACGATTTCAATTTTTGTTTACCCGTGTGTTTTTGTTTTTCCACAAATTGATTTGTAAAGATTTGCGTGCCTTTTTTTTGCTATTGCAAACAGTTTTGTTTTTAAAATTGCAACAATGTCTCGTGGACCGGCAGAGGATCAATTGAATTTATATAAAAAAACAATTAAGGTTTGTACCCATCAATTTTGTTTTTGTTTTGTTTTTTTGTCATTGTTTCGTCACAAATCAAAATTTCTATTATCAAAATCGCTTTTGATGGCATCACCTACCACCATTTCTTTTGTTTACCAACCAAAAATAAATTGTGCGCAACAAGAATTATCAGCCAGTTTTTTTATCAGCAAAATAACACAAGCATATTCCGAACAATTTTACTTCATAAATTACAATTGATTGCATTAGTTTTTGAATCAATTCTTTCGTACTTCTTTTTGAATCAAATTTTGATATTAATTCAGTTTTAATGTTGCTGTTATGTGTCCACATACTTGAAACGGTGTGATACAAAACTCTTGACTATTCAAACACACTACGACGTAGTATAAAATGCGCATTGAATACTTCTACATATAGGCATACATTTTGAGCTTTGAACACATTGTTGTCCTAAGATGAATGATTAAATCACAACACATCACCCCGGAAAAAAACATCGTTTTATATGTGTCATTCGACACGATGCTGAATGTTTTCTGTTTCATATTTTTCTTCTTATTTGAAAATTTTGTGAAATTTTCAAATTTTGTGTAATACTTCATGTGACACAAATGAATGAGTAATTATTGTTGAGATGTGGCTAAAAATAAAAACGGGTACAGGCAACTGAATTAACTGCGTATGACCATTACTTACGTTGCATTCATTCTAGCTAACCGAAGCAATGCTTGAACGATTCAAAAATCTTTGGTATTGAATGTAATTTACACTTCGATGGTTCTAATTGTTTTTACCGAAAAAACGCTAATAGCGGTTGAAATAAACAAAACTAATTAGATTTACAAAATGTTTCTTTTGATATTATTGACCTTTATTCATAGACTTCTCTATTCTTGCTACCAATCAAACCTGAATGTTAATCAAGTTGGCGCATTAAAAACAAATATGTTTACATATATTCCATCATTATTAATCAAGCGCATTTTTTCGTTGATTTGCATTGTGGCGTAAAAATTTCATAATCAGTTGTTTTTCAAAATGTTCAACATTGTCCGTATATATAAAAAAAACGGCTGGCTGATTTTCTTCATGAGTAAACAACAAACGATGAAAAATTCATGCATGATAAATTATTGCAAAATAATATGAATAAAGTTCTGTACATTTTCCACATGGATTCAGGTGGTTGAAAAATTCTTCAAAACAAAACAAAAATTAGAAGCCATTGACCATTGATCATGTGCAGAAACAGTTTCATAGCGCAAGAAACGTAGGCTTTTTAACACCATCGGTATGCCATTGTTTTTTTTGCGTTGCTTATTATTGCAGTCGTCATCAGAAATGTAGCCATTCTGAATCTCTTATTAATTATACGATTGTACGTACGTAAATTTCACACATAAACGATCAACAAGTTGCATACATCGCTTTGCCCACGAACTTTTGTTCGCGCAGCTTCAGTCTGGCGAATTTGATTTTAATATCTGTGTATTTTTTTGTTGTTGCTCTGGATACCGGTTACCAAACATCAATAAGCAAAAATGAACCACACCAAAACAAATGACGCGAAATAAAAACAAGCTCCCCTGATATGGTGAATGTATGCTGGAAGAAAGCACTCTTTTTTTTGTTCGCGCATTTTGTCGTTCCAGAATTTATATATATATATAAATACGTGCAATGCACAATAAAAAAGCCGGTTTCGGTGGCTTTTTATTTCTGTTTCGATTCCATCAAACATTTGCTTTTTTTCGCGTTTTTATTTGAGTTAAAATGCAGTTTGTTGCGCGCAACAGCCAACTGGGGCCAAACAACAAATTATAATGGAATGGATATAAAAATATACATCAAACAAATAATAAAGTAAATGAATTTGCGCAATTCCGTATACGGACACAATGAATATACCATTGAATGAAATCTAACTAAGAATATGGGCAAAGGTGAAAAAAGCGAATCAAAAATGAATGCAACACAGCTGAATCGATTACCAACGGAAAATTCATTCGAGTTTTTTCGGTGATTTAGAAAAAAAAATTTAATTTCATCTCACGTGCGAATTTAATTGCTGAGAGAAAAATTATTATTCAGTAATTATTTAAATGGCTATTGCTAATTTTGACTCTTTACCAGAATTACATGCGAAACGTAAAAAACAATTAGATAGCGCGTAACTATATCATGGAAGGCTTCCATATCGACATTTTATTCTAATTAATGTGCTAAATAAACTAATATTTATTAGTAAGTTATATGCACGAATGAGAACCATTTCCATTTGTCATGTACATAATTCAATCTATATATATCTGAAACATATTCAATGAGTGAATTGAACGATTCGTGCAAATATCGATCCGAATCACATGAATTTTGAATTGTTGTTGAAAGCCAAGACAACGAAAAAAAAAAAGAGAGAGAGACTATTAGTGCCAATGTTAATCACGTTTTCTGTAAGAAAATTTATGTTCCTCAAAGATTCAATCTAGCGTCCACCTTTTGTCATTCGAAATGACATTATGTGAGAAATAAAATGCGCAATAAAGAACAAAGCTTGGTGAGTTTAAAAACAAAAGCAAAAAAAAAAATGCGCCAGTTAACCTTAATGACATTTTCGTTTGAAGAACAAGCAAACAGTCGTTAATGCGTATGCGAATGTACAAAAATTTCAAGCGAAATACAATAAAATCGTTAAAAATAGTTAAATTGTGCAAAATTTGTGTAAATTGTATTTTAATTTCATATCGTTAACAAATATAATTTATTCGATGTAGACATTAAATCGACACGGCTGACGATTTAACAATTTTTTTTTATTCCGGAACTTTGATTCCCCAAGACGAACCATTTCTTGGAACATTTTTACAACAATAGACTTTTTTTTATGGTTATTTAAATTCGGTGACACTTTTTTTCACACAAATCGGGAGAGGGCGGATGACTTGAAAAGTTTCCCATCGCAAAATGACTCCAAAAATAAATTATACAAATTAACGACTTTAAACGAATTGTCACAATTGCTTGATTGTTTCACATTTTGCATGCAATTTAATGAAGAAAATGTGTAATAAGTTTTAGAATACATTCAATGTATGTTGTATTCACAATTATCAAGATTATTAATAAATTCTCGAGCATCAAGATAAAAAAATGCAATCAAATGCTGTTGATGTCACCACTTGAAATTGGAAAACAAAAACCAAAATATAAATAGTTGTTTTGGAGTAGCCTCTTATCAAGAATTTATTATCGTCTTATGCATTTTCAAGCGAAAAAACAGTAACAATCTCCCGCGAACGTTGTTTATTTCGGGCTTGACGCTGTCTGATAAACAAAAACTCAATTGAAAAATGAAGATAGCTTGAATTCAATGATAAACATGCAACCGCAAATCATCTTAAGCTTATCTAATGCTTGATTCATCATTTCTAAAGCAAGGCCACATTCAAAAACATATTTTGGTTTTTTTTTTCATAATTCTAACAAAGATTGATTCTACACAAAATCAAATCGAACGAACATGTGAAAAGGACCAAAATTTCAATAAACATTTCTAGAAAGTTCTTCACTCGAATTTTTTTATCTTATCGTTATCACATTGTTTACATTTCTATTTATCATATTCATGTTGTCTATCCAATTAACAGTGACTATTACCGGCTATAATTCATTATTCTTGAAACGGTAATGCAAAATATACTGCAAATATCATGAGGATGTTAATTGTTCCGAATTTCTGCTTCACTCTGAACACTTAATTGTGTTCACGTTTCACGAAAAAAAAACAAATGCTAAGACGTGTGTTAAATTTTCATTGAACACCAAACATGGATAAATGAAAGGGAACAAACAAGCGAACCAATAAATAAAGGCGCGATATAATCATTGGCTATAAAACAACAAACATATTATTATATAATTTGCGCTGATACAAAAGTACAAAGCATTTGAGACCATAATTTCTGTTATTATTGACAAACAGGCATTTCGAATGAAGTCAGAAAATCATTATGCCATCCGACGTGTGATGTCAAGTGCTGCTTTAAATTTTCACTTTAACATTTATTCATAATTAATTTTAGTCAACTACCGTTATTACATGGCTAAAATGTATAATTGTATTAACCGCCAAGCAATACAGATTTTCTTTTCATCGTTTTTTTTTCTTTTGATTTGGAATAATAAGTTTTGATTGAACAAGTTCTTTGCATTCAATTTTGTTTTTTTCGTTTCAATCTTTAAAACCAGTTTGATAAACATTCGAAGAAAAGAAATGGCACAAATGAATGCGTATGATGTTGTTTATGTTGGCGTTGAAAAAAGTGAAATGTTCACATTCACATTTTTCAAATACATATTAGTAAAATTGAATTTTAAAAAATAAATTTTCGTTAATAGGATGAATCGACTGTAACAACAGCCACTGGGGCTCCAATTGGTGTTAAAGATGCAACTCAATCGGTTGGACATCGTGGACCATTACTTCTTCAAGATGTTAATTTCTTGGATGAAATGTCACATTTCGATCGTGAACGTATTCCGGAGCGTGTGGTTCATGCAAAAGGTGCTGGTGCCTTTGGTTACTTCGAATTGACCCATCCGGATATTCAAAAATATTCGGCAGCAAAGGTGTTCAATGCGGTGGGCAAGAAAACACCAGTTGCAATTCGTTTTTCAACCGTTGGCGGTGAGAGCGGTTCAGCCGATACGGTTCGTGATCCACGTGGTTTTGCTGTAAAATTCTATACAGATGACGGTATTTGGGATTTGGTTGGCAATAATACACCGATTTTCTTTATTCGTGATCCGATCCTATTTCCCAGTTTTATTCATACACAAAAACGAAATCCAGCCACTCATTTAAAAGATCCGGACATGTTCTGGGACTTTATTTCATTGCGCCCGGAGACAACACATCAAGTGTTGTTTTTGTTCTCGGATCGTGGCATACCCGATGGCTATCGTCATATGAACGGATACGGTTCACATACATTCAAGCTTATCAATGATAAAGGTGAACCAACTTACTGTAAATTCCATTTTAAAACCGATCAAAAGATCAAGAATTTACCAGTTGATCGTGCCAATGATCTATCGGCCAACGATCCGGACTACAGCATTCGTGATTTATACAATGCAATTGCAAAAGGTGATTGCCCAACATGGTCGTTCAAAATTCAAGTTATGAGCTACGACGAAGCCCAAAAGGCATCATTCAATCCATTTGATGTGACCAAAGTTTGGCCACAGGCCGAATATCCATTAATCCCAGTCGGAAAAATGGTTTTGGATCGCAATCCAAACAATTACTTTGCTGAGGTTGAACAGATTGCATTCAGTCCAGCCAATTTGGTGCCAGGCATCGAACCATCACCAGACAAAATGTTGCAAGGTAAACAAGTTTTTAAACATTTTAAATCGAACCAATGTAAAATCCATTTTTTTTATTTCTAACAAATTAGGTCGTTTGTTCTCATATTCGGATACGCATCGTCATCGTTTGGGACCAAATCATTTACAATTGCCCGTCAATTGTCCATATCGTGTTTCGACGAAGAATTATCAACGCGATGGTGCTATGTGTTTCACCGATAATCAAGCCGGCGCACCAAATTATTACCCGAACTCATTTTGCGGACCACAAGAATCCGAACGCGTCAAACAACTTAATCCACCCGAACGTATTACTGGTGATGTTCAACGCATTAGCACTCAACATGAAGATAATTTCTCACAAGCAAGCATTTTCTATAACAAAGTTTTGGATGCTGATGCAAAAACTCGATTGGTTAATAACATTTCCGGACATTTGGCTGGTGCATCACCATTCATTCAGGAGCGTGCTGTTAAAAACTTTACACAAGTCAGTAGCGATTTGGGTAGTCGCATCGCAACAAATCTTAAACTCAAAACCTCAGCCAATTTGTAAGCAATATATTGCACAAATGATCAAAACGTTTAAATGATTCTATCGATTTAAAAAAAAAAGAATATTAAAATAAAAATACGACAAAAAAAAACACGTCTATTCTAATTCTAAACACTTTTCCAAACGGGGTTTTTTGCATTGATTTCTTTTGAGGTATCTTTTTTCGTAATAAACACAAAGCATTTTGTTAATTTTTAAATATATTTGCAATAAATCGTTTGTTGGTATCAAAAAAATGTTTGATTTTCTTTCATTGCTTTAAAGTTTGAGGCGAGCATTTGCTGAAATCGAAAGGATCTCATCATTTTTCAACACACGAAATATATATTTACAACAAATGGTGAGTCTACATGATTTTTCTATCTATTATTAAATTTTTAATGATTTAGGAAAACAAGGTTATATGCATCTCCATTCCTTTCATATAATTGGAAATTGAACAGCGTTCAAATGGATAATTCAGTTCAGCTGTTGAAAATATGTCGATTGGAAAACATACGTCATGAATTCGAAAAGCGATTGATAATAAAAAGAAGAAGATTTTTCATGTGAAAAATCTAACAAAACGTAACAAGTGCACATTACAACATGTTTGGCACTCGATCTGTGATTAGGCGCAGGCGCACCACATTTTTTTTTTTTATTTCTACTCTCCTATTTTACACAAATACAATGTGTCGATGTGTGCCAACGACAATGATTATAAAGTAGCAATAGAACGTAAGTCAAATGTAAATACGTGTTAAACGAAAATTGGTAAAAAGTGAAAATGTGGTTGTGCTTGTGCTTGTGCACATATACAAGTACAGCCACCTATTGAAATAATCGTAACCAAATGTCAATGTGGCACTAAATGCACGCTACTACACAATGAACAAAAAAAATAAAACGAAGACAGCGGGAAAAAATATGTATATGGGCCTTACGACAGAGCAGTGTTAAGTGCAACTAGGAGGTCGTATAATATACCGACGAAAAAATATACGAGAGAGAAAAAAAAAGTCCAATTTCATAAAGCCAAAGAGAAAAGAACGGCATCGAATACCGAAATTCTTTGCCGTCGCAGCCGTATCATTCGTAAGATAATATTACCGATTAAGCCCGTAATCGAAGAGTTGTAATTATTGTACAGTCGTGTGTTGACATTTATATATCGTCGGTTCGACGACGATCATGGATGAAAACCAGTCGGACATAACAAGCAACATCGTATTACCGGACACAGCCGAACATCATCTTGGAACAACCGACGAAAGCAATCATGAAAATGGCGATCAGGTAAACACAACCAAACTGAAAGAAAAAAAAAACTCATTTTGCACTTTTCGGTTCATGTGCTGGTATTTATATTTGCTGTTCGTCGTTCAATGTTTCCTTTTTAACTTTATATTTGTTTGTTTTTTTTTTCTACCTCCAACTATCTAATTCGAACGATTTAAAAAAAATGAATTTAAACGAAATAGATAAACAAATCATCAACAACAATAAAAAAAAATTACAAAATTAACACTTTTATCATCTGATCAGCGAGAAAAAACTAAAAAAAATTTCGAATTTATTTTTCATATACAATATGTATAACTTATTTACATTTACGTGAAGACATTCCATTTGGTGAATGGAAATAAATTTTTCGTTCTGTTGATGACTTTTCCGAAAATCAGGAATACTCATGGTATACACAATGTATGAGCGAACACACATTTCATTCGTCATTTCATCCGACAATTCATATAGGTAGTGTAGCTTTTCGGTGCTTCTGTAAAATTATTTCTGTCTCGAAAAAACCATACACACAACTTGCATACACATTCAACACATACATCGACACACAAGCATTCAGATAACAGAAGAAGAAAAAAAAGATGTTGGCAAAACACACGTAATTGCAAAATGCCGATGGATATATTGTCCATAAACTCATACTGTCGCATTTCGCCTGATTTGCGATGTGAAACAGTGTGTGCAAATGTCAGAAGCAATTGCTGAACAAATTCTAAATTGAATGTTGTTCGTGTGCATTTTTACTTTTTCATTCATCTCCATCTTCATCTTGGTGTCCGTCTCCATTAATGCATGTGTGTATGTTTGTGTGTGTGTACATTTATCTTCGATGTATATCGTCACACCAATACACTCGCACATTTCGCTTGTACATATTTCACTCTTTACGTACTGGCAAGTGGCTACGTTGACTGTATTGATTAGTGTTTACGTTTTTGGTTTTTTTCCTTTGATTGTATTTCAGTCAAAAAAAAAGAGAAGAATTTTAGGTTATACGTAAACGCTTGTTGGTGATCGCGGTAAAAATGTTCTAATATTGTTTTTTTTTCCTTTCGTTTCACCTTGTCTTGTCAAACTTCGTTGAAAATAATTCCCGACGAAACAATCGGTTTAAAGAAAGTGAATTGTGCATTGACAAAGACAGCAAAAGCGCAAAATAGCGACAGGCTGAGTTTTTCGAACGTGTTTTCATATTGCCAAAATATCGTAAATAATACATAGAGACAATGTATAAACACAAATTGATTTGAATTGACAATGGGAACAGAAAAGTACACTACTTTGTGTATCGAAAATGAAATCAATGTGCGAATCAGTAGCATATATTCGGAATAATAATTATTTGAAATAGAAAACAATAATGCATTTTAAAAAACACACCAATATAACTTCATGATTTGTTTGAAAAAAAAAAAAATGCGTAAATGCAATACAATTTGTCTTATTTTTCATTTTATAACAAACCATTAAGGTAATGCACACAATAACACTCTGAACATACACACACAGAATAAAAAGAATAGTGAGAGCGAAAAGAGAAATTAGCATGCATATCAAATTGACATCGAAATCATAAAAAATCTGATGGATTGAATACACATATGTATATGAATCGCAAACTTAACAAAACTAAAACAGAAAAGTAGCGAAGGAAACGAAAATAACATAATACTTAAAGGCCAGCGCCAAGACATAGATCGAGAGTGTGAGAGAGAGGAAACACAATTTTTAATTTAACATATATCAAAAGTACATTTAATACGCGAATCGATGTATAGACACGTTAAAACGTAAACAACTCATGCATTAGAGCGGGAGAATATCATCCAGTGCTTGAAAAACAGAGATAATAGCGAACACACACACACACACTCTCACAAAAACTGCCCCACAACTTTCGAGTTTAAGATTGCCAAAAACAAAAGAAAACCAAAACAAAACCAAATTTATGTCTGTAAAACAGGGTGGTCAAAACCAACGAACAACGACACGATTGGTCGCTGCCACCACCGAAAGTGGAACAGTCGTATCAGTGCCCGTTTCATTACCATTACTAGGAACTACTTTTAATGTCATTACACCGGATCAATTGCCGCATTTCAAACAGATGCTATGGTATAGTGTGACAGTGATTTGATTTTGTTTTACCGAATTTTAAAATTAACATTTTCTTTTCGATTTTCAATTGATATAGCGTCGATAGCAATGGTTTCTTGTCCGGTAATGTGGTCGGAGATGTCGGTGACCTGAAACCGACTCACATTGTCATACAGCAACAACAAACCCAACAGGTAACCGAATCTCTTTTCACAATAACGGGGAATGTGTGCCTCAACCTTTTTTCAATAAAACATTTTTAGACGGCTACAATTATTGATCAGCAGCCACCACCACAACCACAGCCGGAGCAACCACAACAGCAGGTAAACTTGTGAATGTTTATATCATTTATATCGAATGAAAATATGTTTCTTTTTTTTGAATCTTTTTAGCAACAAAAACAACCGCAACAGCAACAATCGTCTCAGACGTCAACGACCAATTGGAATGATACAATGAACCTAGAAGTTTTACCGGTACGATGTAAGACAACCACGGCGGAATTGTACAAAACACGATTGGGATCAGGTGGTCGAGGGCGTTGCATAAAATACAAGGACCAATGGTTTACGCCAAGTGAATTTGAAAATTTGTGCGGCCGCGGTTCAAGTAAAGACTGGAAACGATCAATTCGTTTCGGTGGACGAAGTTTACAGGTAAATTTCTAGTTGAATTGGCATTGATTTCTGTGAGTGCTTTCTTTTATCGTTTTTTTTTCTTTATCGATGAAAACAAATTGTAGGCACTAATTGATGAAAGTATCATAACACCTCATGCAACTAGTTGCACTTGTTCGGCATGTTGTGACGATGATTCGACGGCCTCGGGACCGGTACGCTTATTCACGCCGTATAAACGTCGAAGACGAAATCAAACAAATGCAGAACAATCGCCGAATAGCGAACGATCTAAACAGAAAAAACCCAACGAAGAGGAAGTTGAACACGATCAAGGAATTGTAACCAAAGAAGAAACAACATGGGAATCCATAACTGATGGAATTGACGGCACAAGCGAATACATTGACTCGTCGTCACAAAGTAAGTAGAGCATCGCATCACTCCGTAGTAGCGTTTATTGAATTCAAATGTTGATTGATTATATATTTTTTTTCGTTTATTTATAGTTCTTTCTGAATCAAATATACCTTACGATCGTTTAAAAACCATATGTGCCCAAATGACCAAAGCAACAAACGAATTTCGTCGATGTATAATGGAAGTGAAAGAGGCGCATGCACGTCAAATTGATCGTTTACAACGTGAACGCGATGCAGCTCTGATGGCTGCCCGTGTGCATGCCGACGTTGATGACCCAAATAACGTGCAACAAATGCCTGGTGTAGAAATTCCCACTACGAAAAAGGTATCTATTCGCATACATCGAGCAAAAAGGAATACAAACCAGAATCTAATTCACATAATTCTTCTTAATTCCGATTGTAATAGTGCGCCAATTGTAATCGCGAGGCAATGGCTGAGTGCTCATTGTGTCGTCGAACGCCATATTGTTCAACATTTTGCCAACGAAAGGACTGGAATGCGCATCAGGTTGAATGCACACGTGATCCAAATGAAGCCACACAACAAATTATGCTACTTGTCGATGAACAAGCATAAAGTTTTTTGTAGAATTTCATTTTACATTTATATTTTAATATGAACCTAGTTTATACATGTTCAAGAGAGAAAAAAAGAAAGAGAGAGAGCGAGATCGAAAGCAAAATGAATGATTATGACACATTTATTGCATGGATGCAACCAAAAAAAAAGAGAGAAACAAAACACTTAGAGAGGGTTTCAACTTCTTACGAAAAAAATACAATTGCGTATGTCGGTAATAATTTTTATACACGAAATCACTAGTGAAAACGATCAAATATATGTAGTCATTCAGTCTCTGTATTACTTCTCGTCAACCGGATCCAACGAGAGCCGGAGAAAGATTTTTTTTTAAAAGAAAATAAATAACAACGTCATTCGTAAAATGATGAGAAAGCAACCGGAAACAATCGTGCAAATTTAGCCAATTAATGACATTTATTACATCATAAGCAAAACTTCGTTCAATTTTAGTGTATCCATTGATATGACATCTTTTTTGTTTTTTTTTTTTGTTGATTTGAAAAGAGAGAAAAAGAAAGAAAAAAAAATCATGTAAATTTAGAAAAATCAATAATTCGGCTATAAATATTTCACATTTTTGGACTTTCCAATATCATCGATTTTAGAGGAAAAAAATTATTGTATGAAAGAATTGTATTCACTTCAAAAGGGATAAAAAGTGAAAAAGATATGCTCAAATATGTTCAAAATTGAATAACCCGATTTGCAGTTTTAATAATCCACTGTCACAGCAGTGTAATATAGATAATATAACTACTTCGGAACCAAATTTTATTTTGGTAATATCAATACGTCTTTACTATTTCCCTTTTCTATCTATCATTTTTTTTATTAACATTTTCGCTCCGATATCAAGCGAAAATCCAATCACACACGTCTAAAGAGGAAAAAAACCACAAATCTATCTATATACATATGAATTTCGATATACTATTTTTGTAACAATTATTTACAAACTCTTTTCAATCGATCAACATATTGAACATATGATTCATTGGCTTGTCTTGGCTTTATCTTTGTCGCGTCCACTTCTATCAATGAGATGTATAGTCAATTTTTTTCAAGATGCGCATTGATTCAAACGGAAGAAGAAGTAGAAAAAAACAAAATATGTAAAAAAATTAATATTAAATCTAAATTTTTGTTGTATTTTTATCACTTTCGTTTCGTTTTGGATTGTTTTCTTTTTTTTTGTTTTGTTCTTGCAAACAGGCGTACACCAAAAAGAAATTGCTTATGTTTTTATTTTGTAAATCGTCAATTTATAGTGTTTAGCATTGAAACAGGAATAAATTTGTGATTTAAAATGTAATCACATTTCTTTCATTTTGATTGTCTAAGAAATATAAATAAACATTTTTGAAACTTTTACAAATCATGGGTTTTTCGATGTTCCATATTTAAAACAGAAAAAAAAATTCTTCATCTAAATCGAAAATTACCAAGTGATTCGATTTATTTTTATACTCATCCCGTAACCGATGCTCAATTTTCACCTCCAGTAGAAAAGAAGGAAGAAAAATGTCCGGATATTCGGATTTTTAGTGTTATAATTGATATTAATTTATTCATATGTTTATTCTGTTCTATTTTATTTCGATCTGTTAAAATCTTAAATTTTCTCAGTTTTCATAGTTTTTCTCACGTTTCAATGATTCGATGCGATTTTTTAATGTTGTTTTTTCTTCGATTTTCGATTTTTTTTTGTTAATTTATTCATCAGCTCTTGAGTATTTCTTCGAATATTCTCAAAAAGATATAAAACATTATTTCAATTCGATCCTAGATCGCATCCAATAGATAGCATAAAAAGTAGTAGATCCGTTGTAACTTTTCGACGAAAAATACTAAAGTCGATTGCCTTCTTGAGTGGTCAATTAATAAAAACAAGTTTTCGTTAATTCAGACTATTTACACCAATTAAATTTCCGCACACACATGGTGTGAAGATAAAAGAATTGGTTAGTTAGAATTATTATAAATTGGCCGAATGTAAAGCACATTTGATATGAACTAAATTCACAAATCTTATTCATGAGTATGAATCGTAACACCTTATTAAACAAAAAAAACCAAAATATCTTTATCTGTTGATTATTAAAAAAATGATTGGAGTGAATACATATACAGTATTATGCTGCGGCTGTCATCAGCGATAATCGTTTTTAAACTAAAAAGCGAATATTTATCTATCGTGCTCAACGAAACGGCATACAACTACACGACAAGTTTGGAAACAAATTTTGGACAAGTTATTTGATAAATGTATCTCTCCTTATTAAAAGGGATTTTGTCTTTTAAAAAAATCCAGTACATAGAAAAAATATACATCCAGTGTATAGCGCTTAGTTTGTTCTTGTTTAAGTGGATAATGCGCATGTGAGATAGTTTAAAAACTTCGTTTAACTTACTGGTGATGTTCGCTGCGAATGTCTTGATAGTTCTATATTCCGCGAAAATACCGTCGACGCATTCTCTCTTCTCAACTCATCTAAATGTTAAATTGGCATATCACTACAGCCATTGCACTTGCGAAATCTGCACTATTATTCGCGGATGGATAACATATCAACTATTAAAACGAGCTGCATGTTTAATTTGGAATATGTTTTGTTATTGCATAAATAATCTTCGGTTAAAATGTCTGCATGTAATTCTGTCTTTATGGAATCCGCACGAATAAATTATGTAAAAAAACGATCAACTATTTTTGAGCTTTATGCTGAAATGTTAAACATCGATTCTTCACCATAAACTAACACTAAATTGTAAAAATCATCTCATAAAAATGTATATTTGACTTACTGGTTAGTATATGGTCTGCTTCAAAAAACCTTAGCAAATTTGAATAATTTCCGTATCGAAACCCCTCCTTCGCACATTACTGATCTAAAACGAACATTACCAAGTGATTCAATTTACTTTAATACTCACCCCGTAACCGATGTTCAGTTTTCACCTCCAATTGAAACGAAATAAAAAATGAAAGAAATGTCTTTTTCATATCATCTACATACTTTTATTCGGCTTTTTAGTGTTATAATTAATATTAATTTATTCCTCTGTTCATTCTGTTCTGTTTTATTTTGATTACATAGACTAAAATCTTTACTTTTTTTAAATAGTTTTTTTTTTTCTGCGTTTCAATGATTCAAACGCGATTTGTTGTTTGTTTTTTTCTTTGACCTTCGATATATATTCTTATTGGTTTTGTATCTACGACATGTATAAGTTTTCTGTTTCGTTAAAAAATTAAAATATTTGAAAAGATGAGTCCGATATTTTTTTTTTGCATGTGTGTGTGTGCGCGCGAATGTAAAACAATGCGATGTGTTCTGTAATACAAAAAATTAGCTGTAGCCAATGTGTTCTTTTCTTTGTTCGTGAATGTGATTCATAAGATTCGGTGCTATTTTAATATTAGCTTCGAATTCGTGTTAATAAATGCACATGGACACATATTTTGTTGTTGTTTTTGCCCGTTTTAAATTTGTTATAAATGTTATTCTAAAAAAAAACCTTATGTGTTGTTTGTTTGTTATTAATTACTTTATAATTATAAATTCGTATAGTTCGATGTGATTAATATGCATATTGAAATATTAATTAGGTTCTGTGACTAGAGAATTCGTTTGTTCTTATTCTTTAGATTGAGATGAAATTTTGTTGTGTCCATTTATTCTAATCTGAAATCCACACCATGTGCAACAAATTTTATGTCATTTTTAATTTCATAGCTATGAATTATGCAGTAAGGTAAATGTATGAAGACGTGTTTTTTTAACAAATAATTTTTCGTTTTGGAAATCATCTACAATTTTGAATTTGAAACGAAATCGGTGATTTGGCAGCGATTGTGATGCTAAAGAAAATTCGTGAAATGAAATAATATGCGGTTTACGAATGCTATAACAATATCGTATATTATATAATTTAATATCGTTGGAATCATTGCAGATTAATGTGGTTTGGTCGAAAATGGAAAGATTCTGTGTTTTTTTTCTCTTTTTTTTCTTCTTCTAATTGTTAATAACCATTAATGTATTGTTTGTTTTACTGAAATTTTCATTCTACCTATATGTTTCAGAAATGTACAGTACACGCTGCTTATTTCATTCAGTTTTCTCCGCGATGAGAGTATTGGTTTATTACTTGGTCAACGATGTGGAGGCGAGGAGGAAGAGTGCATTTTTTTGTTCTTTTGTTCAACATACACATAAAAATTATTTATTATTATTATTTATTGATTTTTTTTTTTTTTGTTAAATTATCTAAATTTATAAAACACATTTGTTGTCATTATTTTCATTTATTTGCTAGTGTGTGTCTGTTTAAAATTCAGTCTTATAAAATAATACAATGAATATGAAGGAAATTTATTTTGTCAACGAAGACAATCAAATAGCCCGAACCGTGGTTTTTTTTTTATTCGAATCGAATATATTAAATTGAATGAACATCTGAAGTTCATATCGAAAACACAATAGAATTGCTTTAGTCGCAATTGCAGACAAACATGCATCAAGCTTTCAGTGTTTTCTTTTTAAACTTATCCTATGGAATTTAACTATTTATTATTTAAATACATATTTCCAACAAAAATCAAAATGTGTCCGTTTCGTTTCGGGCGCTCATTTTATACTAAATATAAATATGACAAACTTGACTTAACAATCACTTTAAATATATAATATACATATATATATATATATATTTTGATTTTAAAATTGTTTTGTTTTTATTCTGATTTATCACTTATAAAATTCTATGTTATTAAGTTTCTGTTTTTGTTATGGTTAATGTTAAAGTTCCGTTGATCGTTAAATATTTTCATATCATCGAATCCAATTGTAACGTCATATTTCATGAACAAATCAATCAACGGACATTTAAAATTAACAACAATGCCACCTCATTTCTCTTCTAATTTATACATGCGATTTGAGACTTAAATGGCATAGAATTTGACTTGTATTCTTCATACACACTGAAAGATGATTATTCGCAGTATAAATCACGTATCATGGAATTTATGAATTTTAACTACACACCATACATTCGATGTTTATAGCTAGCTTTTTTTGTTTTTCACTTTTCCGATAATTTCTTTCGTTCTGATTTTCTTTTGATTAGAGACGCTATAACTTTATTCTGGTCGCTCAAACAAAAAAAAAACATCCAGAATTTATTTTGATTTTAATTAGTAGAGCGAAATCGAATTATATTCAATCATTTTTCATATTCAACAGTTTCAATCCTGGGTGACTTACACACGGCGATCATAATCCGGTGTGTACTTGCAGCATGCACATTTTGAACGAAACAGAGACATTGAAAAGTGCATTTTTATCGTTTTGTTGGATAATTTTCAAATTTTTCTAAAATATTTTCTATGTAAATGGCTGCGAAATATTCCATATATTTTGGCCGAAATAATTAACAAACATTTCGATAGAAATGTGATTGGAATTAAAATTTCATGAAAGTAATTATGACCACCACTAGACAGATGTGAAGTTTCATCAAGATACATGCTGCATTTTTGTATTTATATCATGTTTGTTTCTGTTTTCATTCACCTTAAGAATTTGGTTTAATCCTTTATTTTCATTTTATGCTCCATTAAATTTGTTAGTTTTTCATCTCGTTTTTGGTTACATCTCATTTTGTATATCGTTAAAAAATATCTGTTCGCAAAAAATTTGGCACTGGGTTTTGTCCGAAAGTTTTTTACTTCATCTTATCTTCTTTTTTTTGTTTGAAAGTTTAGTTTCTCTCTCTTTTTTATTTCGTTTAATTTCATTTACAAAAAAACTCTTCTTTTTTTATAGAATATATATGAAAAATGTACATTTACAATTTTGAAAAAATACGTTTACCTAAAGTTTGTATCCAAAAAAGAAACGTTTTGTTTTTGGTTTGTTTTTTTTGTTGCTAATAATAAATGTGTACGACTGTACGTGTCTTCTCCATTATATGTCTGGGGGTTGTTGTTGGGATGAGAATTGTGTGAATAATGTGAATGATGAAGGTGACAATTTATCGCGATTTGTGATAGTGATTGGGCTGCGTTGACGATATAGTGTCACATCTTAGTAGCATGTGATTGTTTTTGGTTTTTTTTTTTTGTTCTTTTTTTTTGATTAAACAGCTATTGAATAGTCAGATGGATTGCTTCCCGGTTCAATGTGTTGGCGTAGTTGACTGTTACTGCTCAATGTTTGGCCGTTTTCATTGGCAATCACATTTGGTGGTGGTCGTGACCATAGCGATGATCGCATACCTAGTTTTAATTTTTTTAATGTATCAATGTCACATTCGGCTTCGGATAGCTCGGCGACAGTACATGGCGTTCCCGATTCAATTGGTATTTGATGATGATAATTTCCGATTCCACCAATTGTTGGCAATTGTAGAGGTAGAAGATTTCGCATTGTGCCCCTGTTCGCATATGAATTAGTTGCTCTTACATTGAATATGTTTTGGTTTTGTGTGAGTGTGTGTGAGTGTTTTGTATTTTTTTTTTTTTTTTTTGATTCAGATCTGTATGATACCGCTAATTACTTGATTGATTTTAATGCAATTTATTACGGATTGATTTTTTGCGCGTTTTTTTTTGAGTAAATCTACTGGTTTCCTTGTCGTTAAAACTCGGTACGAAACACAAAAGTTCTCGTTCATCTTATTTAATGAAATGTTTTTTTTTTGTTGCAAGTAATTGCTTTTCAATAAGCGAATAAAATGATTCTCATTTCAAGAATTTCAATAAGGTTTTGTTTTTATTATTCGTATTGTTTTGATTTTGATTCAAACATTCGATTCTTTTGTTTTTCGGAGCATATGTTAATGGCATTGTGTAATATTATTCTGAATGATGATTGTATTGAATGTTAAATGTGTTTTGTGTGTGGTATTGTTTTATTTTGTGTTGTTTTGATTGATTGATTGAACATTTGATTGAGTATGAATGGCGTGCGATGCGGTGTGAAAGTAAGCAAAATCAAGAGCAAACAAAAATCGTACGAAAGCTCAAGAAAGTGGTGAATTTATTGAAACAGCTGAGAAACAGAAAGCGATAGAGAGAGAGAGTTTGTGTGTGTGTGTGTGTGTGTGTGTGGGAGAGATGGATTTAGTTCTATTGGTGAGTAGTTGTGTAAATAGTGCGATGTTGAATTGGTTTAAATTGACTCGACATGCGGGAATAATTGCTTTTTTTCAGGTAAGAAGCGTTTCTTGGAGGGGATGATGAAAGTAATAGCGTGGCTTGCTGTGCTGAATCGTTCGGATTATGATGGAGAGGAGATGACAATATTTCAGAGGAGAGATTTCTGTGTCTTGGTGTTGTGTTTGTTGTATATGTGGTATTGTTGTGTTGGTGGTACCTGGATCTGCCTCGACGTGGCAAAGATTTCTGCTCCGACATGGGCGATAGATCAGATGATGTACTTGATTGATTGCCATGATAAATAATATCTTCGAAGAAAAAAAAGAGAGAAAAGAATGAACAATAACATCAATCAAACAACAAGTAGAGTACAACGATTAGCCCTTCGACACAAACGATTCTACACAAATTTCGTTCGATCAACTGTTAAGTGCTAATTTATGTTACGTGTACTTTCATTAAGCATTTGATAGGGTAAGGCTGCCCGGACATCCGAGCTCATCTGGGTTTGTCCGGATTTGAGACAAAAACCGGATGAAAAATTATTCGGCTCAGACACCCCGATAACACGAAAAAAAAACCAGATGCTCACGGCTAATCCGGCCCAGATAAAAAATAATCTGGCAGCCCTATAATATTGGGCATGCCATGTTAAAAATCTTACTATGTTTCATTTTGCCATCTAGTTGATTTGATGATTCAGTTCGACTTGATGTCAATGGATCTTGATCCGAATCGGACTCACTCTCCGGTTCAGTTTTACGAGAATGTCGTCGCCGATTTTTTGAATTCTGCTGAAAATCAAATCATAAAATGTGAAATTGTCGTAACAAAACTTTAAAAAAAGTGTGTCACACCAGAAAACGTGTATTTTTTTGAATTTAAAATGAATCTTTGTTTTTTGTTTGCATTCCAAAAATGAAAATCAAATGAAATTGTCTAATGTGTTCCAATTGAATGAAATAAAAACGCACAATATTATAATAGTGTGTTGATACCGCTGGTGGTGGCGATGCACAACCTTCCTGCAATGCCCGTTCATGGTACATAAACGAGTGCAGCAGTGTATTGGCTGGCCCTGGATGCGGTTGAGCAAGTGTACTGGCCTCAGACAGTTGAAATGTTGCGTATGGTGATATATCTTCAGACGTTTCCGGTATTTTATCTGCTTGGTGCGCAACTTTGTGTATTGTTGCATAATAACGTTCACGTTGAGCTGCTTCGCTGTTTTCACGATTTTCTTTCGTTTCTTTTCGAATGCGATTATCACGACCTACACACACACACACACACATATCATGGCATAAGTGTTCAATAAAATGATATATTTTATTTTTATGAATTATTCCGGTCACAAAAGCCACACTTACGATTTTTATAGCAAAGATATAACGATGTGAGTAAAAATGTGATACCGGTGACCGATGTAATAATCAGTACAATTAAAAAGTTTGTGTTGCTGTAGAAGCTCATAGCCGGTTGACGTCGATGAACAAGTTCGGGTGGTGGTGCATCTAAAATAACATAAATACATGGATGTGCATACAAGGATGTGCATTGTGAAATGTCAATTTCTACGAATTCTTATAAATTATATATTTTACCGCCTTCTTTAGTAAGTGTTATAAAATTGTATTCAGCACTTGATGAACCGGCAACATTGTGTGCCTCCATTCGTAGCTGGTACAACGTTGACGGTAACAAACCGGACAATGTGAACCGACGTTGTGGCTTCAATGCATTTGACACCAGAATCCATTCATTTTCAAAGCGATCCGACACCATTCGATACTGAAGAACATAGTAAATGATGGGGCATCCATTGTCTGGCCAATTATGAAGACGTAGAACAGCTGTTGTTGAATTTGGTGATATTAGCGATGATGGTGTCGGTATACCAGGTGCCTGTCCTTGTGTTCGTACATGTAATGTTGTACTTGACGGCGATGTTCCGATTTTATTATTACAAGTTAAATACACTTGATATGTGCTGCCACACATTAAATTCTTCAGCTCATGGCTTGAAGCATGGCGTGACAATGACATTTCTTCGAGATTTCCATGGCTTCGACGATAATACAATGTAAATCCAAGCAATGGTGCATTTCCATTTGATGTAATTTTCCAATGCATTAAAATGCTACTTGATGTGGCCGATGTAACATATAAAACCGGCGAACTAGGCGGAACTTGAATGATCAATTGATACGTTATAACGTCATTGCCATTCGTGTTGTCTGCATGACAACTATAATTTCCATTGTCAATGATTTGTAAATTGGTAAGCATTAAATCGCCACTGTCCAGAGTTTGAACATTATGTGAATGTCCTTGTCGCAGTAAAACATCACCTTTATACCATTCACGTCGTGGATTTCCAACCGCCATACAAGACAATGTCACCGTTGAACGCCATGTTCGAATGACCGGACCACCGAATGAAATAATTTTGGCCAGCACACGATTATTTGTTATGGCCGATGCAACGCGGGAGCTTTTCCCTTCGCCAACACGTGTCGATGCTGTCACCCAAAATTGATACTCAATATGTGCTTGAAGTCCTTTTGCCTCATAATTTAAAATTGATGGTCCTAATGTTCGTTTCTCATGATTTAACTCTTCTCTCCCGTTCACGACACGAGTATAAAGATTATACTTGATTATGTTGCCATTTGGTTCGGATGGCGGTAGCCATAAAACAAACAAAGATTGCGGTGAACTAACAACAACTTTGATATCTAGTGGTGCTTCCGGAGCTAATAAATATAAAATAGTTTTTTTTTGTGTTTAATTCAATGAGTAATGTAATCTTTTCTTAATGCTACATTTTTGGATGTGTTTGTGTGTGAATAAATAAAGTTAGTTTTACCATCTTCCTCCGTTTGGCAGTAAAGTGGCTTCGATACAACGCCGTCACCGATTCGGGTAAATGCAAGCACCTGAATGCTATAGTTAGTAAACTTTTTCAATCCGCTTAAAACTAGAGTCAAGTCAGTGGTTTTTCTTGAATCGATGTCATCATTCATGCCACTTAAAAGATCTGACATAAATTCAAAATTGACTTTATAGCCCTGCAGTAAACCGTTTGTGTGATGACTTGGCGGTGGTTGCCACGATATTTGCAATGACTGAGATGTAAGCGGTGCACAACGAACATTTTCTGGTGGCATACTTGGCACTGAGTGTGTATATATGCAAATGAAATCACATGATTTTATTAGTTTATTCATTTTAGAGAATGTATTTGGCACACACATAAACAAGAAACCTACCATCTTCAAGTGTCTGTGCTGTGGCTGCTTCGGATAGTGGGCCCGAACCAATCTGATTGAAAGCTTGAATTACAATATTGTATCGCGTATATTTAAGTAGGCCGCTCAAAAGGTATTCACCAGTTCCGTCTTCACCATCGCCCGACACCGATGTGAAATTATAATTATTATTTCCGGGCGTTGTTGATGTCTTGTATCCAATATTAAAACCTTGTATTTCACCATGACGTAATTCGGCCAATGGTGGCATCCAAGTGACAAGAATTTCGGTCGATGACAATGGTCGAGCTGATAGATTCAGTGGAGCTCCAGCCGGTCGTTGTGGTTCGGTTTTAACATGCAATTCTTGACTCGGTGAACTTTGTCCAGCCTGACCTTCAGCGATAACACGGAAAATATATCGTGTGGCTGGTTTTAAATTTTCAATAAGAGCCGTATATAATGGTGGATCGGTGATAACAATCTCTTGCCATGGACGATCATGTTCCATATATTCCACAATATATTTTGTCACCTCCGATGCATCGGCACCACGTGGCTGCCATTTAAGATTCACCGACCGGCTTGTTATCAATGCGGCTGTTAATGAGGTTGGAGCTTGAGGTGGCTCCAACACTTGCAATTGCACCAATTGCTGATCACGACCATACAAATTAGAAGCTTGACAAAAATACGGACCACTATCACTACTGTCAACGTTTACAATTTGCGCTTCGGCCGCAATACCTTCTTGTGTTACATCTTGTTTTACCGTTACTCTAAAATTTATATGAGATTTTTGCAATCTTATTTAATTGAAAAAAAAAAGCGAATGAAATTTGCTTTTGAAACAGAAAAATCTACCTATAATTTGTTGATGGATTTAGTTCATGCTTTCCAGCGCGTAGCCAAAGCACATTAATCGGCTTATCGCCATTAACTTCGCATTGTAAAATTGCTGTGTCGCCTTTTTTAACGGTGACTATTCGCGATGGTGCCGAGAAATACGGTGATGCTAGAAATGTGTATATATAATGTGAATTACCGTTGTTATATACCGTGCTTGTTTCTAATTTCAATTTCGATGGGTAAAAAAACGTAAATGAATGTCGTTTGCAAGCGACAATCTATACGTACAGTTGACCTTCAATTGAATTACTTTGCTGATGCCAGAACCAATGCCATTATGCGCTTGACAAAGATAGAATCCTTCCCGGTCTTCTTTAACATTTTGCAATAGCAGCGAACCATTTGATAATAACTTTGTAAACTGTTTTTCGCGAATTTCTTCGTAATCCCCAGATTTACTTCCTTCGTTTCGGCGATTTCAATGTAATTTGATGTAGCGGATATACATATATTTTTTTTTTATCAACGTATATAGTGTAGGCAAAAAAAAGGGGGAAAGAAAATCTTTGTTATATCTCCAATGGCTTCTTCATTTTTGTTAGTTGTTCTAAAGCGAGAGTTTATGTAATTTAATGCATATTTAATCTTACGAATTCTGGATTTTTTGAGTTCGTTTTATCTTATGTATGTTTTATGTGAATGATGCACATACCACGATACTCGAATGGTCATTATAACAACAAACGAATCGAAAGTATATATTGCATTTGGGTGTCTTACATTTTTGTTTTTCAACGTCGTTTATATTAAAAAAATACCTTTCACGAAATCCAAAACCATGCTACTTGCGAAATGTGAAATACAATAAAGAATTATGTGGTAGATGAGCGCTTTCTCACCTGTAGTTTTCTTCCACACAATGACGGGCTGTGGAACGCCTTGAGCTTGACAATGTAAGGCGATTTGACGGTTTCGTTCGACGCTCACGTCGCTCGGCTCAACAATCCAACGTGGCGGTACTGTACATGGTTTTTGTTTTTTGTTTCGTACATTTACGATCCGCGGACGGGTTGTGTTCGGTCACGAGGGATGTTGTTTTCGTACATTGTTTGTAATTTATTGCAATTGTTTTTTTTTTTGTGGTATATAAATTTTTATTGTGGTATTGCGTTCGTCACAAAAATTATTGGCGAAAATATAATTAAAAAGAAGATAAAATATTAATGAGATTCGTCCACACATTTATATTTAGATATAAATATTCAAATGGGAATTAACTAAAAAAATCGTATTATGAATTTTGTTTCGGGTTTTCTCCTCTTTTAATTCTTTCATCATTTATTGGAATTTAAATAAAAATTTGTAAAAAAACAACAACACAAAAGCATTAAGTGTATGAGAGAGAGAGAGAGTAGGTTGTTTGGTCAAGCGTTCTTTCAAATCAACATATCATATAAGTATGCGTTTTTAACAAACAATAATGCAATTGAAATATGCACACGCACATTTTACATTTCGATTAAAATCTTAGATCAAATATAAGCAAAATTCGTTAGCAAATATTATACACATTATGTGTAAACAATGGTTTGCAAACTCGAATAACATGGAACAAAACGCAATGTGCATTTGTGCGGCATTTCAATGTGGGGGGAGATACCAAACCAAACAAAACAAAATAAGTTCGAAAGAAAGCGGTTTTATCAATCAATATTGCGTATGCATTTGCGGTCAGTATTTTTTATTTTATTTTTTTTAAACTAGTGGATCGGAACTAACGGAATAACAAACCAAACTGAAAAATATAGAATACATCGGGAGATTTGTTTGTTTATCACAGCTGGGTACACAATTGCGATTCATTTCAGTAGCAGCAGATTAAAAAGCATGTTTGGGTCTATATGTCGATGTGTGAAATTAGATATATACTTTTTTATTTTTTATTTGATTTTTTTTTTTTTTTTTTTTGCATTTCAACGCAACAGAAAATCATGTTCATCTTACAAGACAATATAAAAAGGCAACAATAATCACTGATATTTTCAAGCTCAATTCAAAATCATATTGTAGTTTGTATTGCATATAAAAATGGTTTCCATAATTCTTTACTTGGTTATTTTTTTTAGTTTCACATTTAAAAAAAAGCACACCACGAAGTATAAAAACTACGAAAAGCCAATTCACTGCAGATGTATGTGAGAATATTCATTCAGACAATGGAAAATCAAGAGCATAAATCATAAACAGTTTTTATTTTTTTGTGTGTGTGTAAGTAAAACAATGATAAATAAAAGAGGTTGTTTAATAGAAATTGATTTGAATATGCGGCAAAAAACATTTAGAAAAATATAAATGATTAAACAGAGGGGGGGTTTGATTGTGGTTCCATAGGCAAGGGTCTAAGTTATACTGGCAGGGTAATAGCGAAAGCTGTTATTCATACAAAATAATTTGCATTAAAATTGCGTTCACATTCGTTAATATTGAACGAACAAAAGCCAAACAAAAATTAAATATTTTGTGTGAGGTTTGTCAGGTCTTCAATCACATAATCACAATTCCCAACAATTATCAATTCAATCATATATATATATTTATTATATTTTTTTGGTTTTTGTGTTCGATCTCTTCAAATAGTGGAGCACCTTCATTAGCATCAAGTGCCCGCCCGGTCGAACAAACAAACAAAACCAATTTCCGCTATTCTCAAATAATTTCAGCGAAAATATTTTCATTTTTCTTCTCATTAATAAAATCAACATTTTTTCCATCATACCGTATCATATCGTTTCGTATCGACAACATCACAACGAAAATTATTCAATAACCTGAGCAAATAATAAAACAAAAAACATATAAAACTATAAATCAAACTCAAATCAAATCAAATGAAATCAAATGGAACTTAATCGAATGTATTTTACTATCACAAAGTTTTAAAGCATAACGACATTATTTTTTTCCTCTTCTTCTTCTTTGTTGTCAATCAATATTCAAAAATCAATATATAAACGAAGGAAAAAGTAGCAAAAAACAAAACATTGAAAAAAAAGCATGGTCAGTTAGTGTTTCGATCATATATGTGTATGTGTGTATGTGTATTTGTGTTGAAGTTGAATCTAAATCATTCCATCGATTCGATTTTACGAAATAAATTTGATATGCGGCCAAAAAAATCTTTATTGCGGTCCGGAAAATAGCTTCGCTCATACGGCATGACGGGGACGGCGGACGAAAGAGGTGAACAACGACGAAACAATTTTATGTTCTTTCAATTTGATATTTATAGTGGACGTTCGATTCGTACAATCATGGTAAACTATAGTTGACGCAGAAAATCGCAAACGATTTGGGAGAGCAGAGAAAAAAAAAGCGAATGCACATGAAAGGCATATATACAACACTTATCGGAAGTTCGGAGAGCAGAAGTTATTTACAGCAGTAAACGAAATTCAATCCAATTTTGAGCAATGAAGATGGAAAGCAAGTTCTTGATGACTTTTACATGGAAAAATATTTTGTTAAATTGATGCTCGTTTTTCGGAATTTTTTCGTTTCGAAATTAACGACATTTTTTATGACAAATTCGAGACCGAACGCAGCCATATTCGAAATATATTGGAATTTGCCAGAGCTAAACTGATTGAAGTATTTTTAGTCAAACTGAGTTGGGATAAATGGTCAAATCCCGGTTGATGGATGAAATGTTCCGACTTTTTTTTTTTAACATTTGCTTCCGAATTGATGAGAACCGGTGATAGTAGGGCAAATAATATGTGGTACAGATAGAATGCTTGTACTGCATTTTCAAGTTTCTTAATTTTCATGTACGAATCGTGTAATGTGATCTGTTGCCATATTAAAGTTTACAAAATTGATGGCATCCTCGCCAAAGTTGAAGTTTTTCTCATGTATCTTGTGTGTATGTGTGTGTATGTGGAAACAACTGAAAACAGAAAAGACACCCAAATGAAACTAATTAAAGAAAAAGAATTTCAACTGAAAATACGAAAACAAGCAAAAGAAAAAATCAAAAACAAAATACACATGAGGCGGATCAGATGGTGATTCATGGTCATTGTTACAAATATAGTGTCTGTATTGCGAAAATGATGGGAACAGGGAGGAATTTTTTTTTGTTGTTGTTTTGATGGTGTATGTGTGTGTGGTATTTTTGTGGGAAAATACTAATCCGGTATATCTCGGCAGCCCAATGATTTTGCTTTTCCATGGAAAAACAAACACAAAAGTTACTTTCAAGTTTGAAAGGAAAGAAAAGAAATGAAATGAACAAACAAATGAAAATCTAAGTATGATATTTTAACTAAAGGGTCCAACGAAATGGCAGGTTGGATATGATCTTTGGTACTTGAAGTGATTTTGATACATATGATATAATCTTGATAGTAAATTCCAATTATTTACATCAATTATAAAATAAAGTGACTACCATTTAAAAAAAAGTGGACAGAAATTGAAAGATGATAGATGTTTTCGATGAGAGTGATCGAAAGAGAGAAAAAAAATTAATAATGTGGACGAAAACGATAACATGAAATTGAATAAAAGGAGTTTTTTTTAATCAGTATTCTGTATAAGGGAACGGAATGCAAAAAAATTCTTCATAAAATAGCGATGCATGCTTTTATTAATTAAAGAAAAATAACAAACAAAAATTGCAAAATATACAATCCAATCGAATATTGAATAAACGTAAGAGTTTTTTTTTATTACATCAACCAAATATGATCAAAACACAAATTAACAATAGAAAATGTACAATTGCTTCATTTGGTATTCTTTAATTAAGATTTTAGCAATTAGTTTTTATTTTTTATTTTTTGGTGGTAAATAGTTTTGATTTTAGTAATCGTTTTACTGTAAATTGTTGGTGCAAAATGTTTACCTGATGTGGTGATCTGCTGCAAACCCACTGCGTGCCAAAGCAACTGGGATGACACAATGTGATAGCTCAAATGCTCATACATAAATAGATATACATGCATATGGAATGGGAATTTCGATGAAAAAAAGAGAAACGCAATGTGAAAAACGAACGCACATCATTATGCGAGTCGACAATATTTTATCAATTGATATGATTCAAAGCCAGCAGCTTTGAAAATGTGCTTTTTATTGCTCAAATATGTACAGCATCGATGATTTAATTAACATATTTGCATTCGACATCCCTCATATTCATATATATCTATTGTATTGCATACATATAAAGACTACAAATATAAACGAAAACTTACACAAATGCTCAAAATATTTCATATTCAGCAACCTTTATACATGGAACAGCACCCAATTATATATACATGTATATCTCATCGCAAATTTTATTTTTTCTCTGATAATTTTAAAATGATGCCAATTTATGGAAAATTAATTTGAATTAAAAAACAAATCTGGTAAACGTTGATAAATACGAAATATTTCGTGGCATATTTTATATTATATATACAGATATATGTGGTGGTGGTGTTTTTTTGGGGGGGAGAGTTAGGAAGAGACAAAACATGAGAATGTTAATTAATATGCGCAACGAATAAAAGCAACGGTACACTACACCGAAAATTGTTGTTTATGCAGCGTTCACAAACAGGCACACCAGCAACTTGCAAAATCATTCTCTCTCAAGCACTCGAACCAATTCATTTTTTTTTTTATCTTTTGTGGATAAATTCATCTAGGTTATTGAATACTGTACCTTTGACCTGCAATGAGGCCGTAAATTTAAATTCAGCCGCCTCATTTGTCGCTAAACATGTGTATTCACCAGAATGATTAGCCGATAAGGAGGGAATGCTAAGGAGGGAACTATATTGATCAATAGATGACACATTTGCACCTAATATAGAAGGCAATGGATCACCGTCTTTGAGCCAACGCAATGTTAACGGTGCATCGCCTCTAGATACGCCGCAAATAGTACGCGTTCGCATACCCTCAGCCAGACCGTCTTGAAAGGAGAAAGGTTCAATAATAGGAGGTACTGGAAAAAAAATACACACGAAATAGAAGAAGAAGAAGAAGTATAGAAGTTCAATAGAAAATGAGAAGAAAGAGAGAGAAAGACAGTGACAATGACATAAAAGTGAAATTGATAATCATTTCCACTTTGTCGCTTTTCATTCAAAATTCCAAATTCGTTTGTGTTTTCTTTTTTTGCTTGCTGTTGAACCAAAAAAAAAAGTACGTTTACATTTCGATTTATGCTATAGTATATGTTGCCACACGTTGCTCATTTCATCAATACCCTAAGACATCATGACCTTTTTTTCGTGACATTATTCGAAGTAAACATGCTTGAAAACCGCTTCAAAAATTATCAAAAATTTGCTGGTTCGATTCCGATGTGTCCACCACCGCTTCACACCAATGGATAAAGATAAAAAATAAATAAATAAATGTATATGTGTACACTTGTATCGTGAGTATGTGTCTGTGTGTCATCAAACAAATGACATCAAACGACTTTCATTTTCGAGTAATTATTCGTTTGATTTGTGAACGAATGCGTAGGAGAGAAAAGAGAATGAGAGGAGTGTTGACCAAAAACGATCGAATTTCAACCAATAAAACAAACAAGAATAAATCGAATAATTATGTTTTTTTTTTGTGTTTTGTGTTTGAACTGTATATTCTTTACCATTGACCAAGAGTGATTGAGCAATTTCCACTTCGGCAGCAGAGTTGCGGCAACTACACGTGTAATTTCCTGTATGATCAGGTCCTAAGTTTTCAATCACTAAAATGCTATTGTAATGATCAACTTGCTTGATGGAAATGTGTTGCGATGCGTCGATGATTCGATTATCCTTGCGCCAGGTGATTGTCAATGGTAAATCACCTTTGATAACAGAACAGGTCAATGATGCACGATCGCCGACATTTAATAATTGTAATACCGTCGACGGGAATGGATTCAATTTTGGTGGTACTGTGGAAAATATCACATTATTTTTTTCGTTTTTTTTTTTTTTTTAAATCATAACGTTTTCATATTGCAAAACCACCACGTGCCAACCGGGAACCCTTAATAAATTCGTCTAAACAAGCAAAATCAATTTCAATAAACAAACGTCTCAAAATACATATTCAATTCATCAACGATTCGAACGTATATGTGCATTAACGTACCACCTATGAGTGGCACGAACGAACTGAACGCCACTTTACGGTATTTACATTATATAACTACGGATGCATATATGTTATGCATGGAAATTATTATGGTTAAACGATATCCTGTGTATTTTATTATAATTATATTGAATCTTCTAAAATGCTAGAAATAAATTTGTGTTTTTTTTTCTTTTAATTTGATCAAGTTTATTATGAAAGAAGAAAGAAACTTTATTTGACTTAATGTCAGTTGATGACGCTGTTTTCAGCTAGCTTATCAACAAAATTCATACTTCTACTTAAGTCACTTATCTGTCATTAGGTCATTTTAGCTGTGATTTGATTTCTTTGTTCTTAGCACACGAAAAAAAAAATTGTTTGAGAGAAAATAAATGTTGTTTTAAAGCACTGAAGTGCTTGCAAAAAGTAAATGAAGTAAATCGAAACGAAACGAAACAAATACAATAAACACACCTCATAAACTTTTTTAAAACACAAAACAAACAACAAAGAAACAAACGAAGAAACGAAGAAAAAAAAGATTCAATAAAAATTACAAAACACTAAAGCCAGAGAAGAGCTGATCACTTACCTATTACCGCAACTTCACCGCTGCGTCTGGCACTATGACCTTGTTTGTTTCTCGCCCTATTAAAATGGATTTCAGTCGTATTTTAGGACACTAGTAGTACATGCTCCGGTCGAACTTCGAATTGAGATGAATTTTTTGCTATAAATGTTAATCTTCTATAATACAAACCAGCACGTATATACTCCCGAATCATCTTGTTTTTGTACAGGACTTATCACCAAGGAGCCATCTGATTGAACTTTCTGCCTTATATCATCGGGAAGCTCGCGTCCTCCTTAAATGATAAATGACACAACAGATTAAGGTGACGAAAAACAAAGTCGAAAACAAAAAGCGAAGTTTTCATGTTTTCTTTTCATATCGAATCAGTCTGACCGCCATCGAACCCACTAATAACATATACACACACACATACACAATAAATGTAATATTTTTGTCATGAAATATGAACAAAATTGAACGAGAAAAGCGGCAAAACCAGTCATCCACATCAAATTTGCTGCTCTCACGTTCTTGTCGGTTCATTTTTTTGCCATTTTCTTCTTTTTTATTCTTATTCGTCGTGTATGCAAGTAAATGAAGTGAATGCATTTTCTATACAAAAGGATTTCTTTGCGCTCATATTTTAGCGCTCAACATTTCATCCTTACGAAGTGTTTCCGAATGAGAATTGAATTACCAACTTACAAAAGTACGAATCTGAAGCGTTAAAATAATAGAAAATAGTAAAACAAAAGTTAGACGCTCCTGGCTGAAGCAACAACATGAATAACAATAAATAAAAGATAAAAAAAGACATCGTAGCTCAACACACATACACACACACTCACACACATACAAAATAAAGCATTATTTTGGTCGAAGAATCAAACTTTCTAACTTCTTTTCGTTTTCGATTCGCAAGGCGTACGCAACATAAAGCTTTGTAGCATGTCACGTTCACTTTACTCGTTTTTTTTTCTTCACTCTCTCCCGTTCTCTTCTTTGCACACACTATGTTATTTATGTATGCGTTTTTCTCCTCTCTTGGTGCAAAAAAATGCTGTTGATGTGTTGTCATTGCTTGATGCTAACGCTTTCTTCATGTCTGTCGCTCTCTTCTCTTTTCGTCTCTCTCGCTTTTTTTTGTCGTTTCTCATCCCGTTGTCGTTTTACTCTTTAATATTATTCTAAAGTTCGATGTGCACTAACTCTCTGTCGAAATACTTCTTAGGACAGTTACCATAACAGCAAGCAAGCAGCCGAACAAAGTTGAATCGAATACAAAAGCTTATAAAACTACGATGAAAGACATGGAAGTAAAATGATTTCAACGTAGCCAAACGAGAGGAAAAATCTCGATTCATATGAATAGCAAGTGTGCACGGAAAAGAATTCAATGGTAATGGGAAAAAATATACCCGTGTTTGAGGGGGGCAAGAGAGATGGCAACTCCCATCTTGATTCTTTTACTCTTTCACTCTCTGTTGCTATACTTCACAATTGTCAATTGAAATTTAAAGAAGAATCTCTTTTTGTTCATCTTGATGGATTTTGTTGCTCTTCACGTTCGTTTCATCTTTGTGTCGTTATTTGTTGCACTGCTTTCGATTACTAGCATTCAATATTTTTATTCCATATGACTTTTCAAATGAAACGAGCGAGAAAAAAAAAGAGAGAAGAAGATTGCAATGCAAGTCACACCCTCAATTCAGTTGTGAGCTGCTCACGTTTTCGATTTTAGTAAACTGCGTTTAAACAAATTTTATGCGATGATTGAATGATAACGGCAACGACGATAACATTTTTCAAACGAAAGTTGTTTTAATGTTTATTGAAAACAAAGTTTGCGTCCCATTATTGGTCCACATTAAATAATATTAAATTTAATGACTCGAATATTATTTCCTTTACTCAATTAAATTATTCATTCGACTAATGATATTTTGTGGCATTTGTCATTGCACACACACACACACACACACAGTTGAATTAAATGCCACTTAAATACATATGTTGAAAAAAACATTAATACTATGATTACACATACCTCGTTCCCAATGAATCTCTTCAATAGGATACCTATGCAGAATGGAAAATTATGTCAAGTATAAGAAACTAAACGCTAATAAATGAGCAAATAAATACCCAGCCACTGGACACTTAAGATGTAAAACTTCGCCCGAAACAGCTGTTACCTTTGGTATAAGTCGTATGTACGGTAAACCTGCGATAAAACAAACCACAATAAGTACAATAGTTTTATGGAATATTATTAAGTTAATTAATTGAGATCGTATATCAACACTGTTTTGTTTAAAAAATCGATGTATATTTTACAGAGGCACAGATCTACACCGAAACAAATATTCGAGTACGCTTACTCGCACTTGCGGTGTTAGCAGAGAGTCTACCCTTCAAAATGAGTTACGCACTCTATTTTTGGTGTTAATTTCATCCAAGTGAACGCATCGTAGTGAAAGAAGAGATACATGTGTAGTCATATGTACGTTGAACGCATGCGGCTATGACTACACATGTATTTCTTCTTTCCAAATTAACACCAAAAATAGAGTAAAATAGAGTGCGTAACTCATTTTGAAGGGTAGACTCTCTGCTACCACCGCAGGTGCGAGTAACCATACTCGAATATTTGTTTCTGTGTACGAAAGCGTATAGGTACGGTTAAAATTTAGGGGGTGGGGTCCATCTGCCAGTTAAAAAACCCTGACAATTCGAAAGGGTTTTCTGATTACACTAGGATCAACATTGATTACGGAGGGAGGGAGAATTTGGCTCAAATATCTCCAGCAAATGGAAAGAATTTTTCTCGTCGAAAGTCGAAAGAATTTGAAGACAAAAAAAAGCTCTACAAAAAGAGAATTCTAAGTTTTAAGAAATCCAAAAGATTAATTTTTAATCCTTTCGGTCTTACAGTGTAGCAAATCCAAAAACATAGCTGAGCTGCCAAGGGGTGTTACTCGAACGATTTAAGGGGGTGCAAATATAAACAAACATTTTTTGATTGCTTTTCTTGAAACGAGACGACTCCAAAACGGCACAAATAAAATTGTTTCAAGCAAGGATTTTATTCGAAATGTAAAATGCAGCAGCTTTTATTATCACTTTTGTTTGTTTGTAAATGGAATTACATTTTTTTGGTGTGGACAATTAACATTCCACACAATAATAAATGTTCTGCCATAAATTTTGATTATACTTCGTTATTCTCTTCTTATGTTAATTAAAATACACAAAAAAATGCCAACTATTCACGTCATTATCTTCAAATTTTGGACTCATTAGTTTTTCGCTAATTAAACACATCGTTATACGGAATGTGAAAACTGCAATGGGAAAATAAAAATCTCAAATTTTCACATTAATTCTATTCTCTGTCTCTTAGAGACCCTTCTACCTCTCTCTGTCTCTCTCATTCGCTTCAAAATGTTGATTTCATACATTCAATGGATTCAACTTATAACTGTCGGCTATTTCACTGCAGAGCCGTGCATGTTTTATGTACGAGCCAGTAGCCACCATGCATCAAATTCATATCGAGAATTGAGTTGTTGCTATTTTTTGTGTGTCGTTGTCGTTGCCATTCGCATTGCATTCCATTGAAATAATGAGCATTTGTATGTCCGCAGAACTGCATTTCGTATCGTGGATTGTATATTGTATATATACCAGAATGACACATAACATGATGTGTTGTGCGTTCAAAAGAAATTAAAAACTCATTTCTCTGGATGTTTTCTCCCCGCTGCATTTTTTTTCTCTTTCTCTCTCTCTCTCCACATTTTTATATTATTTTCAATTTTTTTTTGTTCTCAAGATTTATCCTTTTCTGTGCTTTAAGCGATAAATGTACGCATTCTTTACGTTTTAAATTTAATAGAAAAAAGAACGACGCGAATAAAAAGTTTTAGTTTTTCAGTCACACTTATGCCCGTCCATTTCTTGGGACGTTGAAGAAATCTTGTTGATGTTTTTTTTTCTCGTTCATTTTCATATTCTTCTTTGCCCTTTTTAATTTGCCGTGTTGTACTTGGCTTGTATACTCTTGATGTAAATAACTTGGCGGATGAGCGAAAAGGAAAGAAAGCGACGGAAAAAAGAATGATGATGACGATGAAACGAAAAACGATGGATGGCGACGATGGAGGAAAAAAAAGCTCCCAAAAAATTGAGTGCAATGAATAGTTTTTGTATATATCCATTCATTCATCATTGCAGACGAATGCCACATCGAATATAGCAACATTCTGATTCTTCATTCATATTTATTTTGGTCCTTGCTATGTGAGTGTACTATTTGGAAAAATATTAATGTGGAGAAAAAACAAAGAGAGAGAAGAAGAAACTAAAAGTCGTTTCATTTCCGCAAACGCTTCGTTGATCTCATGTCGGTGTAATTTATTTTGATCTTGTTAATTGATAAAAACAAATAAATTCAACTTACCATATACATTTAGACGAGCCGAGTGTGAGATTTTTCCAGCCCGATTTTTCAAATTGCAAGTGTATTCTCCACCATCTTCGACCATAACATGACTAATATTGACGTGGCTTACAACATCACCGTGAACTGTTACATATTGACCGATGAGAAATCTACAAAAAAGAAAATGGCAAACATTCTTCAGTGGATAGTTTATGTGGTAGATAGAGATACAGCAATACGATAGTTTGTGATATACATAGCACACACACACAGCATTTACACAAATTGTAACGAAACAATTGGATAAATGTTATCACTTGCAACTTTGGATTTTATTTCAGGATGTGGGAGGAGAGGCGAAGAGAGAGACTGCTGAGAGAAAATGAATGAGCTCTTGAATGTTCTACATGTTGAACTGATGATGTGTTCCTGTTGTAACCATCACAAACATTCAAACTTTCGTGATTACGCGCGTGCTTTTGTGATTTTATTTCGAACACGCAATGATGGTAACATATATAACGACAACCACATTGTATTTAACTTTGAACTGAACACAATGCAAAAGATGCAGCGATGCCGAGATGCTGAATTCAGATTTTGATCCGATATACTAATGATATCGCCCGCCTGAAACGACATGCAAGCGCGAATTTAATTCGCAGCACAGTGAGAACAAAATGTTGTTATAGTTTTTGGCACCATATTAAACAGCTCGCGGTAAACAAGTTTTATGTCATTAACATATCATTACGCGTTCAAGACGATACATTCCGTGTCGGGCCCGGGGATGAGTATTCACATAAGCGAGAGAGTTTCGGGGGGAGAGACGAGATGGGGGGATGGGGTATAAAGAAAGTGCTAAGCAAATATGCACATTGCACACAATTGTAATCACATTCGCGCACAGTCGCCTCGCGCACAATTTCGGGAAATTTTTTCGATTTGTGGCGTCGTTAGTAGTGGTGGATGTCTGTTCGCATTAATGATATATAAATCCCTTTATTTCGTTTTTACGGTGAGCGTAACTATTGCGAAATTACCGCAACGGAATGTGCACCAGAGTCGTGCAGAAAATGACTTTGGATTGCACACTCGGCAAGACTGTACACGATACAAGAAACATTACGGCTTGAACGTGTACTATGCAATCATCGGTTATATTATGGGGATAATTTGCAGTGAGAAAATGTTGCATGCCCCCTGTGTTTTTTTCGTTCACTTTTTTTTTTTTCATTATATATTTTTTTTTTTGTTACATCTCCGCGCTCATTTCAATGAGTTTTCATTAATTTCCGAGTTAATTGAAATGGAATTCTTGAAAATCGTCTATGTCCACCATTATAACATGCCACGATTGCTTCATGATTGCTTCTTGATTTCCTTTTCATCATTCACTATTCATCTTTTGTTGTTTATTCGGTTTTTTTCTGCGTTCTCTGGTCTCAATGTTTTCTTCTGGCTCCTTTTTTATTGCACTTTTTTTTATTTGCTATGTATCTGTCTCTCTATGCATTCTATCTCTGAGGGCACTTTTTTTACCGAACAAACACCACAAACGTTCCATTTAATTTGTGTTTTTATATATTAAATCGACAACGTAAAAGATAGAGAATGAAATACATAAGGCAAAATGCAGCCATTGCATTTGGTCGGTTTGATTTTTCAAACAGAACTGCATGTCATATATACCGATATCCATTCATCACAGAATGGCTACAAAGAATCTAAACTCATAAACTGTTGTAATTATCATAGCCCGTGCAACATACCACCGATAATGGCAGCAACATTGAAAACCACACCGTCAATATAAAAAACATGAAACGGAGGGGGGAAGAGAGAGGGGAGCGAAACATAAACATCAATGACAACAACTAGCCAGCAATTTTCCATATATCTTTCATTTGCCGTTTGGTTTATTCCTTTGATTATTTCAATTTGGAGCACAGCTCATTTTTCGATATTCGTTTCTCGTGAATCGGGGTAAATGGAAAAGTGACTGCAATGGAATTTTGTTACATACTTGAGATGCTCATCAAATGATGGAATGTGAACCTAATTTAACTCTGTCTCTCTCTCTCTCTCTTTCTCGCTCTCTCACTCGGAAAATCAATATATGTTGATGGAAAAAGTTTTACATTGACCGAACGACAAGCGAAAACTATCAGCGCACACAAAAACTGAAAACGTATTACAACGAATAAAAGGACTAATTATTTGTTGGAATGAAAGTGGAAGTGGCGATTGTGAATGGCGCACAACTTACAGCGCAAATTCAATTTTATTGTTGCTATTTTATTTGATGAACTTATATACAATGGTGTAATTGAAAAGAGAGAAAAAAAGATTCGATTTGTTGTGACTTTTCGCGTAGCAAAACTTTCGCCAAGTTGGCCTCATTTCACCGACATTTATGAAATTTATGCCGATATTTGTCTATTGTTCAAAAATCGTTGTTGTTTTAGTTTTATGGCTTCCTGAAGAAATACGCGTCGATCTATGACATTTTCCACCAGAAGAAAAAACACACACACCATATTTAAAAAAGGTCAAAGTGAACATCAAATTACGTTAAAAAAAATTGTAATAAATGTAAGCAGACAAGTCACCACTGACTACTTTTGCATTTTACTTTATGAGCTTCTGTTGTTCATTTACGTCCACCTAGATGGGACAAGTCATTTTATGAGCTTTTCAAATTCAAATAAAATAGACAAACATTTCTCGTTTACATAGACCCACATATAAAACGTGTGAAGTGCAAACGTACATGAAAATTGTCATTTGCCAGAAGCAGAAAAAAACAACAACCGGATAATTTTCATCTAATCAACAAGTTTACATCGCCTTGATGTAAATAATTGTTGTTTTTGTATGGTTTTAGTTTAAAGCGGCAGCAAATGTTTGATTCGCTTTCAATAAGCTGAGAAAACGAAATTTTCTTCATACTCAACTAAACCGATTTATTTCAGCAGTTTTCCAACAGGCACACGGCAACAAACTTTCGGCTGGTAATGCAATTCGTTACCACGTGCGACATGGCATACGTTTAGCTTTCAAAAGAACTTATTACATTACTCAACTTACAGACACATAAAATGCATCGCATATTAGTGTGCGATTTTTTTTGTGAAAAGGAAGTTTGGTTGTTGCAAATATGTCAGCTAGACAACATGCAAATTTTTTATGATTTCGAATATAAGAAATACACGTAAGCGTGCTCTATGCAAAGCACCAGTAGCAGACGCAGAGAAAAAAAACTTCGTTCGATGTTTAAATGAACAAGTTTAATCTCATACATAATGCAGTTGGTTTTCGGTTGCGCTTGATATTTAAATTAAACTTGGAGATAGAAAAAAAATAAAATTCGGCATCCATTTTCGAAAGTGCGAATGATTTACACAGATTATTTAAATCTTGTGATGCGGTCTGTTTCGTATCTAATATGGTATAATTGTAATTGGTATCTACACACATTCATTCACATATATATATGTATATTGAATTCGTTTGGATTTGATGTACAACATGGAGCCGTACTGAATCGTTATGTCTCACACGTTGTTGGAATGGGCCAAAAAAACCATTCGCGTAATTATTCATAGTTAAATGGCAAACTGTCTCTCAATTTGCTCCCTCTCTCCCTTTTTTCTCAACACCATCCATCCATTCAGCAAACGTTTACATACTGATTTAGTTTAAATTATTCAAATACACGAAGTCATTCATTTCGAAATGAATCGAATTTGTGCTAGGTAATATTATAATATTTCTTCGCATACACATATATGTGAAAAGCAAGTGGTTCGGATCGATTTTATATCATCTACAATGGAACCGAACATCTCTAACAGCACCATTTTTAGTATGGCGAGTAAAAGAGAGGACAAAAAGTGTGAAGTAAATAGAAGAAACGTCGGATCGAAACGGCCAATTCAATTGTTTGATTTTTATGATAAAAGGAAAATAATTTTCATTCGATGAAACTAAATTGGAATTGACGACTGCCGAACGCAACAAGACAACGGCCAAGGAAGCAAAAGCGCTTACACTGTCTGCCGGTTACGGTCACACTTCACATCATCACAATTTTCCATTTGATGGTTTACACCATCGAAATGTCATGCTTATAATCGAATTTCATCACTTGAAATTAAAAACTATAGACTTTACGTTTGATTTACTTGAAATTTAATTATCACTCTCCACTTTCCGTATCCGTTAACATTAATTTAAATCGGTGTGTGTTGTTGGATTTTGTTTCTAAAAAAGAAAACCGAAAAGAGTATCACATTTATTTTGAGTTCTTCGTACATAAATATGTAATTTGTACAATTGAAATGTAGTTTCAACTAGTTGCGCTATCTTGTCGGTTGTTGCAAAAAGTCATCAAGTGCTCAAGCCCAAACGAACGAAAACTTTTCAATTCGATTTTCTTTTCTACTTTATCTTTTCTACTTCTGTTTAAATTGAAGTTGTTGTTGTTGTTGCTTTTTTCTGTGCGCTATTTAATCTGAATTCGAAATAGATTTTATTCTTTTTCTCTGTTGCATTTGCCATTGCTTTTACGCTAAGATCTTTTATTTGCAATTGGCAAACACGTTATTCAATCAGTGCGCTTTCAATATGATGCATTTGTCGGGAAAATGCGAGCGACTCACAGTCGACTAGAACAAAAATCGAGTTGGAGGTAAAATTAAACAAAATTCAATGGAAAAACACATCTATTTGTTGAAGATCCTTTCGTTCGATCGTTGCATTTGATAACAGTTGTGAGAGGCGGAAAAGAAAGTATATATCGTGTGGGTAGGAAAAAACCGAACCAGGGATTGTCAGTCGTTTCTCTTTTTTTTGGGTAATAAATGGATGACGTTAATTTATCGTGTCCCCAGCGTGACAATCTTCATACATTCGGCGGATATTTGTGAGACTCTCAATATTTCCAATTGCATTGAGATCGTTTCTCTTTCTTTTTTTTATATGGATGAATAAAAATTAGACGAGAAAAAAAATGGTCGCAATAGTTTGTAGACAAGCAATTTCACTGTTAACATTTCGTTAAACATGAAATACAATCGCTCGGCATATATGGAAAAATGTAGAGAGCAACAGAAAAAAAAAATTAAATGGAAATGAATTTTGGAGAATGGTAATTTGACTGGTTAAATTTCGTCGACAAAAAATTCGATGCAACGGATGCAAGTTGATTACAAAAAAAAAAAAAAATTACGATACTTTGTTGAATTAAAATCCAAAATGGAATTAGATCTATTTGAAATAGCATACTCGATTAAAATTAAACAGCTTAACAGATTTACACTATAAAATCAATCGACCATAAAAACCTAATATGAACATAGTTTACAAACGTAACGTACAGTAACAGCCGCAGCAATAGCAAAAGCGACAGCAATCTCGTAATAGCTGTACAATTTCTGACACAATGAATGGAATGTCGTTGTCGGCGATGCTGTGTGTGTGTGCTGCCACCGTGCTACTGTACTCCTCCGCCACTGCATCAACAAAACGGATATCGTCGACCCATAATAATAGTAATAATGACAATAATAATAATAATACGTGGCATACACTCGCAAATTGTTCACTAAAACACAATGAAGACGGCACACGATGATGCCGGGGCACATCACAACCAAGTGCCGGAGAGAGAATATTATCACCGAATAAGCGAAACACAAACAAAAGAACATGCCAATGATGATAGGAAAAAGGAGCAAAGTCGACAAGAGAGAGAGAGAGAGAGAGAGAGAGAGAGAGTGAAGAAAATGGAATGAGGCGAAAACGTGCCGCATAACCGATTTACATACCAAACCAATGTCTTTTATCAAAACATCATATTCGACCCTTTTTATATTGCCTTGCCATCGCATAGGGAGCAAGCAAATGTACGTACGACAAATATTTGCGAAGGAACGAAGCGACTGCTAAATATTTAAAGCGTCTTTTCACACGCAATTAAGGTTGTGACTTTCACAAAGTTTTCCAGCTCCTTTCTTCAATCTTATTCTTTGGGTGTTGTGAGAAAGAGCGTCTTGCATATTGTTGTTGGAAACTAGTATAGTATGGCATACTGATATTATTATTGTCGTAGACGTTGTCGACGACGACAACGACAGTATGTTCACTCTGCTATTCGATGCCGGCTCGTTTTGTATGCTTTGATGTCAGCTTTTTTTTTGTTTGTGTATATGCATTGCAATGTCGTACATGCCGAATGCTCTCACTCTATCGTTACCAATCTCTCACTTTGCAAGAACAACAGCAAATAGCTAAAAAAGTTGTGATTTGCATTTGATTTATGTAATGATTTTAAAATTTATTTGCGTTCGACGTAGGTGCTGTGTGTGTGTGTATATTGTCTCGTATGTGACAGATTTAGCATATACGGACTTAAGACCTAAACTATTTGTGAATGATGTGTGCAAAAAGCGTTTGACACCGGAAAAACAACATAAAAATTATTTGTTTAAATCGAGAATAGAATGGCCGCAAAAGTCAAATTCGAACGCCAAACAAAGAAAAGACGATCGATACAAAGGAAGAAATCGAAAGGATAGTCATTGCAAAATCAAAATGCAGAATAAAGTCAAAGCAAAACCATTATACAAATTAAATCATTTCTGTTTTCCGTTCGTTTTTTCTTTCTTCTTCGTTAAATTTTATTTGTAGCAGCATGAATATGATGTTCATCCGGATTTTATTTGATGTTCGAGAAATTCTATTTGTCTTTTCTTTTCTTAGTCTCTGTCAAACAATGAAAAGCATCAGAGTTGATTTTACAAATGGTTTTGATCCTTTTGCACTTTCTTTGCTTGCATATTGTTTTCTATATGTTTTTCTACGTAAATTGTATTGCTTTTGATCGATGTGTTGCATTATTTCGTCAAAAGAGCTTTGAGCTCAGAGTAAGACATTTTCGAAATTGTTGTTGTTTCATAATATTATGTTTTTTTTTTGTGTTCACGTCCATTTGTGCAAAACCATTTTGACAAGTGGTTGTACATAATTAAAAACTCTCGTTTCGTTTCTTGGTTAAGTGTGATCTGCTTTACAAATTACACATACTCAATGTTTTTTTTTTTGTGGCTTCATCAGTAATATAGACAAAAAGTGTAGACAAAATGCCGAATAAGTTCAGGAAATTGGCGAACGCTGTAAAATTGTGATCAGGAGCATAGTTAAGATGTATGCCGTTAAAATGGAGTTCATGGTGCATAAACATTATTCTTTTTTCTTTCTTTTATTGTTCTTCGTTCTCAACTTAAACTAAAGAAGTCTTTCCCCTTTCTAGCGCATCTTTATTTATTTTTTGGATCAAATATTTGACATACCTGCCATTGGATGGTAGTGGAAAACCATCCAAAGTCCATGTTACTTGCGGTGTCGGATTTCCGGCTGCATAAATGAAAAAAAAAAATAGTCATCGAAAACGGTGAAAATTTACCAAAACTTTTGGATTTTACCAGCTGAGCATTTCAGTGAAACGGCTGGACCTGGCTGCAGTGTCTGTTCTATAAAGCTATAAAGCATGACGGGCGGCGCATCTGAAAATGTTGAGCGTAAATTATTTTTGAATTGAGGCTTTTATGTATATATGCTTTACAAATGCTTTGTGCAGTGCGTATGAATATTCACATCCTGCCTATACAAGTTACTTCCGCACATGCAAAAGAAAGACATAATTTCCGAAATGGAAATTTGAACATAACACATAAAACCAAAACCGAAAAGAAAAAAAGTTAGAAAAAAAATAAATATGAAACAAATAAAATCTGAATATTTTCCATTTTAAATGGAGCGGGAGGGGGCAGGGAGAGGCATTTAAAGTGTGTGTGATAAAGTTAAAGTTTAGCCAAATGCCGAGGCGGCATTAGAAAGAATGAAAAAAAAGAAAAATTGCGTCATTGCCAAGTCAAACGGCAAGTTTGGATTGAAATTTATTGACTGGAATATGCATTGTATGGCAAAGAGAGCGTGTCTATGACTTATTTTCTAACAACCATGATGAATGTAAGCGCTATAAGACCACAAATTCAAGCTACATGTATTTATGGCGTTTTTGTCTCATTTCGGATTTTCCCGGATTTTATTTGTTTTTTTTTTTTTTTTTTTTTTGCTTCTTCGTCAAACGCATATTATAGATCGAGTGAAACATAACTGGAACAAAAAACAAAAACAAAAACAAAAATAAACGACAACTCCAATGAGCAATATCAACAACGCTTGGAATTAATGCATTTATTTCCATCGCCCCGACAAAGCAATTTAATGGGTAATAGAATTGCCGTCAGTAGCAGTTGTGGCAGCAATAGCATCGACAACAGCAACGATAAACACCAACAACATAACATTCAATCACAGCAAAGAGTCACAAATATTACTTTATTTTAAATAAATAGCAACAAACATTTCGGTTTGCTGAAATGTTGCACACAGCGTATTTGGGTTGGGATGTGTACGTGAAACCAGGATAATGGTAGAAACGCGACTGATGTCCCATGTATATTTTGATGTTACACAGTACACACAATATGCAATAGAGATAACAATAAAATTTTTGACCAAATGGCAAGGGCAGCTTAAAAAATATTGCATCCATACATGGGTCCCGAATCGAGTTGAGCAGCACTCAAATGCCAACGGACTTGAGCATAAATCGAGGCAGATAGATAGAGACAGAGAGACAGAGATAGATAAGAAGAATGGCACATATGAATTGCGAGGGAGAGCAAAAGGGACACAAAATGACAAAATAAAAACATGATAGTCCTTCAATGTTCCCGATTTTGTGGGTGCGATTTTCTGCGCTTGTATGTGTGCGTGTGTCTCTGCGTATGAAAACAAAACATGATCGACTATATAATACGTTGGTGTGTGTGTTTGTATTTATACATTGTACACATAATTTGGCTCATACAGTTTACATTTAAACGGCGGATTAAAAGTGCCATTTGTGCTTATGAAGAGAAAGCGTTTACACATTATATACTATAAATATGTTCACTGCACAATCCTAAATGTTCATATAAAAATGACACCAACACGCACACACACTGAGAAAATTGAGTTGATTTTTCTTGTTAGTGGGCAAACGTCGACAGTTACGAAAGGGGATCACACTTCTTTTGAAGCGTAAATAGTTGTTTGCCGTAGTGTTTTTTTTTTGTTTCGTTTCGTCGCAAAATAATTAACTAAGATGTTGTCTGTGATGATTTTTGACGAGAATGACGATGATGGCGACGCCAACATTTACAACAAATAAACGGTTATTTTTCAAATTTTTATCTTATTTTCTCTCTCTACTCATCTAACTAAATTGCCGGAGAGCGGGTAGATGTTGTAAATTGTTTTCTTCTCTGTGTGTATATTTGTATATATATTCTATGTTTAAATTGCATCTGTTTACCGGATTAAAATGAAGCGTTTGTGGTTGGAGCCAAATAATAATAACTCTTCGTTTTGACTTGACATTTCTGGAACATAGCACATTTTCTTCATTGTCTAGCGCTTGTTTTGCCAATTTTTATTGTAAATGTGGTCGACATCTAGAATTGAATCGATATGTTACCACTGTGCCATGCGTATACAAAACAACATATGAGTAAATATATCTCTCGTCTTACAATTGAAAACTATTCTCCCTCAAAATTGTTTGATTGTAGAAAAAGAATACGATAAATGTTCCTTGTTTTTCTCGGTTGGATTCTGTTTCGCTTACTTACACGGAATGGCTGAGAATATAAATGACTTAATGAATCGTGCTTCTGGACATTTGTTGGCCTGACCCCATTTTTACTCTCAGCAATGCAAAATTATAAATTGTGTAGTATGGTTTTTGTTATTGATTCCACTACATTGTCATTACATATTACGAACTTGCATCGTTCACTTTAGATTGTATTATTGTAGACGACTGGTAATTGCAAGTTATCACCATTAGCCAAAGAAATGGAAGTAAAATGCAACAGACATAAGGCAATAAATATTAACAACGCAAACCCGAAGCGAAAAACGAAGGACGAAACATACAATAAATTCAATTTTTCTCTGCTTCGAATTTTAACATCCGACCACCATAGGAAAATGGGGAGAAAGAGAGAAAGAGCGAAAAACGAATGGAAAATGTATCGAAGGCACACGGTGAAAGGGGTGTAAGCTTTCGTAAAAACGTGCTGTGATCGCATGATATTCAATTCCTGAGCTAAGTTCTTCAATCGGATGACGCATTATGTATAGCCAATTTCTTTTCTCATTTGTTTGAGTAAATATTTTATTCGAGTAATTTCACTCTGACATCGTGGTCCTTTTGCGAATCATACTCACACAAACACACAGAGATACACAAAATAGGCTAGTAAACATCAAGCCACACATTTCAAAGTAGTAAAATTTTCATGAACGGTAGAGGATTTATGCCATTTCACTTGGATCGTATGACAACCCATTCATGTGCTCAAAAACGACAAATTGAATTACCAAATTGGACTTGAATGATATATTTGAAATTTGTACGTGTATGCGTTAGCCATGGTGCATTGGTCTAGATATATATCTATGGGCAAATTTCAAATATTATATATGCACCGCATACATGGGCACGGAAAAATTTTAAGGGGGGGGTCCAACAGCCAACCAAAAACCCTAGCAAATCGAAAGAATTTTTCTCTCGAAATACCTTAGCAAAACGGGATTTTTTCGTTTTTTTTTTGGAGATCAAATTTTTGATGAAAATTCCTAGCAAATCGAAAGAATTTTTCGCGAAAAACCCTAGCAATTTTAAAGATTTTCTTCCATTTCTGAAGTTGATTAGTAAAAAAGAAAAAGTCTTCACTTTCCAGTGAAAAATCCCTAGCAAATCGGAAGATTTCTCTGCTGACATCGGGGGGGGGGGGGGGGTGTGATTAGCTTGGACGATTCAAGAGGGGGATCATCCGGGCTTACACCCCCCTGTGCCCATGTATGATGCACCGTATGTATATATTTGCGCTATATAGGTAACTCCAATTGTTCAAATGTGGGTGAGAAATATTGCAATAGCCTTTGTCATTTACACACTGCATCATATCAAACACATGTGTTAAAGACACAATTGTGTTTCCATCGCATGTTTGATGTGTATGCATATATTTTTCGTTTTTTTTTTTTTTGCTCCACATAAATTGTATTTGTGCATCAATTTTTTTTCGGTGGGGGAGTAAGAGGTGTTGTCGTTGAAAAACAGCGTATGTCAATTTAAAACTTAAAATTCTGGTATGAGAATGTGCAACTTTATGATGAAAACAAAAATGCCGAAACAAATTCATATATGTCAAAAGCATTGAACTAACGCCACAAAATAGTTTAGCAATTTGTATATATGCGTAACGCTGTAGCATATATTGCCTTACATTTTCCGACTTCTAAAAGCGCTTATATCCATTTTGAGTTGCAAACTTTAAAACTAAAAGAGCTGAAAATTACCGAAAACGAAAATATAATGAACAGTTCACCATCATTTCGTTTCATTTTATTAGTGGTTCTTTTGAGACCGAATTGCATTCATTTGCCATGGCGTTTATATTCAAATAGAAATATATTTTTGGGATACACATTCCATATATATAGGTTTACATATGGTTTGTTTGCATTTTCATTTATGAATAACAGAGCGCTTGCTTTTCTCTCGGCTTTTTACCCATTCTGGGTTTGTATTTGGCTTTACGTTTGGCTCTATCTCCCAATGTATCTGTTCTATTCATTTATATATGCGTTGAAATTGTGTCGAAATGGAAGTGAATCCAAACCAGGGAATTTGAAATGTTCTTTTTTTATTTTATTATTTGGCTATAAATTTGCAGAATACACACGAATGCAAAAAAATACGAAAGAAATTTATAAATAAACGAAATTAAAGATTCAATTCAATTGAAATGTTCATCAAAAATGTCAGCATTCACTAAATGATGTGACACCATACACAATGTGGATTATACAAAACATTGTCAATAAATTTATTTGTGAAGAGTTTGTGGATGTGATTGTCGACAAAATGGAAGAAATACAGAGAAACAAAAAAAAAAATGAGTGTCAAAAGTCGAATATTAATCGGGGTATGAATTGTATGACACCACTCGAGCAAATTGAAATAAATGAAAACATATTGATGGATAAATATTTAGCTACGTAAAACTAACGTTAGCGAGAATGTCACACACACTTTTTGCTTTGATTGTTTATCTTGCCACTTTCACAATTCTCTATATATACATAATGAATTTGAACATGCTAAGCAAATGAACTATCCAAATAAAATGACCGAACATAGCTTACCGCCCAATTGAAGCTCGGCTGATGCTTGGAAGCTATCGCCATCCTGACGACGTACAACACATTGATACATTCCTTTTTCTTCACGGCCAACATCGGTTATCAGCAATGTATCGCCGGAACGGCTTGATGGCAATTGACGACCATCTTTGTACCATGTTATGTGCTGCATTCCAATTGATATTCCATTGCTTGTGACCGAACAACGAAATTCAGCTGATGCGCCCATATGAACGCTCATTATGCTGGGAACGATGTCCACTTGTAATGGTGTTGTGATGGTTAAACGAAGTTCAGCGCTTGCTTCGCCGCCTGTATTTGAAACGAGGCATTTATATGTACCTGTATAAAAATAAAAAAATAAAATAAAAAACGTTATTCCCACCGACAATTTATACGGTATTTTTATTGAATAAATTTCTTTTGTCTTTTCACTTGGAGCCACCCAGCTAATATTCGCTTGTTTTTCGAGTATCAATATCCCAACAAACATTTTATTTTTATAAAGAAAATTAGTTTTTGTATAACTCCTTTATAGTGTTTTTATAATTATTAAAAAAACAATATCTTTACAATGCCTGTATACGTACTGTATAACAGTTGTATAGACAATTGATAAAAATAGAGGCGAGGCTTGTTTATTTCCTTTCTAACTTCTTTTAAAGCACTAAAAATGTTTTTAAAATAATTATAAAGAAAATCTTTAAAAGCATTATTATAGAAATTATATAGATTTTGTATATCTTTAAAATTCCTTTTTAAAGTCTTCCAAAGAATTTAATAGGCTTTTATAAAATTAAGAATACGAATTCTTTTTATCGCCTATATAAAAACAAACGAGAAAACATTTATATGTACCCTGATCTTCGCTTGTAACGGCTTCAATTGCTAGCACTGGTCCCAGTACCCGAATCCGTGGACCGCTTATAACCGATAGCGATTCAATGTTGTTGTTCGAAAACCATCTAGAAAACAAGAAAATCAGTGTTTGCACATTAAATACATGAAAAGGAAAAAAAATAAATAAGCAAAAAACAACAATTCCAAGAGAAAGAGAGTAAGAGAGAAAATAACAGATTCACGCAAAGCAACGCAAAGTGAGTTTTGCACTTGAACGCAAAATTAAATAAGTCCACTTAGTTTATCTGGCGATGGTTATCAAGCGAAATAAATGGAACCAAATGGATCGAATGCCTCGGCGATATCTGTTTACCGCAACATCCAACACAAATACAATTAGTCCCATTCAAAGAGATGAGTGTTGCTCACTTCTTTACTTTTTGCCCTTCAATAACATCGAATGACTTTATGAGATTTTACATCAATTTGATCTCAAACACACTTTGAATCAATTATCTCTAACAAATAAATTCATGCGGCAAATTCTTACATACAATTTAGCATTTGTACATTGTCGTCCGGTTCGAGACACATCCATTTCGATATGTGTCTAGCACACCAATATGCATCACGTACACACACACTAAACCAGTATGGATTGGTGCGAATGGTTTGAATGGCATGGATACATATGTATAGATATTGTAATATACCGAATAAATTCACTATACGTAAATGTAGGGCAGATATTAGTGAGGTAATTGTGTTGCGCGTCGCTGTTTCTAATTTTCCATATGACTCAAAGTCGATGGTACTTCATGTAACAACAACAAAAAAATGAGAGCCCATCCAAATTTTGGTGGATTCAATTTTTGTGTGTGTGAAATTGGTAAAAAAAAACCACACAGTTGATGCATTGTTCACCTAAAGGATTTGCAAACTGTTTACTTTGAAGAAACTTTGCAGGTAAATGACCACAAAAATCATATTTCATTCGCTGACGTCACCATTGAAAATGCTGATTTCCGCTGAAACTCTGTGTGTGCATTTCCGGACGAAAAACAAACAATTGTACATCACATCAGTTTTTTTTTTTCGGAAAGGCCAGTTTGTGATAGACATTTACAGATCTCATGTGTTCGCATTCGTTGAATTCGAGCTTAGCTTCACTTTTCATGTGAGTGACATTGCTATTGCTATCGTTTAGGCAATGATGTGTTATTCGAAGAAGTAGTGGATGTACCGTGCTGCGCCATGCTGTTTTCCCATATTAATGATGAGATACGGCGTACGTGTAATTCATACAGATTGATGGAAATTTCATTCATGCACTTATACGAGAGAGTTTTTCCCATTGTCATGGTATTTGTGTGCACTTGTACATTTATATAGTTCAATTAAATGGCTAAATTGTATGGGTGTTACTGTGTGTGCTGTTGCAAGAAATTTCAACAACAACAACAAAAACAACAAAAATGGAAAGCGAAAAATAGCAAATAGTGAACGCTCTAGCCATTTCATATGTGCATGTGTAAAGCACAATCGTATATTATATAAATTGAAAGATACCAAACGAATTGCAATTCTATTTGGTGTGTTGTGGCCAGCAATTCACATTTATTCACGTCACACAATGTAGATATGAGAGACAAAGAGAAAGAGGAACACACACACACACACACACACAGAGAGAGAGAGAGAGAGAGAGAGAGAGAGAGAGAGAGAGAGAGAGAGAGTGAGAGATAGTGAATAGCGGATAGATAGAGAAAGAAGGCGAGCAACTGTATATATTCTGGTTATGCTACGATAGTTTATCTAGGTATGGCACGAAAAAAGGAAGATATGGCATACACATTCGAATTTCGAATATGCGGACGTAGCTTAATTTTCTGTATAACACCATCTCTCTCGCATCACACACATAACAAACAGTATTCACATATTGCGCAATGCGGTCCGGGGATGCTTTGCACATTCAGGTCAGTTCATGTGAGCCGCCAAAAGCTTTTGCAATTTTTTTTGTTGCTTTTTTTTCATCTCGCTCTCTCTCCCTCGATGTGTGTGCAATTTTTTTTTATTCGGCGTTATCGTTGGTGCTGCTATTTTGGTTTTTTATTCGTTTGTATTACTGTGCGCGCTGTCAATTTCTTCCGCATGCTAGTTATTTCGTGAGCAGTACATATAGATGATGTGGTATTTGAATCGAAAATATATCCACACACTCATCATATGAACTCGTTCATACAAATAAAATATACGTATTATATCAATTCCAGTAAGCTTCGACACTGAATTTCAGAATTCTGAATTCCAATATTATGTAATGTATGCTTTACAGCAGTGGCTTCATAACGCTTACATTTTTTTTTCTCGTAATACATTTTTCGTGCGGATTACTTTTTTGTCGGAATACTTTAACGTACTACACATGCCATGACTCATACATTCATAAACATTCGTTGGTCTCTTAAATATTATTACCTAACATATATGCGCTACACATGTACCCAATATGCTCGTCTTAATGAAAGAGAAAAAGGCAAAAATTCTGATCGTTTCTATCAACAACATTTTTCCATCGACTGAATTTGTTGTCCAGTGCACAGCAGTAACCAACAACATTTTCACAGCTTATACAGAAAAATAAAAATCGAATTTTCCTCTACTCCCGACTCAACTACATATATTTTCAACTTCCATATCAACCGCTTTTTTTGCCTTTGTCTACAGAAATGCCTGCGTCGAAACAAAAACGAAAGATTTGACGTGATTTGATCACACTCAAACAAGGGGAAAACTGGGGGACCGAGTGCTTTTTTTTTTCATACAAAGTGTGTCAATCGGAAGAAAAATTGTAGAGTCACAATGAACTTCATTGAATGAAGTCTATGGTAATCAAATTAATTTTATTTTCTGATGCGTCTTTGCCTAAGTTTTAATTCGTCAACGTCAAAGAATTGCTGATACAGAAGTTTTCAAATGATTTTCCCCTTGCAATCAAGCTCCAGTCGATGTACGTAAGCAAAAAAAAAAAAACAAAGAAAAATAAAAACAAGGCAAAGAAAAGAATCGAGTAAAATATAAAAAGGAAAATAAATCTTTATGTTTTCTTTTCTTATGCCTCATAAGATGTGCTATGATTGTTATTGTTGTGGAAAATAAGAAGAAAGAACAAAAAAACTAAAGCGAAACAAAACGCTGAGAAAATATTAAAACGCTTTGAAGCGCAAAGAACTAAAAATCGCACACAAAAAGTGAATACTTTTCTGACTATTCTTTCAGCACGATAATAATTATAATTAATCAAAATTTTTATGTGACATTTTATAAGCTTGATTATAGTTGCAGATGATGGCGTAAAAGATTTGACAAAAATTAGGCATGAGTTCGGTGACAGAAATCTCACAGACACACCATGACGACAAAAAAAAAACCGAATCACTCGAAAACTCATTTTATGCTCTCGTCGAAAGTGTTTTATCGAATAATTGTGGCATTTCTATTTGCTCTCTGTTTGCGATAATATCATAAAATCGAGCAAATAATAAATGGGCAATTAGGTGGCCAGTGGCGCAGCAATAATAAATCTGCTGTAATTCGAAATAATCAATTTATATATGGATAGAATGTTGTTTGTTCATTCGTACTCAAAAACATCCATCTCGATGAGAGGGAGAGGTGAAAAGGCATCCAATCAAATAACATTGAAACCGCATAAACGCACAATGAGAACGTGACATTTGAAAAAAAAACGACATCAAACCAAATGACCGCTGAAACATTTCAATTTCGCACACAATACTGTCAAAGTCCACTTCGTCAACGTCCTACTTTCATTCTCACGTGCTCAGATAAATGATAAATGATTAGTATCCTCAGCATAGTTGAACGTCAAAATGAATAGAAGCGAAAAACTTTGCTATTACAAACTTAGTTTGAAGCGATTTTCAACTTTGCTGAAGTCATTTAATCAATTTTCATTTTTTTCTGCACAAAAATTGATGCGACAAACAGTAAACCACACAATCCTCTTTTATTCAATTTATATTTTCAAACAAATTTGACAGATGAGTGCAATCGTAATAAACATTCAACAAAAATTACCTGTATTCTGGAGATGGACATCCTTGAGCAATGCACAATAAAACGGCTCCTTCATCGTGTGCCACCGTCACATGGTTCGTATGCTCAACAACACTTGGTGCAATAATACCTCGTTGATCTAGTTTCAAATTAATAAAATCGTAATTAATATTGTATCATCAAAATAGAAAAGCGAATAATAAACATTCGACTGAATACATGCCTTTCCCATTCGGCGCCCAACATAGGAATGTATTAAGCAATCAAATAATGTAATTTTCATAAAGTGTGCGAGTTATGGGAAAGTTATGAGAGTCGGTAATGGTTATGAAAATTCGATCGACAAACATAAAAACAAAATTCCAGACTTTTTCGGAAGCGAAATGCGTTTAAATATACCAAAAAGCGATGTCATTTTTGAATAAATAAACAATTGGAAAGTTTTCTGTGAAAAAATTGCGGAAATTGATGATTTCATGTTTGTGTGTCCATCTTTGGAAGAAAGCGCTTTAACGGACTGATTGATTCGTTCACATGTCGCATCATTTGCCATGACGTAAATGAATCAACGTTGTATTTCGTTTTAAACAAGGCGAAATCTAAAAAAAAAATCAGATTGTTCATCAACATTTGTTGAACAAAATTGAGGTCTGAGAAACTTTATACGCTTTAGCCTTGATTTATAATTCTGGCACCAAGCCCGCATATTACTCAAATGTTTCGCCCTTTTATATGGTGAAAAAAGGAATCGTATTCACAGCCGGTTCGTTGGGATTAAATTTCTTTGCGCGCCGTTGAAAGCAAAGATTACCTCGGTTGAATTATAGCAGGTCAGTGCATTTGATACAGCAGGTCACAGTTCATGGTATAAACTTTCTATATAAAAATCATACAATGTGACGATGATATTTTCTCAAGTTAAATAGAGATAGAGAATATTTATACCATCATCACCAGGAAACATCATTTAACCTCGAAAAGAGTTTTTTTTGTTCGGATCTTTTGTTTTTAATTAATAAGATTTACACACTGTGAATTAGCTAGTTTGTGTGTGTGTGTATGGCACATCTTCAATTCCATTCATTGTCAAGTTTTCGAAAGGTATAACATGGGTCTTGAGCACGCATTTCAATTTCACATTATCAATGAACTATGTAATTCGGCAATTATGTGCGATGAGACGAATTCCAAAAGTCAAACACACTGCTCGTTAGCACAAGTGTATAACACGAAAGAGATACAACAAAATGCCATGAAAGCGAATCTGCGGTGTCTATGCTATGCAAATATAATTTCCATTGTACTTATATATGTACAGCGGTAAAATCGATTCCAAGAAATGCACACGCCTAGTCAAATCATAATTCCAAAAAGTTTACAGTGAAATTTCAACATACACATATATAGAGACGTTGAAAACATAAACGCTTAATATCATATGAATGGTTGAGAAAAATCATGACTCAAATTATTTCTAATTTTCAAAAATCAAACATAGAAAAATGTGCATTACAAAGAGTGAAAATTTAAAAACAACTCAAAAGATCGATTCATCATCATTCATTGTGATCCACAACATGCATTTATTACGTATCTTTTATCGTAAATATGAATTCATGACAAAACTGAATCTGATATAAGTTTTGCGATACAAATAATTTTTGATGGACTTTTCAATGCCTGTATGATATCGTAATCATGTGAAAATTTGCAGAGGTTATTTTTTCACAAAAAGCCTTTACCTTACACACTGGGTGTGTGCGAAAAAGTAAAATTCCATTGAAACATAAAAAAATATCCCGAATGTAGGCAAATTTGAATCATAAAATTTGAACACGCAAGAGTGAAACAAAATAAATATCCATGTGGTATTTTTTTACGTTTCAATTATTAATATTTTTTTTCCAAATTTCATTCATAATAATTTTTTCCTTATGTTTCATTCTTCAAATTAAAAATATTTGAGTCATGATTTTTCTCAGGCATTCATATGTGAACTTGACACAGATAACAATATCAAACATATAATGGTAAACATCGTCTTATTCCAAATACACATTGTTGTGAGACAGAAAGATGAATGATGAAAGTAGATGAGTTTGATTCACCGTGTGGAACGAGGACAAAAGAGATGAGAAAAGAAAAAAAAACCGAGATGAACTTACCGTTTATTCGAACTTTTGCCGATGAGCTTGCAACCACTTGCCTTGTTAGTCGATGCATAGTGCGGCATCGATACGAGGGAAATCGATCGTTGTATTCTGAAAATTGACAAATAAACTCATTTAAAAAGAGTGACGAAAATGAATTGAAATCGCCAAAACACTTCGGGGTCTTATGAAAAGCGCACGAAAAAATACCGTTCAACTTTTCGGCAACTTTCTGTTCAATAATGCTCCATATTGCTATGAATACATCATTGTATTGAATGTGTTATGTTATATATATCGCTTCGTACTCACCCAAATTATGTATAAGAAGTTCACCCGTAGGCAGTAAATGAAATTTGCCATCTGAATCGGTCCGCGTCAAACGTTACGGCGAGAGAAGAGAAGTGAGAGAAAAAAAAACACGAATAAAACGAACAAATTAAGATTAAGCAAGTGTCAAAAAATCGTGTTTGATGAAAATTGTGTGAGCCATGTCTGCTGGCTTTTCCATATATATATATATTTTTTTTATTCCCCGGCAATTTTTTCGATTCTATGAACACGAGCACCAGTTTTGAATGCAATATGAGAGCGGCGAAAAAAAAGCCATTGCTTATCGCTGAAATTGAATTTTTGAATCAAATATGAATAATGTGATTTGGATCATCTCCGTGTATTGGTATGTTTAGATAGACACGATACTATTTGGAATGTGGATGCTTGTAGCCAAAGTATACATATTATTTGACTGATGAAAATTTAATCAAACGCAAAGAAGCAAGTTAAATTATATTCGGATATTTATTTTCGATACTTCCACTGAATTTTTGCGTGTAAAAAGATATTTAAAATGTGAACAACAACAACAATAAAGAAGAAGGAATGCATTTTCTCCATTTGGAGCGTTAAAAATACTGAAAAATAAGATACATCGATGATATTGTCGTTTTTTGCTAATCTTCTGGCTGGGCTATTTACATAACATTCCGAAAACTGTACGAATCAATCAAATGAAATGAGCGGAAATTTATTTAAATTGAATTAAATAAAATTGGAAAGGAAAGAAAAAAAAAACATGTCTATCTATTAGAATATCGTCTTGAAAAATGAATATGAGAAATATGATAAATTTGTTATGCGCGAAAGGAAGAAAGAATGCGATATTGAAATGTTGACTTGCACGATTTTCCCTTCTCAAGTGGAAAATGGTTCTTGCTCACTTTTGCTGGTCTCATCGTATTTCATTATGTTTCTTTTTTTAAATAAATGAATATATTTTTTGTTGTTATATATGGTTGAAATGTTTTATAATTTTGTAGCGTTTTTATTTTAAAGATGGAAATCTAAGTGTATTACCTCCTTGTAAAGATGGATATATATAAAATGCAGGTTCTTGAACCCACGAAACCACTCGAACTAGTTCCTTAACAAATGTCGGTATAACACATCGCAATATCGCCGAACAACCTCTTGATGCAGCCAATACCTCTACGTCGACTTTGTATGCTTGGGCCACAACTACGGAGTAAAACGAAATAATTTTAAAATAAAAAAGAAACAACAACAAACGGTTTGTACACATGAAAATAGAAGTAGAAACCATAGAGAAAGTTGACGTGGAAAAATTGCAATGAAAGAGGAATTATATCAAAACATATTATTTTGTTCAGTTGTATATATATTCTGCTGTCTCAGTTTGTTTCGTTTCCTCGTTTCGGATTTTTTGCTTGGTGCTGTTTTCTTCTTTGTTTTTTTTTTTTTACTTTGTGCTATTATTTTTGTGCTCTGTCACCAAATTGATTGCGGAAAGAGCAGCAGTGAAGCAAATTGTGTGCAAGCGTATGTAGTTTGTAGCAACAGTGTGCTCTCTTTCAGTGCAACGCACACTTCAGCGGTGAAACAAGCAAGTGAAACAGTAAAGCTTTCGCAATAAACGTGGAAAATTCGACGCCTAATGTTTAAAACATGTGAGAGATATAAAACAAAATCAAATAAACATGAAATGCGGATTTGAATATGCCAAGCATCCAAACATAAACTGTGCCATGCGTGTGTGTGTGTGAGAGAGAGTCTGTTATTGGGGTCCATTTACATTTAATCAAAAATGTATAGTTGAGTGAGCGTGCGTCTCTTTTGGAGCTTCGTATTTATTTATATTATACTTTTTTTTTCTTCGTATTTGAGCTTTGCCGTACGAAGAAATAAGAAATCGCAACAAGAGAGTTTTACTCATTTTTATCTGCGTACAAAAGAATTGCTATTTTAAGCACACAGCGACGTGGTGTGTATTGTTGTTTGTCATATTCTCAAAAAGTTGCGACATAATATCACAAATGGCTTCATGTAATATTTCTTATTTATTAAAATTACATCTTTCGCATTTGATCCCACCAGCACCAGCAAATTCCATTTTTGTAGCGCGCATATAAAATCGTCGTTTCGCAAAAATTCCGTATACTGTTAACATTTTCATGTTCTTCAAATGACTAAGATTACCATCAGCATTTCGCAAGCAATCATATATTATCATGAAAGAGCAAAAGGTGTATATATTGAGGGAATTAGACGAAAAACCATTGCATTTATGTATGTGAGCTGGGGGTGGAGGGAATGTGTTGACTTCTATATATGTAATAGTAATGATGATGATGATGACCGAAACCGTGTTGGTATTTCATGAGCCAACTCCATTCATTGGCGTTCATTTTACTTATTTAATTCATTTCGTGCACTCGGATAACGAACGCAATTGGGAATACGTAGTTTCCACTTTCTAATTGCAGTCGATAATACTCGGTTTTTTTTTCTGCTTCGTAATTGCAAACTCTTTTTCGTTAATTTCAGCATGATGGAAACAAATGAAAGTGTATGCATGACATAACATGATCAAAGCTTTCGGAGTCAAATCAAATTACGGAGAGTGACTGAGAGAGAGGCAGAGGAGGTGGTGAATGGAAAACAGTGCCTCTTTTTGAATAGTATGCATGTATGTAAGTAAGCTGACCCTTAAGCGACAGATGCTAAATTAACCCACATGTGTGTAATCAAATAAGGCAGACGCTGCTATACTATGGCCACATCTTTTGCTTCATTATATTCTTTTTCTTTTTCTTGTTGGTGTGTATGTGTGTTGTGCATTAATTTTTGGCGTCTCATGATTCAACTATTATACGTGTTTGACATTTAACTGATGCTATCATCTCCCTAAAAAGCAAATCACGACTTGAACTAAACAGACACCGAAAACAGAAACCACAACAAAAAATTTCCAACAAACAAAAAAGCACACCGAATTTCTCCATCGTGGCCAATATCAATAATTTATCATTTATGTCGTTTTTGGCTATGGTACACAAACGAATGCAGTGCTAAAGTAATTTTAAGCGTACAAAAAGAAGTGTATCAACATCGTTGTAATAAGAAAATATATTTTCATTCACTGTGACTCTCTTCGTCAAAAGCTTGTTATGTTAATCTTAGACGAAAATTTCATTTTATCTACTTAAATATTGCCCGTTATTTGTATATTCAGTGTGTTTGTGTGTGTTCACGTTTCATCAACAACCGCCGAATCACTGCGAAACGCTTTGGCAAAAGTACAATTTTTCTAGTCTTCGGGTGTCATTCAATGTTGTAAATTGGCTTAAAATATGTGAAAATATGCTGTGCACAATATTTGGTGCGCTTTATTAAATTTTCTTCATTAGCAGTATAAAATTCCGTTAACGACACGTTACATTTTAACAACACCGAAAAGACAACAATACTCAGAGCCCGTTCAGATACACACACACACACGTTGCTTTCTCGCTCTCGCTTTTAATATCAACAGACACAAGATGGGATCATGAATAGAACGTATCATTTTATGCGATGCTATAAAATGAATGTGAGAAGAAGAAGAGAAAAAAACAAAGACCTGGCGCTTTAAAATGTACTGCATTGAGGTTGTGATAGTAAAATGGATTAGGTAGATTCATCCAATGCGTTTTCATTGGCTTCGTAATTGATGTGAAATAGTAATTTTGGCGCTTGTGCAATGTAAAGCGGAGCACTGATTCAATTAGGTGTCGTCTTCGAATTTTTCAATAAAAATTTGGATTTTTGCATGGGTTTTTTATTTTCGGTTGGTAATATCTATGTTTGAGTTTGCAAATCATTTCATTCGGCAAACGGTTGTATTCCTTATGCTAACCGATCAATTCTGTTGTGTTGAATTAGACGAAAAAAAAAATCATTCCGCAAATATTGATTGAAGGTATAGAAATATTAATCACGAATGGAAGAAAGCACATTCTCTGAGTAGATTGAATGTTATGGTATATCTTTCATACATTTTTTTTTTCATCTGGTATTTTTCAATGCCAACATCAACAAATTTTTCATAGCCGCCATCGTTGTTGAAGTCGTTGTTGCCGCCGTTGTGGTTGACAACGCTGGTGTCGACGGTGATGTCGACGGCAGTAGTGGCAAAATCTCGGTTCATCCGACATCGATTTTATTTTTCGTCCTTTTCCGTGCGCTTACACTTTTTCCATTCAAATGCACAGCAATGAATCTAAATACATTCTGAAGCGAGCGTTAAACCAAACATTATAGTTGTAGAGATGAAAATGAACACAGAATATATTGAACATCGAACATACATATATCGCATAGTGTGCGTATAAGTGGAAAATTGAGAATAAAATGTTGTATGCAAGGATGATCGGAACTAAAGTGAAAAATTTTATACGACGAACGGTGATTTTCGAAACGCATATACACAGACACACCTACACACACCACACACCACACACTGTTTGCTCGCATAGTTTCAACCGGATAAATGAAAATAGATGGAATCTAGAATGGACAAAAGAATTACTTTATATTCGTTTATGTTTTGTGTTGAGATCGTAATTATAAGCACACAAAAATGTCAACAGTTTGAACATGCTAAGTAATATTTATGAAGCCAACAACATTAAATTACACATTCACATAATTAAAAATGTGGAAAAAACCATAGACTGTTTTAAAATATGCGGTCGGCACAGACGGTACACGGACCGAGATGTGCAGTGAGGACCGATATAAGCACATCGCCAATGTGCACATTTTTTTTCACATCAATTTGTTTCGTGAATTTTTGTGAAAATGAGCGCACCTGATGATGTATGGTTGTGATACGGTACCATTTTTTTTTAAATTCATCATCTCATCTGTTTGAAAATGGTGTGTAGATTTAAATGATACTTAAAACAGTCCATGGTGAAAAGAGTTGTATAACGCATTTCCTGTTTCAAACCAAATGCGTCAAAAGACCACGTCGAAGTGGGGACAACATTAAAAAAGTCATCAAAAAAATATATACACAGATGAGTATCGAGAAACAAATTGTATCCACATTATATGAAGCATTTTGTTGGTGGTTTCATTATTCGTATACACTGCTGTGTGTGTGCGATTTTTTTCTTTTTCTCTCTCGTTGTAGCGAGTTTTTTTAATGTATAATAATACTGAGAAATCAGCAAAAATAAGTGAATAAAACATTGAAATGCATACTTTAACATTGTGCACAATCACATTTACACAGCGTACAATGAGTATGTACATATTGTTGAGATTTTTTTTTTTAAATATTTTTTATTCTCAGGAATATTTTTTTTCAGCAACAACCAAAAAGTTCCACCAACGCCACATTTTCATTTTGAATTTTCTGGTACACCTTTCCCAGTACCCTTTTATCTCGAATGAAACGAACCATTTCATACGATTCACGAGTATAGGCAATCGTAAACACAGACAACATTCTGTTTTTTTTCCTTCTTCTTGTTCTTTTTTTTTCCATATATATATATAAAGAATGTGTGCGCTCACTATATTTTTGCAAGGACTTTAAAAACCGGAGGGAAAAAAAAGTCATATATAGATGAAGTGCTGTAGAAGAAAAATCTTTGCTGTTGCAATGTTGCCGTTGTCATTGTTGTCGAGCTCCGTGTGCTGCGCGCTTGTCTTTATCTTTTAGTCTCTCTCATTTTTAAATCAATGCATTTACCGAGAAACAGCAACGCAAACTAAGCAAAAACACAAGAAATGGTAACAACATCAAATGCAAAAGAGGGACGAGGACAAAGACGAAAAAAAACCGATCCAGTTCCGGCTGTGTAGATGTTTTTTTTTAATATGATGGAAAAACATGAAGAAATCACTGACATGTCGAAACGAAAGAAAAGTAATATGCCGCTTTGTAAAACAGTAGCGCCATTGAATGCGCGGCTGCGACACAAAATGAATGTCCATGAATTAGAATTGCACTGCTGCCGGTTACTGATACTCTGATGTTGATGTTATTATATAACATTTATTATGTGATTCATTCGCATAAATCATGCACACATTCACACATCAGTTAAGGGCACAGTATGATATCGGTTCTGTGATACAGTACGAATGCGATTGATGCATGCAACAGCAGAAAAAAAGAAATTCATTCGCATTTGATTTTTTTTTCTCTCACTGAGATGCAACTGTGA